AACCCAAGACTTGCATCACGCACGAAAGGAAGTAAAGTTGTGGCGCCTTTGGATTCGCTATTGGCCATCGGTTTAAGAGATATAGACAGTTGACCTCCACTGCCGAGGGGTACTTAGCGTTATGGAAATTCGCTGTGGTAAATGCTACCGAATCAATTGTACCAACTTACTTTCTACAGCTTACCGTTGACCATTGTGACGCAATCACTTTCCAAAACCAATAACATTCAATTAGAGGACATAATAGTCATATAAACTGTTACCCAAATTCCCCTTCCTCGAATCAGTGTTTGTGTCTGATTTGACCATAAGCATCACTCAAGGTTTCTTCCACATCTTCCTCCCTCCTCTCTTCGTTACCACCTTGTTGAGAAGCACCTTTTTTTCCTCCATCAGTGACTTCTAAATCATTATCAACTTTAATAAAGGTATTGTCCAATTCAGCATCATTGAGATCTAATGCAGTAGAGGCAGCTTTTGGATCTTCAAATACGACCTGGTATTTACCATCGCTTAATGGGTTTAAATCAGTGACTTTACCAGCAGTTGTAAAGAATCTGGTAAGCGCAGCAGGAGTTACCTTGTCTGGCACATTTGAAACGATAACTGAAGACATGATTTTGTTGCTGTATAGTTGTAATCTGTAACTTATCTAGACTTGGCTAAGTAGTAGGTGTGTATGGAATCAAGAAAGGTCAAACCAAATGTATTTGACTTGCAAAATGGGTTAGAGGAATTGGGACTATATATAGTGAGGTTGAAAAGAGGTGGGATAGTCAGTAGACGATAGAAATTGTGTTCTTGCCGTAGGCACAGCAAGTTAATGTTCTCCTGTGTTGTTCTAGCATTTTCCATAGCAATTATAGGATTAACAAAACTTACGTGCAAACTGTGGTTAATGTGGAGTCTGATTCAAAAACTGCACAAAGGGTTATTTGATTGCTCTTTGGGGCATTCTCGCTAAAAAAGAACACACTTTCAAATATATCTAACACCTTCCATATTAAAGCTTTCTACATAGGGCAATATTGAACTGCTGAGATAATACGGCTGTCGCCTTTTAGACTATGACATTGTTAATCTTGAATTTGCAGAGTCATATATGTTAAGTTTGGATCTTTCTCCTTAACCACTATTTTTGAATCAGTTCAGAATCTTTTACTAAACAACAGCATGACCCCTACACCGAGACATACAGCCTTTTGATTAATCTCTATTACTCTAAAAATCTATTTTTTTTGGCTATTTACTTACGAGCTTAGGCAAGTCACAAAGGTTGCTTAAAATTTGAATGTTGGAACCAATAGCTCCCTCTCCGTAATACTTTGCGAAATCATCCTTTCGTTTCAACTTGGAAATATCTTCATCATGTTCAACATAATGAATCACATGGCCTACACCCAAATCATAAGCAGCCTTGACATTGAGTTCACTATCATCGATAAACCACTGTTTGGCCAACACAGCCTTATCTTCATAATCCAATTGGGTCAAGTCAAATACATTGACAAAGTATTGTTTCATTGGTTTACATACAATGGGGACTTGTGAATAATCACAATATGTCAATCCTTCGAATAAATCACCGATTCCGAGGAAACTAATCACTCTTAATGCGTGGTTCTTGTATGCATTTGTTACCAACCAAAAATAATCAAATTTACCCGACTCTTTTACTTTTAAAAGTGTGTCTCTTAATGGTTTGTCGTAGCGTAACACAGCATGCAAATCTAACGCATCATCGACTTTGGAATTGTAATCCAATGCGTCAACTTGGTGATTACGTACTAATCCTTCAATTGCCAAACCATACGTCTTGTAGTAATCATGGTGTAATCTATAGGCGTCCTCGTCATTTAATTGAAGATTGTATTTGAAATAGTCATGGATCTTATCTTGCATCATTTCAAATATACGAGTCGATTTAGGGTACAAGCAATTGTCAATATCGAAAAAGAAGATTGTCTTGTTGGAATGTTCCTTAGGTATAGGCCCAAATCCAAAGGGAAGTTGAACTTTACGGCCAGGTTTGGCTTGTTCCACAGCAGTGAGTTCTGAATTCACATATGTGATGGGTTGCCCTTGAGCTGATCCATTTGGGAAGGATTGATGTGGGGGATTCTGTTGGTCGATAGTCATATTCAGTAGTCTATGTGGTAATGTGGTGTACAATCGTGTCGACAACCTGATCATAAAAATATATCACTCTGTATGATAAAACTGTGGCTTTTAGTGCGTGGGGTAAGTATACAAAGCTGGAGGGTGAGTATGGAGAAGAAGGAGTGAGTGGTGGTATGTTGTATTGAATTGCGTGATTTACCGTAAATTGTCGGGTTTTTGCCAACACCTGTCAAAAGATTAGTCACTTTGTAAATGTGTGCCTAGAAATAACTAATTTTTCCCTGCACAATTTCCCCCAAGCTTCGGTGACACTACAACTGTTGCACAATAACCTTTATTCTTCTGGTGCACGTGCGTACATATTAAAAAGGAAAAAGCCGTTATGTAGCTCTAGATGTATTCAAATTTCTTCTACTCTTTACAAAACAAGCACCTCACCCATAAAAGAAATCCTGGTTAACCAACTTCAAATCGCTTTCCAACTTATCGCATTGTAAACTTAAATCTTGATGGGTATCAGTTAGAAACCTCACCAACTCTTCTCGGTTAAAACTATACTTGTCAACACCAGTTTTCAATGTAGCCAGGACAAGATCGATATTTATTGACCCCAAGTCTCGTATTAGTCCATAACAGCTTTGCAATATTCTGTCGACGGAACTCTTCATTGACCGAATGATTTTAATGTTCTTTTCTCGATCAAGAGTGAAATTGAATGGGTTGACCAATATGTAAGGAAGGATCTTCACCCTGTAGTAGAATAGATAGATGTTATCTGCTGTAGGTAAATCATTTAGTTCGAGAAGATCCTTGACGTTGCCTTCGATAATCACGTTGTTGGCAATTTGATAAACCAAATTTTGTTTAGTAAATTTGTGTACATAGTCTCGATAATTGCTTCCAAGTAAATATTGCAAGTTTAACTCGTGAATAACAGATTCGATTTTAACATTCTTTGTTGTTTTCAAAGAGAACGTCACGTTTATCAATTTGATTGTATTGTATTGCAACTCCAAATCCTTCTTCTTGATCCTGCCTTTATCGGTATCATGCGGTAAACAAGTCTCGATGCTTAAAATAACATTGAGTAGTTGAGCAACAAGTTCCTCTATATTATCAAACTTGACACAAAGCAACGGAAACACGGTGTATATGAACAGGTTCAAGCTTAGCAACTCCCGTTTATTAGCATTGTAGTCTGATATTATTAGTAAAAAGTATCTAGCTATTTTTGCAAAATCGACCTCCGTTGAGCAATGTAGATAAGTGGTAAATAGTAATGTCAATCGTGCTAGTTGAAGCTTTAGTTCATGGTTTTGGCGCTCCACTTTCAAAAGTGGAGTCGTATCTTCCTTTATCAAGTTTGCATCGACCCCCAATTTGACTAACAAATCTTCGAACTCTTCCTCGGTAAGAACTGGTTTATCCCCATGAAGCGCAACTAAAGGTTCCAAGTTATGCAAAAACCTAGGATTTTTCATACACAAACTCCGCAAGATAAACGACTTGAAATCCAGTTTCACATTCTCAAAGCCAATTTTTGCATCTCTAACAATTAGAAACTGTAGCGATCGACTAATTTCTCTGCTTAGGTTGTACTTTGGTAACTTGGATTCATCAAATGACAAAGCCTTTAGACTATATAAATGACGCGAAATTCCATATCCGTCCAATGCTTGTTCATCCTTGCTGAGCAAGCTCTCCAAGTATGCTCTATCACGCACCATATCATATTTCTTTCTCTCTCCATCTTGATTCAACTCTTCCACAAGTTGTTTCCGTTGTTGTTCTCGTTGTTGTAAACGCAACGCCTCTGCTTTCTCCTGATCTGCTATCCGCTGATTCACTCGTTGGTGCTGCGTGTAAACCTTTTGGGATTTAAAGCCGTCTTTGAAGATTGACGGCACTTCAAGGTTGAGTATTTCATCATCGTCTTCATCATCAAGCTTCGATTTGTTGTAATATCGTTTTTGAGGTCGTTTTCGAACTAATGATACTCTTTTCTTCAGTGATGAAGATTCGGTGGAATAAACACAGTCTTGCGTGGTTCGATTGCTCTTATACAGATATGAATTCTCAGACAGCAGTTCTTGGCTATCGCTGCGTCGCGTTGATCGTGAATATGTTTTCTGTGGTTTAGCCGATGATTTTCTCAAATTGAAAACATCAAAGAGATCGTCCTCTTCGGAACTTGTAGATTCAATTTCATCTGACTCAATTTCATCTGAGTTCATGGCAATGAGAGATGGATTGTTGAATGTTTACCATCAAGCTAATCTCATCAATAAATCTTTTTGGCGCGTCCAAAAAGGAATATTCACGTGACCAGAGAGGAAAAAAATTGGAATGACTTTAGTAAGTTATGATAGTTTAGCTTGCAATGCCTTATGACTAGTTCATTGTAAAGTATTCAAAGTCCACGGGTGATTAACATCGGTGAAAATTTCCAGAGAGAAGAAACAGATTGTTTATGTAAATCACTCTGTAACTAATAAAATCATCAACAATTGCAGCTAAAAGGAGCCTCCACTTCTGAGTCTTCTCGGTTATAGAAGGGAAAACAGAGTTCACCAAGATGGGAAATCTGTATGGCATTCTTCTTCTTAGGGAAGCCCATCTCTTACAAGGCTACAAAAAGGATTTGTACTCGGAAAACGAAGAACGCCACACGCATTTTTTTTTACTTTTCTCTCTTTTTTTTTAACTCCGTTTCTCAATTTTAGCCTATCAATCAAAGTTCAATTTAAATTACCAAACCCATTGATATCACAAGTACATCACAACACAACGCATCGCAATCAAAGACATGTCTGAAAAATACGAGAAATTACCATTAGAATCCTTGTTCAAAACCATTGATGAATTGAAACCGCAGTTTATTGAACGGTTGGCAAAAGCCATTGCAATCCCCTCAGTTTCATCTGATGAACTGCTTAGACCAAAAGTTGTTGAAATGGCAAAATTCTTGGTTAGTGAGTTGACGAACTTGGGATTCCAAGATATTCAGGTTAAGGAATTAGGTACACAACCGCCACCAGTACAAGATGCTAGTTTGCAATTGCCACCAATTGTATTGGCAAGATTGGGTTCTGATCCAAAGAAAAAGACCGTTTTGGTCTATGGCCATTACGACGTTCAACCAGCTTTGAAAGAGGATGGATGGGGTACTGAACCATTTACTATGCACTACGATAAAGCTAAGGATATCTTGTACGGCAGAGGTTCAACTGATGACAAAGGACCGGTTATGGGATGGTTAAATGTAGTTGAAGCCCACAACAAGTTAGGTTGGGAGTTGCCAGTGAACTTGGTTGTTTGTTTTGAAGGTATGGAAGAGAGTGGATCACTTGGATTGGATGAATTGGTTGCCAAAGAAGCTAAGCAGTATTTCAAAGATGTTGACCAAGTCACTATTTCCGATAATTATTGGTTAGGTACAACCAAGCCAGTATTGACTTATGGGTTAAGAGGGTGCAACTACTATCAAGTGATTGTGAAGGGACCTGGTGCCGACTTGCATAGTGGTATTTTTGGTGGTATTATTGCTGAGCCAATGACTGATTTAGTCAAAGTGTTGTCTACTTTAGTTGATGGGAAGGGAAACATTTTAGTTCCTGGCGTTGATGAGATGGTGGCCCCGTTAACCGAAAAGGAAGATAAGTTGTATGACAGCATCGACTTTTCTGTTGATGAATTGAATGCTGCTGCTGGTTCAGACACGGCATTGCACCAAAACAAGAAGGACATTTTGAAACATAGATGGAGATACCCATCATTATCATTACATGGTATTGAAGGTGCATTCTCCGGCGCCGGTGCCAAGACGGTTATTCCAGCAAAAGTTGTAGGTAAATTTTCCATTAGAACAGTGCCAGACATTGAGTCAAAGAAATTGGATGAGTTGGTGTTCAAACATCTCAACCAAGAATTTGCTAAATTGAATTCGCCAAACGAGTTCAAAGTGGAGTTGATTCACGATGGTAATTATTGGGTATCTGATCCATTCAATGAAAGTTTCCAAGCAGCAGCTAAAGCAACTGAAGATGTGTGGGGCATTGTTCCTGATTTTACTAGAGAAGGTGGCTCAATTCCCATCACTTTGACTTTTGAAAAGGAATTAGGCGTTGACGTGTTGTTGTTGCCAATGGGTAGAGGTGATGATGGGGCACATTCAATCAATGAAAAGTTGGATGTTAGTAACTATATCAACGGGTGCAAGACCCTAGGTGGGTATTTGCACTACTATGGTGCTACTAAGTAGTTTAGTTATGCTTTTCTAATTTAAAGAAAACGCTTAGAGACAACCACGGCAACTGCAAACTCTCTCAAAACGGCCTGAAAATAGGCTCTTATATAGGAACTGCCCTGAACGAAACAAAAGCAGTGAGTCTCTTTTTTAGCTGTGTACGTGTGTGTGGAGGGTCAAAAAAGCGCTACAAAAGGACTTTATCAGTGGGAAGAATTTTGCCTTCTAATAACGAAATACCCAAGCAAGAAATAGCCCATTAATCGGACGCACAGAGACCGTGGAGAGAGGGTCTAAGGAGGCCATACCTCCGAGTAAACCCTCTAATACAATTTTCAGTATCAGTCGTGTCTTATGTCTAGTAATCATAGCAAAAGGTCAGTCCCATATAGTGTAATCGAACCACCATTGGCGTTAATTGCTAATGATTTACTAGCTCAATAAAGCAATAGTAACAAAAATTAAAAAGATGTTAAAAATAAAATGAGAATTGCTTAAACAAAATGAAGAGACTTGAAAGAAGAGAGAGAAATTTTTCTTTTCTTTTTTTTTTTTTTTGCAATTTTATGAATTGAAAGAAAAGGTCATCATCACTTTATACGCCATCTTCCTAGCACAAACTTCCAAAGGGGTACCTTAATTCACCTGCATATTTGACTATCTGTGCCTTATATCCTCACTTGTACATTCATTGAAAGTTTGCATTTATTAGCTCATGGTCACTAAACCTGTCTAATTTTAATTATTTTTATTTACAAACACATCATCATTATTATTGAGACCGGAGTCTGTACATATAACTATACAACAACAACAACACACATACCAATCATGTCTGATAATTTAAAAAGAGCTGAGTCGTTATTTAATAGAATAATGAACCAGAATGCAGAATCGTCGGCCAGTTCGTCTCCATCATCAACACCTGTCCAGGCTTTTCAATCATCTTTTCCACCAAGATCGAAGTTTCATCATAGTCACCACAACAGTAATAGCAGTCATGCAAGTCATGCAAGTGAAAACACTGTTAGTGAACAACCGCTTAATCAGAATCAGAGTCAGAATCAGCATCAACCCCATTCTGGTCAAAGTACCTACCATCAAGCCCCCAGTGGTCATCAGGTTCAGTATCTGGAATTGGCTAAATTGCCCAAATTGGATGCTGTTAAATTGACTGAAGAAGCATTATCGACTGTGTCAGCAAATGATCATGTCTTGGCTTATTGTTGGACTGTATGGCATCACTCGAGAAATAAGAAACAGCAATTGCAGCTATATCAACAACAGCAACAGCAGCAACAAGAACCATTGTCAAGCACCGCCGATTCTGCAACAGCATCGACTTCTAATGATGAAAGTACTAGCTCATTGCAACAGCCAGGTGTTGACACTTATTTACAAACTACAAATCAGTTACAATTTACTGATGTAAACAATCCATCGACTACGATCTCACACATTGCGTCAATTGAACAAATGTGGACAATGTTGACATCCATTAAAGCTAGCTTCAATTTGAGCATTGGTACCGAATTTCTCATATTTAAAATTGGGGTGAATCCAGTTTGGGAAGATCCTTTGAATGCAAAGGGAGGTCGTTGGATTTTCCGTTTTAGCAGAAAGGCTCAAGATCATCATTATCATTCAAACAGAAAGGATACATCATCAACAGCTGCATTGTCTGAAGCAGCTGCACAATCTTCACAATTGCAATCAGCCGAAAAATTGAGGAAAAGATCAGCATTGATTTGGGAACGGATAGTGATCAAGATCCTCACTGGTAATTTCATTCCTCTGACGCATGCAACTGAAATCCAGCATGTGTTGCACAATGATATATGTGGAATTGTCTTGAGTGTACGTAGAGATGAAGATATAATCTCAGTTTGGAACTCAAATTTGAATTTCAAGAAACAACAACAACAAAATGCATCAGGCCTGGCTGAGGTTAAAAAGACAATAACTCCATTTCAAGCAAGACGTATCATATGTGATGCCATATTAAGAGTCATTAGAGAATGTGATGAAATTTTACTGGGAGCTGACTGTATCAAGACAGTTGACAGTGGCTCAAATGAACGTGTTGGCGGTGTTAGTTTTGAATATAGATTACATGTTGAATCGCCATTGAGTACAGAGGGTAGAGGAGAGAGAAAGTCTAGGTATGGCGGGGGCAAGTATTCGAGACATAATAATTCCAACAATGGTGCTGGTGGTAGTAATGGTAATGGAAGTAATGGTAATAAGGAATAAGGACATTATACATATATATATATATATATGTGTGTGTGTGTACTGATATAAGTGGGAATGTAAATTATGTTAAAAATGCAGATTCAGAGGACAGTCAAAGACAAGAGGGTACCTTCATAGACCTTCGACTGTTCGGTTACAGGAGGAATTCATATGAACCGAAAGCCATTTTTGTACTCTTAGAAGAAGTGGCCAGAACTAAATGAGTAACTTCATCTATTTTTACATTGTTCTAAAAGAGGCTTCAACTCTTATTGTTTTGGACTGCTTTTCCATTTCTTTCGTTTCTTTTCAACTTATTATTGTTTTAGAAGTCACATCATACTCTTTACATTCCAAAAAAAAGACTGAGTTTCGTCAGAGTGAGGACCAGTTCCTTTTAAACATAATTGAGAACTAGAGATGACATTCAGTACTATTCTATAACTTTGTATCTTCATTTTTTTTTTGTTATGTACATTGTAATGTTTAGTTGGTGGTTTTATTATGACGCATTAAGTGGTAAAAATAAATAATGAAAAAAAAATTTTTTTTGTTCTTCCCCCACGCCTCATAATGTCATAAGATTAATTTACAAGACATTGAGGCGGTTTAAAATAATAAGACAGAGAATAAAAGAAAAAAAAAAAAGAAATCCGAGTCAGACAAAAAGGCAGAAGCCTTTGAACAAATAACACGACTACTCTGTTACTGTATATAAACACACCCATTAAACAATACTCAAACAGCCAATTTAAAATAAAAATTAAAAAATTAAAGAATTAAAAAATTAAAAAATTATTAAAGAATCAAAGAAGAAGAAAAAAACGATCTAAAACAGCAGAGGAAAACAATCACGAGAGTCATTCTATAGTCAGTGTTAACCAGAAAAGAAATAGTATAACTAGACATATATATCTAAACACACAACTGAAGACACGCAAGTTACATCTTTTACGTGATAATTTAGACTTTCCCTCACACTTTTTGCGGTCAAGAAAAAATATATATATAAAGAAGAAAAAAATAAATAAATCATCTGTTTTTCAAGGGTCAAATAAGCAACAAAACCGCAAATGAAAAATACTACCACGGGAGGAATAGTTGTCAATAGTGAGAGAAATAATAGTGGGATGTCACATGATCAGTTTATGTCGCCGTTAAACCCAAGCAAAAGCCATTCTCAACCAACTACTTCGACTACAACAGATGTATCAGCATCGTCATCAACTATCAACACAACAACATATCAGTCCCAACGTACTAGACAACCTCAGTCAAGTTTACAACGCAGCCAGTCTGAGCATTCACCAGGATCACATAGCTCCTCCTCATTTGAATCTGGACCTTCACTTGTTGAGATTTTCTATTCAGCCAAAAAATTGTTAAATTTACAACCAAGGGTGGAAAACCGACAATTGAGAAAGTCAAATAGCAAGACACAGCTAAGTCATATGAAGAATAACGTATCCAACGATCAGTATAATATCAGTATATCACCCGACTTCCGCCAACGGCTGTCATTGCATCATCTGAATGGTCAACAAGGGAGACAACTCAATGTACATCTACTGGACACAAATGAGGACACTTTTGACTTGCTTTCTCCTTTGTCTATTGACGAGTTGCAAAACACTAGTGCTATAAAACCCATTTTCAATAATTCTTCAAAGCGTACAACTGAGAATTCCACCACAACTAGTCTACCGCTTCAGCATCAGTCGACTGATGTCATGGATATGGAAACTGAACAAAATGCTACAAATTATTGCAAGACACCAAATTCAGACCAAAGCAATGGCTCGCGAAATGACTCAAGTGCTTCTGGAACCTCCGCCACTTCGAGTGTAGAATCTGTTGGGGAGACTACCAAACCTAAATCCAATTTAACCTCGTCATTGTCCAAGTTAAAGGAATTAAAACAGGAAAACAAGAGACTGACAGAAGAGCCAAATGATACCAAGAAAGATGCCGCCACTGAAGCAACGAAAACTATATGTTTTAATTGTAAAACAGAAAAGACACCATTGTGGAGAAAAGATACCGATGGTAATACTTTATGTAATGCGTGTGGGTTGTTTTTAAAATTACATGGTACCACACGTCCATTATCATTAAAGACTGATGTGATTAAAAAAAGGAATTCAAGAAAATCGTCAACTGGTGCAATGGCAAATTCTGCTCCACGTTCATTGAACATAGCATCAGGTCAGTACATGAACTCAAGAAATGGTGATGGTATGGCTATATTTAAGAAGCATACGCCTATTGCCATTGCTCCTAATAATAGTGCGGCTGCCTCATCATTGCCCAACCAATTTTCCAATTCACTTGGTGCAGGCAACTCTTTACAGAATCAGAGATTGAAGAATGTGATGATTTTACCAAAGCCATCAAGTACCACCAGTATGAATAACAACTCGGTCAACAACAACAACAACAACAACAACAAGAGTATACCGATCCCAAGGAGTCAAAACAATACTAGCTCCCCGACATCGGCGACATCGTCTGCCAACTCGTCGTATTCATACTCCATCAACAGCAATCAACCCTTTAAGAGGAAAAAGTCAGAGGTGAATATACCGGCCACAATTGAGCAAAATGGCGTGATGAGCATGTCATTTGCCAATAGGAATAGTGTCACTGGGTTTCCTTCTAGTGCATCTTTAAACCAACAAGCTACAGCCCATAGTATGTCCAACATCCCATCCTCAATCAAACGAGCCAACTCCCTTGTTTCTTCATCTTCATTGAGCAGAAGGACATCGATGGTGAATATGTCTAGAAAAAACACAGTGTCAGCATCAACACCAACAAATTCACTTACTTCAAATAATATAAATATGCTTAACCAAAGGTTTCCACAATCAAGTTACTTTGATAGTCCACAAGAATGTGGTCACCAACATCCTCAAATCTCAAGACACAACAGCAACAGCACCATTATGCATATGAATAATAATAATAATAATAGTATGCAAACCCAAAGTCACAACAATTTTGGTAATATTGTTGATAGCGCTGATACTCCAGGCTCGATGAATTCACCAAACTCATTTTTTGCCAATGGATTTAACCTGAATGATACGCCAAGCTCTGTCCCTGCTACACCTTTTAATGTTCTGGTGACGCTTCCATCTTCAATACCCAATACTACAACAACGTCGATGTTGTCTGCGCAAATGAAGCAACAGCAACAGAACCAACGTCAACAACAACAACAGCAGCAGCAGCAGCAGCAGCAGCACTACAACCAACAACAACAGTACCACAACCAATACCAACACCAACATCATCAACACCCACAACGTCAAGAGTTCAACATACCTCCAAAACAATTGAAAGTCTTGGAACAGTATAGAGCTAGTAAACCACCCATAGTGCAACACCAAGGAATTGATGATGAACTAATCATGATGGGCGGCAATACCAATTGCGATAATAAGGATATGATCCAGTCTATACTGGAAAGCAACAACAACTCAGATATAGTCGATTCAAATATGAGCATGATTGATGAAGAGTTTTTCCGTAACTACACTAGTTTGCACAACGATGATGAAGATGATGAGGAGGCATTCGAGATTCCCGTTTTGGCATCTGAAGATAACTCTCAATTGTCATCACAATTGTCATCACAGTTGCCATCTAATCAAATATCACCACTGAAGATTAACATTGCTGCACCTAAACTGACACAATTTACAACTACTAATGATGCATTTGCCATGGCGAACAACGATGGTAGTGGCAATAGTACTGCTAACGATTATAAAGATTTAGATTGGCTAAAGTTTGAATTATGATTTTTACGATATCACGAAGAGATAATGAAGTGTTTTATTTAGTAAAAAAGGGTGGTAGAAAAAAAATTTTGTATTATGGTATACTTTGTTAGTAAATTTATACATAGACAGACAGTACTGTGACTTTCTTAATTGTTTAGTGATAAAGAAGGAGCCTAAAGCATATCGCATAACCTGACTCCTCCATTTGGGCTAAGTTCTTTGGAACGTTTGCTAGTGACAGTTACCCAAGTCGTCAAGAATGGGCGGTTCTTTATTTATTTAGTCTCCTTGATTAGTATGCCTCTACTCTCTTTGTAACCACACTCTTGCTTCCACTGAACTAACCATACGCTTCTTATACTCAGTCTCATAATCCATTTCAGCAGCAAGAATAGAATCAGGATTAAACAGCTCCACTCTTTTCTCAAATTCATCCAATACTTGTACACTTCCAGTCAATATATCCACTTTATATCCTTGCAGTTGAAAATGCATAGCCAATTTCAATGTCTTTTCAATAGTCCTTCCCATTCCTTTTACGGCAATGTATTTGACTTTCTTATACTGATCATTTTGGAATTTACGCTGGCTTCCTTGTTGTTTGGCAAATTTGGTCAATTGTTTATTAATTCGTTTGATGGCTGAGATGAATGGCGTTGATGATTTGACGAGAAAAGTTGAATTAAATTGAGTTTCAGTTAACCGTGTCGTCTGAGCACTATGTTTGATATGTTTGCCCTGTATCCGCTTAGCCATTGTGCGAGGAAAAAGAATGTGGAGGGGAACAAGGCCGAGGGAGCTGGATGATTAGTATGTTATTGATGATATAATTTAACAAGGATGGTTCTTTAGAAAAACTTTGTACTTTTGTGTTCTGTCTTCGCTCTTGTGTGCCATTTCCACGAAACGCGTTAGACTAAATATTTTACCTAAGAAACAAACGTCAACACGGATCTACTGCCAATGCTTAAAACCCCAATTCTCTTATCTAGACCACTATTACGAAGGTGACCTCACTATAATACACCAAAATGAGTCGAAAGAGACAATTTGAAGAAGATTCATCACCTTTATGCACTTTCCCCTCATCACCAAACGCCTATTCCACATCTTCCTCATCTCAAGGACTTGTCAACTCATCACCAAACGCCCCTACAACAACATCTACATGTTATACTTTGGACCATATATTCCACTTCTCTTCACAATTCCAAACATTTGATGCGTTTTCCTCACCCGTTGCTAAACGAGTACAATTAAGTAAAGTTCATACTGAAGTGCACCAAAAGACGATACGAATGATGATGGATGCTCTGGTACAACTACAGCGACAGGAACAACAACAACAGCAACAACAGTTTGTAGATAGTACAAGAGATGGTGAATTGATGAAGGATATGAACGAGTGTAATGATGGAACTGAGAACTTGAAAGAGAACAAATGTACATATTTTCAACAACCGTATTGGTGAGCTTCCCCCTACCGATTTACCTCATGAGGTACTACAGGACGTGTTTTGTCACATAAACCAACACCAGGCGTTGCATTTAGCTCCTTTACATTCACAGTTTTACGTCATCGCAAAAGCAAAAGTATACAAAAATATTACACAAGTAATATAGTCACCATCCCCATGAAAGTATTGTGAGTACCCCCTAGAGTAAATCATTTGATACTATAATACTTCGGGAGTTAGCTATAATGGGGAGTTTTGACTTTTCAAAGGTTTTCCCCACTCATATTTGGCCAAAGACTACCCCCGATTCGGTCAATTCTGCATCAGAATACGGAGCAGGTTTAAGGTACCATCTTAGGTTCAAAATCTTGGACTTTTGACACACGAAAATGTGAAGATGCTTGTTATCTCACATACTGCCAATAGTCATACAATTGCGAGAGCAGTATGCCGATTATGCTTTAATTTTCCCCATGCTAGTATACACTGGTGGTACGAGCCAATTGAAGGGAGAACTGATCCACCATTTACAAAGAAAGTCTTCGATTTTAGTTACAGTCTCCCTTTTGGAGTTGTGGGCTATTATTATCCTGATTATTGCAACATTTGTGTTGCCAGACCCAAATTCAAAGTCGGCTACAGACATGGAAAGGTGGTGTTTGGAAGACTTGAAAAATGCTACACAGACCGTGAGTTGGTTTCAATCTACAAAGATCATCCATTCTGGGTGGGTTTATTGCTGCTGTTATGTTATTTTAGGTGTTGTTCGTGGTGTAATTATCAAGTGCACGCCTTGGAGATAGACTTGCTATCATTTGACCATATGTGCCATGCTGGTTTTCGATGTTAGATGACAGCCCCCTAAAAAGCTCACGAACAAGGGATTGAAGAAGCTTGAGGAATTGATTGAAGCACTCGAAGTGGAAAGGAATGAGGATCCTGAGAAGAAAAAGCAATGGTCTAAGTGAGGACACATGCTAATTGTATTTTTTTTGATAGTAAAGTCTGTTGGTGAGAAGCATTGACATTGTCTTGGCTTATTTGCTACTTTAATTTTAATCGAAAACGTGTTTGCTCAGCTTTTGACACCAATTCTCAATGTAACTTTTATCTTTGGGTTCGTTCTCAATGGAGGCCAATGTCTTTCACTTAGGTGACTTGAAGTAATGATTGCTTCTACTTTCACGTATATGTAATTTTAGAAAAGTAAAAAGTAATAATACTATGGTATGACATTATGAGAAGATGGAGTCTGAGCTTCGTAGATGGGCGGTGAGGTGGGTTTTAAGTTGCAAAAAACGCTGTCCACGTGAGCACTAGAATCACATGGGCAAAAAGAGGCACGTTTTGGGTAAAAATTTTGAGATCATCTGGTGCACGACCTTTTTCTCGACTTCGTCGTATAAAAACTATAGTAGTTATATACAGGATAAACATACTTAACAAACTACGTGTCTCAAAAAACCAACACACACACACACAAACGAGTAATGAGTAACAAAGACGGTGAAAAGATGAAAGATGAAAAAAATTCCCATAAAAGTAAAAATTTGTCCATCGAGATTTTTCACCAATCTTTTACACCCTCTTTTCTTTCACTTCTTTAACAAGATTTGTATTCAAAAAAGAACAATCAATCACGTTAACAATGTCCGCCCCAGCCACTAACTTCAAAGTTGCCGATATCTCATTAGCTGCCTTTGGTAGAAAAGATATCGAATTATCTGAAAATGAAATGCCAGGTTTGATGTACATTCGTAAAAAATACGGATCATCTCAACCATTGAAAGGTGCCAGAATTGCTGGTTGTTTGCACATGACTATTCAAACTGCCGTTTTAATTGAAACCTTGGTTGCTTTGGGTGCTGAAGTCACTTGGTCATCATGTAACATTTTCTCAACTCAAGACCATGCTGCTGCTGCTATTGCCGCTGCTGGTGTTCCTGTTTTTGCCTGGAAAGGTGAAACTGAAGAAGAATACCAATGGTGTATTGAACAGCAATTGTTTGCCTTCAAGGATGGTAAGAAGTTGAATTTGATCTTGGACGATGGTGGTGATTTGACCTCATTGGTTCATGAAAAATACCCAGAAATGTTGGAGGATTGTTACGGTTTGAGTGAAGAAACCACCACTGGTGTTCACCACTTGTACAAGTCCTTGAGAGATGGTAAATTGAAGGTTCCAGCCATCAATGTCAATGATTCCGTTACCAAGTCCAAGTTTGACAACTTGTACGGATGTAGAGAATCATTGGTTGATGGTATCAAGAGAGCCACCGATGTTATGATTGCCGGTAAGGTTGCTGTTGTTGCCGGTTTCGGTGATGTTGGTAAGGGTTGTGCTTTAGCCTTACAAGGTATGGGTGCTAGAGTTATTGTTACCGAAATCGATCCTATCAATGCTTTGCAAGCTGCTGTTTCCGGTTACCAAGTTGCTCCAATGGATGAAGTTGCTTCTATCGGTCAAATCTTTGTCACCACCACTGGTTGTAGAGATATCATTGTTGGTAAGCACTTTGAAAAGATGCCAGAAGATGCCATTGTTTGTAACATTGGTCATTTCGACATTGAGATCGATGTTGCTTGGTTGAAGGAAAATGCTCAATCAGTCGTCAACATCAAGCCACAAGTTGACAGATACTTGATGAAGAATGGTCGTCACATTATCTTGTTGGCTGACGGTAGATTGGTCAACTTGGGTTGTGCCACTGGACATTCATCATTTGTCATGTCTTGTTCATTCTCCAACCAAGTTCTCGCTCAAATCGCCCTCTTCAATGCCGACAACAAGGAATTCAGAGAAAAATTCCCCGAATTTGCCAAGACCGGTCCATTCGATGTTGGTGTCCATTTGTTGCCAAAGATTTTGGATGAAACTGTCGCCAGATGCCACTTGGACCACTTGAATGCTAGATTGACCAAGTTGACTCCAGTCCAAGCTGACTACTTGGGTATTCCAGAAGAAGGTCCATACAAGGCTGATATCTACAGATACTAAGCATGTCTGTACAATCTCCTCCTGTGGGTGTGTTTGGTTTTATTTTCTCTTCTTTTGAAATTTCAACAAGCTTCAAAGAAGCAAACCTTTCTACACACACACATACATTCAAATGGTTCCTTCTTTTTTTATCACGATTATTTTTAAAAATTTTCAACACCATTTTTAACGACCCCTTAAGATAATGATGCATCAACTGTTCATTTTTCACTTCATAAACTATTGTTCATATTTTTTGATATTTTGTCAACAACCCCTTTTTTATTGATACATGATAGAAAACATTTTCTTTTTTTATATATGGTAATACATTTTATCCTCAACGGATTTGAAAAAAAAAAACAACAAAACACAATGTGTGATTGTAGGAAGTAATGAGGTTAGACACTTCTCCCACTACAGTGCATAAGTAGGCTTTATTCTAAATCAATCTAACATTTTATAAAATCGAAACTAAACAGTTTTACTTTTTACTTATTCGAGACGCTGATAGTGAAGGAGCTACACGATCCATCACTCAAATAAATCGACGTTTGTGCGCTTGAGCCCGAGCCTGTAGAATCACCCAAACACCAATTGAAATTACCATCAACGCCAATTTGTCCATTTTCAATTGCAAATTTCGTTTGCAGTGAATCTACTGACGATGCACAAATGAAGTTGTTTGAAGAATCAACTCCACAAGCACCCTTTGATGATGTAATGGCAATATTGTCGTCCGATGATTGGGAGAAATGGTAGGTGGCACAAGTACCCGATGTGTACCATTTACCATTGGAGATTAAACAACCTGATTTGCCACTGAGTTTGATGTACCCTGAAGATGGAACTCCTGTAGGAGCTGGTCCAGATGTAGTAGTGGTGGTGGGATTTGTAGGGTTTGGATCAGAGCCAGAGCCACCCTTTTTGGGTGGAAACAAAATACCCGAAGATGGACAGTTGGAATTGGATAACGAATCAATGGGGATGAAATTCTGTTGCAAAAGTGAACCTTTAATATGATGGAAATACCAAATTTCACTAATGGCATTGTTTGAATCACATTTGAAATATACGTCAGCACCGAATTTGGAGTTTAATGTTTGTTGGATTTGCGATTTGGTATACGTTTTCGAATTACTTGGAGTAATGCCGGCATCAACTAACCATTTGTAAGTGGGCAAAGTTTCAAATAAATCATACAAGATCTTGTAATAGTTGTAAACATTTTGATACTGTTGGTAATCGGTATAGCATTTAGGCAAAATTGTATTGATGCAAGTTCCATGTTTATTCCATTCATGGGCCCAAAGTGAATGATCATTACCATTGATGTCCTTCCACGCATTATTCAAATTATCATACAACTCCTTGTCATTGAATGAGTCAACAATTATAGATTCCACTGTGCTTCCATCGTTAGCAATGGTGTTGGAATTGTCGCAAAATTGCTCATAAGTTCCATCACAGTTATCGGGCCATAATCCATGTAATGTGAATAAATCATCTGGACCAGTGGCTGGGCTATAATCCCAGAATTGCGTTTGCAAGAGTATACCACCTGGTGCCTCGAAGCAACAAGAAGCAGCGTTTGATGACGAACATGAGACTGGTGAGTCGTTGGGGCAACTGTTGTCAAATACACTTTGGGCGGCGGAAACAGTTGACCAAAGAAACTGTGAAATTAACATAATGCAAAAAACACGGGTGGAGGCGGTGTAATGTTGAATGTGGTTTTTATTGATGAAAAAATAAAACACTAGTTGAGAAGTTGGGTTCCTATTTATAGCGTACGGCTCCAAGTTAGCTGGTGTTTTAAATGAAGTCAATTTGTGAAATTCGCATTGTAATTTTGTCGGCGGCTCTTAACACTTTTGGTTTCTCTTCTTATCAAACGTGGTGTTTTGTGTAACTTCAGTGGAGTGCACATGGGGTGGGTGGGTTTCCGCTCGGTGTAATTGAGCGCAATTGGTCAGAATATGACGATGAAACAGCATGCTTATTCGGCGATTTAGTAAATGGGGGTTGTTAAACGGCTTTATGACAGAACGTACATTTTGTAATAAGCCTCCTTTGACATTCTTCTCTTGCATTGATGATAGACAGGACAACATTAAAACCATGTAGGAAGCATTTGATTCAGAGAAATAGCACCCTCCTGTTCCCTTTGGATAAACCAAACAGTTTACGTCACCTGCTTGAAAAAAGGGGTAGATACATAAATTACTAAACCTTTCAACTTACTAATAAGTATGGCTAAATTTCGACCAATTAAAATTGTCCAAAAAAGTGGTTAATTTCAAATTTACAATGCAAGAGACTTTTTTATTACACAAATGACATTATCGTTTTATAATTAAGAAAACGAATTTAAAGTTGCGCCAATTTGTCTTTTTGGTCTAAACTTTAAGTCAGTTTTCTTTTGGTTTTACGTTAAGGCTAAAACCCACGTTGTTGCTTTGGGCGTAAAAAAAACATTGGTCTAATTATAACTCTCTTAACCTTTTTCAAACAACTTACTCCAAGGTATAATTATATTTTGCTTCAATTTGAACAAAAAAAACCTCCAGTAGATCATTATGAAACTCAATCCTAGTACAAATGAATTGCCGATGCAAACCACATTTTTTTCATTAATCAGTATCACTTCTCATACAGCTGCTAGTATAGTGCTTCACAGGAGTCCAATTATCTTCTAATGAATGTCGGGTGCAAACTAAAACTTTGGGCTTTTTTGTCGTTATCGCGTCTGAACTTACTTTGACACAAGTGACACGTAAAAAAATAAAAAATAAAAATTGCAATCTGCTTTAATCAGAAGACAAAAAAAAAATTAAAAAGAAAAAAAATAGTCTCCTCTGTTGATCATTCAGGAACATAAAATCTAATCCATTACAATCTACATTCCTTAGAAAATACAAAATGATCTGGCTATCAGAAAGACAAAGTATGTATATATGGTAAATGAATCACCCTAATTAACGAAAACTAACTCATCTCACCTTTTTTTTAAGAATTTGGTGTTGGTTTCACCGCAGGAGGAATCTTCTTTTTCATATTTGGAATATTGACCTTTTTCGACTCCGGTTTCCTTGCCTTGGGTAACTTACTTTTCATCATTGGACTTATCCTTATAATTGGTCCTCAGCGTACGGTTTCCTTCTTCACACGTCCAACAAAGATTAGAGGCACTGTATGTTTTGCGTTGGGAATAATATTAATCTTGATGAAATGGTCATTTATTGGGTTTATATTGGAAAGTTTTGGAATATTGGGCTTATTTGGTGATTTCTTTGGTACAATTGTCCAATTTTTGAGGTCTATACCTTATATAGGGGACGTTTTGAGCCATCCTTTTGTTGCACCTACAATTGATAGACTAGCTGGTATTAACAATACCTTGCCAGTATAAGAGATAGAGGTGGAAGGGACAGAATTACTGTTGAATTTTTTGTCAAAGTAGGCAGAGTGTGGAATTGTGTTTTTGTATTGTATTGTATTGTATTGTGCATTTCCTTGTTGACATGCTTTTGTATATTAGGTTTTAGGGGCGAACCGATAAGGTACTTTTAGTGAGATGGGTAATAATTAATAAACGACGTATACAATTAGATAGGGTGCAAGTGATGTTCAAGGTTCACAAAAAGGGTAAGTGAATGAGCAAACTTCTATACTTTAGAAATCGATTGATATCCATTAATTGCATATAGATTTCGAAATTTTGCGATTCAGGGCATCCTCGCAGTTTGGCTAGGATTAACCTAGATTATCAAACATCTCTTGTGGCAATGATCTACATATCTTTTTGATGCATATGCATTTAGCCTAATCTTCTGTAGACACTTTTGCACTTCTACACTTTCCGCCTTCAATTTTATTTGACCTCCCCATTTCATGACAATATTTACTTTCTTTTCTTGTCGATTAACAAGGTAATGACTTGAGTTTTTGCTTTGTATTTATGTTGCATCGGCTTGCATATAAGTGTACACGTGACAAATAACTTCCCTTTTTAAAGACTCTGGAATAAAATTTTGAAAAAAAAATCCCAGATAGTTTAGTGGCTAGAATTACCGTTTGTCGCATGGTAGACCAGGGTTCAATTCCCTGTCTGGGAGCAGTTTTCTTTTTTGTTTTTTTTTGCATACACATTTTTTTGACCGCCGAGTAAAGCGAAATCTCCAAAGCTCAGTCTAATTAAGCAGCGAATGTTTTATACAGCTCCTAACCTTGATATGTCCCTTGTTTGTCGCAATGTCTCATGGCTTGGTAAATTTTTTCACACGTTCATATCTTCTTAAAGCATATTGATTTGGAAAAGTCAAACAGAAAAAAAAAACTAATTTGAAGTTTCGATGCTCTGCGCAAACACATTCTCCACATCGCCTTCACTTACCCATTTATTATAGTCTCTAACATATGGCGCCTAATCGACGAGAAGAGATTAAACAGAAACAGGAGCTCCAAGCTCGCTTTCAATTCAGTATATCTCAAAACAATGCACGGGCGATGAACTGGTTAAAACCAATTTCCAAAACCGATGATACAGAATCAAAATCAGAGGAAACTTCATCGGCATTGCACACTACACAGGGGACAAATTCAGCCAACTCGATGGAAGAGGATGTGTTTCTGAAGCTACGCGTTATACCTCAAGGTGCAGGACTCAGTTCCAAAACCACGCAAACAATTGGTGATTTCCTCAATTCAAAAGATATTAATCAACAGAAAACTTCGGACAACAGTACCACATCGCAAAAGGTGAATGGTAGTGGAAGAGGAGGTGGAGGAAGTGTTGCCATGAAAGCACTATTGAACAAGATGAGAAATGAGACAAGAAAAGAGCTTAATCAATCACGTCATACAAACCAAGGGTCCAATGTACAGCAGCAGCAGCAGCAACAACAAAGTACGAATAAAGTGAATGGCAAGAAAGGAAGGTGGAATGATAAAGGGTTTTCTCGTGGTGCAGAAGCAAAGAAAGCTGATACAGCTGTTTCAACTGCGGGATTCGATTCAGATTCAGAATCGGACGATGATATAAAAGCATTGAAATCGAGATCGGCAAGTAAAATCAATAAAAGTAAAGTGGGCAAAAAGGCACGTCCATTTTAGGAAAAGAGATAAAGGTAAATCAATGGTAGAATATATTCATAAGCAACTGATGCCTTCCCATCCCATTCAAGAACCAGGGATCTTTATACTTTTGAAATTGCATTTCTGAATAGTGGTGCACAACAAGTCTAGCTTATAAACCACAGCTACTTAAACGATATCATCAAGGTTTAATCTGATGCTTTTGCAGATAGATTGCAGGATTGGGATCCAAGACGGCATGGACTTATCCATAGTCTTTTTTCAATTCTTTGGAGTTGGTGTCGGGTGCTCTATTTGATGAGTTTACGGCTGTATGATGAGAAGAAAAAAAAACTCATCTTACTGTGGACAGCTGCTTTCATTAGGCCTTATTTACTTCCAACAAGATTTACTATCCATCGACATTTCTTAAAGCGAAAAAGTAAATGTTTTACTCTGGGATAGGATCTTACTCAATTGAACAATTACTTCAAAGACTATATTTAGTAGCAGCCTCAAGTTCGTCTCGGTCGTTTCACCCTCCTTCTTGCAATGTACCTTCTCCACTCTCCAACAGCGGAACTCCACGCGCGAGCAGCTCCTGGTTGTTTCAAAAAAAAAATAAAAAAATAAAAAAATAAAAATAAAAAAATAAAAAAATAAAAAAATAAAAAAAACACTACAACTCCCATTTTTCGTAAAACCTATACACATTCTACACAAAGAAAGAAGGAAAGGCTCAAGAACTAAAGTAAAATTATTCACACGTTGCAGAAATTTTCTTTTGCTAAAACATTTAGGCTGTTAGATGCGTTCTATATATATCGAGGTTTTAGCATAAATAAAAAAATCAAAAACACTATTACACGTGTCACATATACGACATGAAACAATACAGAAGAGTGAGATCATTGAGGTTATCGTGCCAGTTATTGATGCAAAAAAAGTGGGCCCATTTTTTTCTTTTGTTTTGAACTTTGGCTTTAGATCTAGAAATACACAAAGTAAATTGAAATAACAATACAAAAGAGTAATAAATTTCTATTGTAGAAAGAATTGTGCTGGCTCTTCTGAGGCGCCAATGTGCATTCGGTCCGTTTATTGATGTGGCGAGCTTCGCTTTTGATATTGTTTGCGTCATCGAGCAAGCATTATGCGCCCCTGCCTTCCTTATCGCTGGAGAAAAAAAGGCAAATCAACTACGCACCAATTCCAAACATCAAGGCACACAACCTTTCTGTCTCTCATTCTCACACCTCTTCTCGCAACTTCCATTCATTCCTAACAGTGTGCCCCCAATCTACAACTCTAATAAAGCAATCATCAAACTCTTTTTCTCAAATCACAAATCAAATTTCTCTATTAATAAAACACACAAAACACACAAACTAAAATAAAAAAATTAAACTAAAAATTAAACTTAATAATAAAAATAAGAACATATTCTTTTGTAACACACATTGTTTTTCCTGAATAGGTCAACATACCGAAAAAAAAAACGAATCAACCAACTAACGAGGGAACGAAAACGAAAATGTATAATATTCACAACATTCTATTGGATAAGGAGTTAAAAGAACTCAAAAATATCCATCCACACTTTCAATTCCCCTTGACTCAACCAGCATTTTGCTTGATACCACTACTCTCCTCACTGCTCGACGACGAATGTGAATTCTTCTCTTCGCGAATCAGGGACGACATGTAAAGCGGTTGCCTATTTTCAAAATTAGACGCACTCGTTGCATTAGCAGTGGTGTTGGTGCTTGTAGATGATGGAGGAAGAATTGTAGGCGTACCCCCAGAAGAAGGTGTTCGTACCGTAGTTGGTGACGTCGATCTCGACCTTGCCATTGCATATTGAGTCACTGCATGTGTAAGTTTCGGCAAGGCTTTAGAAGCAGTCGTCGAGTTGGCTGAGTCGTCGAGCATTGAAGTAACACTAACTTTTTTATTTGGCGGCTGTGGCTTAGTTATTGCTCCGCTGCTAGCATTAGTATCGTAGCTTCTTGACAATGGCGAACTTGATCGAGCGTTGTGGGACGACGTTGCGTGTCCATAAACAGGCGTCGTTGGACGCAGTGAGTGTTTCAATCTTGCTGACGAAGGTGGCGCCGGCTGTATTGCTTCCTCTGATGCAGCACCAGCAACTCCACTATTGGTATCACCATCACCATCACCATCGACATGTTTTGGCGATTGCGGAGTCACTGGCCTCATTTTCACTTCATCAACAACTTCATGCGGCGCAATAGATATCGAGCTCTTTGTGCCAAACGATATCGATCCACCAAAGGACGATGTACGTTGAAACGGATACGAAAATGACGATTGTGTTGATGAGATCGATGACGACTTGTTGGAAAAAATCAGCATCGTTGAATGTGACCCAATCGACCCGCCTACCGATATACTGCCAGGCGCACTATTGTTACCTCCACCACCTCCTCCATTAGTGGGAGATACACCACTGATTGAACTCAATGTATCACGCTTGCTTGTGGCTGCGTGGAGCTCAAACACTGAAGGACGTAACCTATCCTGCAACGAGCTTGATATGGAAGGAATCTTGGTTGCCGGAGGTGGAGGGCCCATACGGGCATTATTATTGGAACTGGCACCTGACGCCAAACCAGGGAGCGAGCGTGCTTGTAATTGCAACAGCGACTGTGAGTCCGATTGATGGTTATTCTCTGAAACTGGTCGTTTAGGTCCAACTGGGGTCAATGGTAAAGAGTAAGACGCAGTTCCTGCTGTTGCGCCTGCCAAGGTCGACAATGGATGTGGTGTTATATCAATGCCAGCGGCATTTGAACCTAAAGGTGGCGTTTCCCCCGTCGTTTGATTGTTGTTGTTGTTGTTGTTGCTGGTTACACTATTCCTATGGGGGATCGGGGCAATGATCGGGGTGATTGTTGATGATGATGATTGCGTTCTTGCTCCTGGCGAGCACAATATTGTCGATTGTGACGAAATACTGGAATTGGCAAGAAATGAACTTGGACGATGAATAGATGATGGCGGAGGCAATGTCACCGATTGTCTTGAATTGATTGTGTTGGACGATATACTCCTTTGAATGGATAACCGGTTTCCAATTGAAGACGGCGAGATGCCCCTGTTGGTCAAGCCTCCAATCGGCGGTGTTATTGAGCTCCCTGATGGAATTGGTGCCGAAGCTAATGGATCACATAACAAAGACGGGTTTCTTTGACGTGACCCATGGTGGTCATCCCAAACTTTTCTAAACTGGAGATTTGGTGCGAACTGTTCCATGGGTGTAGTCCGCTTTTCAGGTGGGGGTTGAGGTTGAGATTCGGATTCAGGTATTTGTTTGTTTTGAGGCGTCGAGGAGCGTGACGACCACCTTTGATCCTTCTGCTGTATGGGATTTTGCTGTTGTGGTGGTTGCTGTGGTGGTTGCTGTGGTGGTTGATTACTCACATCAGAGTTTGAATTTGGAGTGAGTGACAGTTCCTGGTACTGCAGCTGGTATTGGGCAGTTTGTGGTGGTATCTGGTCCGGTGGATAAGCAAATGAGTTAAACCTCTGCGGTTGCGAACGAGTCGGATTCTGGTTAAATGATGAAGATGAAGATAACGGGGGTGATGCAGCCGTCGTTGTTCCCCCATCCAGTAATTTATATTGCGCGTTAAATCCTTGATTGAAAATTGGTTGCTGATGTTGCGCAGGTGGCTGTTGTAATTGTGGTTGCGGCTGCGGCTGTGGTTGCGGGGGTGGTTGTACTTGATTAAAGTAAACGTACGACTGTTGCTGCTGTGGTTGCCCTTGGTAATAGTAATATTGTTGTTGTATTGGATGGTATTGCTGCGAATTTGGATCATATATAGCTGTTGGCTGTGACTGTTGATTCGGCACGTATACCGCATTGCCCTGGTCTCTGACGAAAGTTTGGTTTGGAAATCCAAGATTCTCTTGCAAATGAGGCGCAAATTGAGGTTGCTGTAGATGTATGTGTTGCTGCTGTTGCTGCTGATGATGATGTTGTTGTTGCTCTTGGTAGTACTGTTCCGGTAGGCGTTGTTGTTGCTGCTGGGACAAACTTTCCCCTCGTTGATACTGCCTCTCATTACTATAGCTATTATTCCTTGAATTACTATTTGAGCTTGACCTTCGCTTTATATAAACCAACGAGCTTTCATCTCCTTTTCTAAACTTGCCACTCAGATGCTTGAATTCCCATATTGGTGGCACATCTTTATTATCAATCAAGTCGGGGTTATCTAAATTATCACCCATATATCCCGAGCCCACTGCTCCTTGTTGTTGTTGCTGTTGTTGTTGTTCCAATGGTCCGTTATTCAATCCTGCTATATTCATGGGATTATATTTGAGTTGGTTTTGTAGTTGTTGGTGGTGATGGTGGTGGGCATCGCTGACCTTGTGGAAGCCATACATGTGCAACTGACGAACAAAACTGGCAACGTTACCATGCTTGAAATATCGCGTCAAACAATCAGCAAACTCCTTGCCAGGGTATAACGCAAATGTGTTATTTTCAGGATTGTTGTTACTCCACCATATTAGATTATCTAGACTAGGGTCACTCAACATGGTATATAATTTGTGTACAAATGCATTCTTCTTGACACGGGTCTCGCCCTGACTCTTCTTCGACATGATGGATCTATTCTCTCCTTGTCTCTCTAACTCTATCGCTCACCTTGTGATTTATCTAAAAGCACTTGGTGGTGTGGTGTGGTTATCAACTTCGTTGGCAAAGGGGTGGGACACCAGTTGCGGTATTTAAAGTTTTATTTTTTTTTGAAAACCCGAGGAAACACTTCGGTCTCCGCAGACGTTTCGTTTGTAGTAAGTTGCTTGCTATGCAGTTTTTGAGTTTGTGAGGGCTATCTTCTTTGCTTCTTCCCTAACTCTCTTTCTCTCTCTCTCTTATATATATATATATCTAGTAGTTGTTTGGTGTGCTAAAAGGGTATGGTTGAATAAAAAAGGACTACTTTGTTTCTATCTTTATATTTTATTTTGTTTCTTCCCTTCTTTCTTTCTTTCTTTCTTTCACACTTTTTTTTCTTTTTTCTTTTTCTCTCTCAAAATTTTTTTTTTAATTTTTTTAATTTTTTTATTTTTAATTTTTTATTTTTTATTTTTTATTTTTAATTTTAATTTTAATTCAAAGTCTTCTCTTTTTTTTTTCCTTTGAATAAAGAACTACTTTCTTGTTACTGTTGTGCTTTGTGTATTGTGTATGTGTATTGTGTATGTGTCTGACTTCTTCTAATATGGCTGGTATATAGATGGTGTGTATATGTGTATGTGTATATATGTATGTAAGTGAAGAAACTTCCTTCTCTGTATGGATGGCAAAAAATTATTTTGTTTTGCCTATTAGTTAATCCTTTATTCTTTTATCTCTATCTTCCTTCCACAGTTCTTTTTCTTTTCCTTTCCTTTCGATGTGTGTGTCTTTTCTGTGTGTGGGTGGGTGTGTGTGTGTGGGGGGGGATCAACTGTATGTAAATTATAACATTTTCAGGAAGTCAAACGTAATTCTTATTCTTTGCCTGTTTTGGCCTTTTGTTCTCTCTATGGCTTGAAAAGTATAATAAATAAAAAAATAAAAAGAAATTTCTTTTGTCTTTTTATTTATTATACTTTTCTTGCACAATGCTCGAGAGATGCGTGTCTAAAGAGAGAATAAGAAGCAACACACATATCAATGACTATTATTATTACAGTAGATTGTTCTCTATAATAATAATACCATAACATACCATACCATAACATAGCATAAGAAGCAGGGAAAAAAAAGAAGAAGAGTCTAATGTTCTTTCTCTGAGTTAAGGAATGAAGTAATAAAAAACAGCTTGTCCTTTTTTGTTTGGAAAGAAATAATACTGTGATGACGTATGCGGTGTAATATTAAGACACGATGAAGAGAGATGAAATACTAGTAGCTGATCATTTGTAGCAGCCATTCTTTTACATCCTTTTCTTCGAGAACTTTCCAAAAAAAGACCAAACACTTCAGTTCTTTTATTCCACTTCTGTCCTGTATGAGCTGTTTTCTGTTGTACGTTTGAAAGTTTGCAAGAGATTAAACTTCAGGCGCTTGTTGCGGTATTTGTGTACACTCCCTCGTTTTTGTATAATTTTGTTTTTTTATTCTATTTTATTTTATTTTCTGTAAAGATGCTCCTTTTTTTTTATTCTTCTATTGTCCTTTGTAATGTTGCTGCTGCTGCTACTACTACTACTATTAGTTGTTCTTTGTTCTTTATATTCTTCCCTTTTTTTGTTTCTGTACAAAGTGCTTAGTCTCAAGTTCCAAAATTTAGCCGCTCAGAACTGGGGGTGTAAATTCCAAATTATTTTTTTTTTTCATTTTTTGGTTCTATTGCTGTATGCGTATTTTGTGTCTTTATGTATGCACAATGTTTGACAAAACACTAAAACTTTTAAGATTGTTCTTTGTTTGTGTGCATATATGCGTACAAACTGCAAGCGCATCGCTTCTAAAAGAAAAACAACAACAACAACAACAAAGAACAAAAAGACAAAGAACAAACAGCCCCAATACCCTTTTCACAAATTCTCCTTTTCCTCTCTTTGTTGTTTGACAATTTGTACAACTACTACTACTCGCCTCATTGATTGATGGCTAGTACTTTGTGCAAAACCACATGGGGCGGACATAAGCATTTCCACATTTTTCCATTCTTTTTACTTTGACTGGCTTTTGTTTTAGGGTCTGCGCGCAGATACACATTAAATAGTATCTAGAACAGAAGATTGGCTTTAATCACTTTACCACTGCAGAGAACAATGTCCCCTGAAGAACAGCAAGGGAAAAAAAAAAAGAATTAAAAATAGACGCAATGTACGGTCTAAAAAGAAAAACCTAGAATGTTTTGCATTCCGTCTGTTGCTTTTTGTACCTTTTGAAACAGTAACTAGGATAGTATCGAATACTGCTTTTTTTTCGCCAACAATTCGTACCTGACCTTCCTTCTTCTCCACTTCCAAACACATTAAGGCAACATTTATCTCCAGAATTATTAGAATCATTTGACTGAACCCATCTGGCGGTCAAATTAAGCAATAATGTTTAAACAAGAAATGCTATTTCAGACGTAAAGGTCTATCTCTTTGTCCTGCTTGCGATTGTTGCATAGTGTGTGCTCCTGGGAACTGAAAAGGCTTCATGGTGTTAGTTAACGCTTGCAAGTTGTTTCGGACGTAATATTGTGATGTGTGTCGTGGTCGGTGGAGTTGTCGCAAGTTTTCTGAAGAAGCTGTTAAAAAATCTTGCCAAAATTTGCCTGTAGGCACTGCTACAATTTCTCTCTCCCAAAGATCATTAGGTGACTCTACCATTGACTCATGAGCTTCTGTATTTTGCTGTATCTTGACTATCTTCCTTGCAGTTAAAGACAAAACAAGAATGGGGATCACATTTTTTTTTTTTGGCAACACATTTGGTTGTAAAAAAGAACTAAAAAGATGAAACGGAATCATAAACCAATGAGACAAACTCATAACCATTTTTTACATTCTTACCGCACAATAAAATCCCCTTTGTGTACATCAGTGCTTATGTAGTAACTGTTTGTGCACTTTCCACTCTCTGTTCAAGTAATTTCAACACCCCCTCCCACCATGTACAGTTGTTTAGTACCTATAAATGTATGATTGCTAAATTCTGCTGTTGAGTGAAAAGACAATAGACTTATTTTCTTTAAAAAGCATTGACGACAGATTTTCGTCTAACATTTTCTATTTTAGTGTGATATATTTTTGTTCCCACCGATGTGCTTCTTCTTCTATTGTTTTTGTAAGAGCGGGGTCCAATTGAACGACCAAAAAAGAAAAAAGAAAAAAGAAAAAATAAAAAATTGCAAATTCGCCGTATAAATCTATTTATATTTGTAATTACAATCTTTACTTCAATTTATTATCTTTTTTTCCGTCAATTGGGGATGTGATGGAATGATGGTTATGAACCTATTGCTGACACATCATCTAAAGATATCCATACATCTGGATTTAATTTGTATCAAGCAATTCGCAATTGGGAGAAGTTTTTCTATTGTGCACTTACTGCATATGCTATGTTATGCTATGCTATGCTATGCTATGCTGCAGCCATACTGGGATTGTGCAACATTGAGTTAAATTCTTAGATCGTTTCACATGTATGTAGACTCTGATTGAGACTCATAAATAAGATCACATACAGCAAAAACATTTCGTGTATAAGTCCTTGGCAAAGCAGTTCTACAATTTCAAATACGAACATTTTTGTACTTTCATCTAAGAAAAGCAATCCAGAAAGCAAGGCGATTACTCGAAAACACAGGTCATACTGGTACAATTACCACACTTATTCACCCTCAAATATATCCAAAGTCACCATTAAAGTACTATACATTCCATCTAAAACCAAAGTGAGCAACAAGCCCCACCTCACTCAACCCCGTTCATTACGCTTCAACAAGGATTTGCCACTCAACATATCCTCCACTTCAATTATATTCTTCCAATGCACAGTCTTTCCTTTTCTCAACTTGACATCAGCCTCAAAATCATAAAGCTTTTTAACACTGGTGAATTGTAATGCATCACCTTGGATGCCAATGACAACTTGCGAATGCTTAGAGCTAAAGTCGATATCATAGCCATCGTCATCACCGCTCTTATCCTCTTTATCCACCACTATATCGGCGTTGTCGACACAACGGTTGTACTCCTCGATAAACTCAATGGCCTTCAATGAAAACTGCACGGCAAATACACGGTCAGCCGCTGATGGCGTGTAACCCTGTTGGACATGGCCCGGTACTGCTGTACGTGTCTCGAATCGACTCTTGGCATTTTCTTTAATGATATCAGCAATCAATTCAGTAGTGTAGACACTTGATGCTTGCTCGTTACGTACAATCAACTTACCATTATGATCCTCGCCACGGTCACTTTGAAACACCTTGAATAAGAGGTTGATATCACGTTGTAATTCCTTCAACGTGATTTGGGCTTCAGGCGTATACGTAGCTAGCGCACCCGTAATTAGTCCACAATACGCAGCAACAAAACCCGAGTGGCCACCTTGCACTTCAACAACAAAAACTCTTCTACGACTCGACGATGCTGATTGTTGCACGGCATCACAATAAGTAACCAACTCATTCATACATGTGTCAGAACCTAATGAGTACTCAGTTCCAGGCACGTTATTGGAAACTGTGGCAGGGATTACAACCATGGGAATCTTGAAAATTGGATAATTGTCTCTTTGATCGTGTAATTCATGCAATGAAGTAAAAGCTTCAAATCCACCAATGATTAATAATCCTTGGATGTTGAATTTCTGCAAATAGTAGGCAACTTCACCAAAGTTTTGCGAAGGTAATGAACGGTTGGTACCAATTTCACTTCCACCTCTACTGTGCCACCCTTCAACATCTAACCAATTCAATTTTTTCAATTGGCCCTTGACCAAACCTGAGAACCCATCGGTTACGGCATACAACGTGTGTCCTCGTGAAAGACTTTGCAATGCAATAGCCCGAGTAGCTGCGTTTAACCCAGCTGAAGCAGCACCAACATGCACTACAGCAATATTCAATCTACTACCTTCTGCCAATTTCTTTGATCCATCGTCATAGAGCGTAATCGACTGGAAGTACTTGTACGACTCGGCAAAATTAACATCTCTCAAGCCCATTGCTTTATCAAAATCCTTATTTTCGATGGCTGTGGCAACAGCCTTGGTTTGCTTCACTGCGTCCACTAAAGGATAGCGTACTAGTTTGTGTCTCAATATACCAATCATGGGCGATGGGGCATCTGGTGTCATATCCAAAACTGCCTTTATTGCTTCAACACCTTGCAATGTAGCCAACCTCCTATCGGAAGCAACGGCCGTGCCTCCTCTTTGCACATGTCCCAAAATAGTTATTCTAGTGTCCAACCCAATCTCCACCAACACTTGCTTGACTTGTTCCGAAGTAATTGGGTTCAATTCATCATCAATAGCACCTTCAGCAACAATCACGGTAGTTTTCCTTCTACCATACTCCCTATGTCTGGTACAGATATCTTTTAAATTTTGTTTCCATTCGCCAGCCTTTGGTGGTCGTTCAGGAATGAAAACATAATCAGCACCTGTAGCCATCCCTGATAAAAGAGCTAGCCAACCACAATGTCTACCCATCACCTCAACAACAAAAGCTCGTGAGTGAGATGAGGCTGTGGCATCAATGTAATCAACCATTTCGGTGATTCTCTCCAATGCCGAATAAGCACCAATCGTGACATCGGTTCCTGACATGTCATTATCTATAGAGCCAACTAAACCCACAATAGTAAGATGCTGGTATGGCTTGGTTTGCTCATTAGTTAATTTTCCTGTCTTTACCAATTCTTCGATTAATGAAGGCCATTCACTTCTAAACAAATCGGCTCCAGTCAACGACCCATCACCGCCAATAACAACCAATGCATCAATACCGTTGATGACCATATTGTAAGCAGCTTGTAGTCTACCTTCGCGCTCTCTAAACTCTTTGCATCTGGCAGTACCAATAGCAGTACCACCCAAGGATAAATACGAACGAACATCGGACCAGTCCATCTTTTTCAACAAGCTTCCACCCTTCACCAACCCTTCGTATCCTTCATACACGGCATACACATCACATCCATGGTATATACCCGCACGGACAACTGCTCTCACTGCCGGGTTCATTCCCGGGGCGTCACCACCCGACGTCATAACCGCAATCTTTTTCTTCTTTCCTCCATCAATAAAAGCATCTTCTTGGTTAATAACCAAATCAATCTCAGATTTGATCTGTTTCTTGCGGGTGTTTTTCAAAATTTCAGTCTCGGTCTCTTTGATATACTCCTGTGGCGAATGATATTGTTTCAGTTCCAACACATTCTTGGTGTTTGAAAACTGCAACATGTTTCCCAAAGGGTCAATAACATGAAACACATGATCATTATCTTTATGCACTTCAGCATTGGCATCTTTCAACAATGTCTCCACTTTTTTCAAATCGGTACTGAAAAAGATAAATCTCTTTACTGTTGGTTTCAATTGCTTTTCATTCGACAATCTGATTTTAAGAACGGTAGACTCGGTCAACTTTTCGCCATCGTCACCAGTGTAAACCTTCATTTCTTGCCATGGACACAAGTTTCCATTGTCATCAACTTCCTGTAAGGGGTACGACTCAAGCCATACCTCTCTCAACGAGTCTTTAGAGACGCCGAGTTGCAATTGTGGTTTATAAGCTCCTAAAGCTCCATTCGTGGTCACTCTTGAAAAGTTTTTGGTTAATCTAAAGCCCAAATTTGAATAAAATTTGTACAGCTGCAAAAACTTGTCCTGATCCGTCGTGGTGAGTGAGACGTAGCTCAAACGTTGTATGTTATCCACACCTGGCATTCTTTTTTTTTTCCTAAAGTTTAGAGCGTTATATCAATTGGTTGTAGCACCAGTTGAAAATATGAGTTAATTAGTTTACTGTTGTTGCACTTCGAACTGGGTCAGAATGATTGATATAAAAGCAAACTACAATCACTTGTGCTCGGATGGTTCCATTGCGCACAATACATTTTTTTTGTCTTCTATCAGAGCATCTGTAGATGATACACGACTTATACATTTCGGACTCAGGTCTACCGAGCTACCAACCCCGTCTTTTCACAAAAGAGCAGTTGACTCAGTTTTGTGACTGCAAACAGCGATTTTATAATGACGTAAAGATAATCATAAGTTCAGTGAGTACAATGGTGAATACGGGCATTACAAACTTGGAAACACCTGATTGAGCGTTTTGCCCATTCGTATCAAATTTGTGCTGCGGATGATGATGAGGTTCGTGATCGGGGAATTGAATGAATTCATTATTGCTTGTTGACGTGGCAGATTTGGTAGATTTGGTGGATTTGGTAGATTTGGTGGACTTGGCTGGCGTACTAGTCGTGCTAGTCGTGCTAGTCGTGACTTGCTTGGCAAGTGTGCTAGTCGTTGTAGTCGTGACAGACTTAGCTGACATTTTGCTATTGTGAATTAGTGTTGTGAAATGATACTCTGTTGACAGCACTGATGTTGTTGCATACCAGGATTCACTCACCAACTCGGAGTTTGCGGATGTAGTTTTTGTAGCAGAGACAAACCCATTAAAGTCCTTATTCACTACCTTCTTGATCTCAGTCGCTTCATCAACAGGTAGTGTAGAAAACACCTGTTCAATTGGATCTTTATCGAGATAAACAGGGTCGTATTGCGTGACAAAGTCGTCAGTGATTGACGCATAATCCGTCAACTCAGTCAGAGTAGCTGACCAAGTGGGTGACCACACTCGCTCGTGAGGCAATGTCCAACCTCCGTGTCTCTCCCTTGGTAAAGTGAATTCCTTGGTAAAATCAAGTGAAGAAGTCAATGATTGCGGCTTGTCATTTGTATCTCCGTCATCTCCATCTCGTGGTTTAAAAATCTCTCCATCCTTGGCCATCAAGTTTAACCACGACCCATTTGGTAGCCAACCATAAGAATAAGACTGGCCCGATGAATAGTCGCTAACCATCAAGTTCTTGATATTCATGGTAAACGGACCATCTTGGTAATTAGTAAGGCCTTTACTCCAGGCAATTGTACCTTCGTTTTCTGTATCTTCTCCTGCCCATAAACTAATCCTAATCGCCATTGGTGATGTAGGAAACCCCTGCTTGTTTTTGCAGCTCAATTGACGTACCGGTTGATCATCCAAGTACCATACAATCTTGTCTGGTGTCCATTTGACGCCATACTTGTAAAATTCCTTTAATGGGCTTGTTTGCAATCTATGGTATCGTTCTCTATCATAAGTGGTAACGTTTCCCTTGATAAAATAGTTTGTTTGATAGTCAAATGGATCACCTCCCAATATTTCGGCAATATCAATCTCATCCAAGTCATCACTTTGCAAGTAAATGGAGCTAACTATACCACTTCCAAATGCACCCTTGACCTCGGCCTCAACTTTACCGTACATAATGTAAAAGCTGGATTTTAAAGCCGGATTCTCAAACTTATTTTTGATTGTCAATTCCATCCCATCGTCACCAAACTTGATTCCTTTTCTACTACTTGTAATTGAAAAGTAATTAGTACCCTTTGAAAAGGATTCAAAAACTGTTGTTCCCAAGGCCTCATTGGTAACCAAGCAAGATTTATCAATGTTTGGATTGCATTTCGCCGGGCAAGTAAAAAAGTCAGACAGTGAGTCATCTTGGAAACCGTCACTGCTGAAATCATCGTTCAATTCGTCCTGTAGCTGTTCACTTTCGTAGACATCGCCTTCGTCACAATACTCAAACTCAAACTGAACCGACCTCTTGAAAAGTAAATAAAGCACCACTAGTGACTTAATTGAAAACATAGAATCTAAGGCTAACTAAAGGATGGATGAAGTGTTTTTTTCTTCAAAAGCACACTGGAATCAAACCCGTTACTTATACTTACTGACGCCATCGTCGCTGAATGTGGAGAGTGGCAGTAATAAAAGATGACACAATCACTTACTTCAATTTTAGGGACTATTGTTGCAACAGATCAAAAAAGTTCCAATTCGGATAAACACAAAAGAGGGCACAAAAGCTTTCGTACGCGTCTCCTTTGAGCATAACAATTTTCTCTCATCTGAACATTCAATTTTATCGAGAGTACCTCTCGCCTTCCAATGTACACAGAGGCGCATAGGGTTCTACTTACCTATATCAGATCTGTCAAGACGATCAAGTTACAGGAGCTTCTTGACGCTTTCGCTTTGATCTGCCAGCGATTAGGCGTCGCAGAACATCCAACACGAGATTTACTTAATCAATACGTAGCAGATATCAATATCCAAATATCACAGCAAGGGTTTAAGATAGATCGGAAGAATGACGAGGTTGATGGGTCGCTACATTTTATATTCATCAATACCATAGTTGACGATATAATGAAAGAAAGTTCGTTGTACACAACAACAGAGCTTGTTTCGATAAAGGTGATTATTGAGGATATAATCGAGGCGCCAAATTTTGCTTTTTCGACAAGTAGGACCTCGGCACAGCAGATTGTCGCTGCTCAACAGAATAAAGTCACCAAAGATGCCGTAGCATTTGTCGATCGGTTGATTGACGACGGATGGTTTGACGCTACGTTGAACGATTACTTGGTATTATCGGTCAAGAGTTTGTGTGAATTGAAGCAATATTTAATCGATGGGTATGGCAGGGGAAGTGAAGAGGGTGGTGAAAAGCTACTCATATGCTGTCAATGTAAAGAGATTGTCACATTGGGTTATTATACGTTGGAAAAAGATGCGTTTCATAGGAAATGTTACGACGTTTATTGCAGAAACAATGGAATACCCAACAGGGAATCTACCTTATCAAAAGTAGGACCCGATCCTTCCACATTATAAAGATATGTCTATTCATCAAAGCTATCCAAATACTGAGCTTCTACTTCATCAAGCACGTCCCAATACCATTCTTCAATCACTTGCTCTTGGTATCGATCACTTAATGGCTTTACTGATTCCAGCGGTGGGAACTCAAAGTCTGGTCCTGCATTCAATCCTACTGCACCATTTTGAAATGTTGATAACATCGGGTAGTAACCTAGTGTGTTGTCGTCGGTGTTTCGATAACCCGGGTTTTGCAGCTGCTGGACGTTTGGCTCAAGATTGAGATCTTCTCTTTCTTCGATGTTTGTTGGTAGGAATGAATATAGATTATCAATACTCGTATCTTGTTCAACGCCATTTTTAAACACTCGTATCTTGGAATTGGCAATCACTGGTATGTTTTTCGTCTTGTCGTCCATTTCAATAATTGCTTTTTCACCAAACACGGTTATTGGATTCAATAAATGATCCATTGTTTTGGTTCTTGTGTATTCATATTGGTCATAGTAAAGAGCACCTTTGGATTTGGTCGGGATCTGGTCCCGAATAATATTGTCATGTGCAATAAACATCTCATTTTCTTCCACACTCTTGTGCTTCCATCTGGGTTTCCTCTTTTTCGACTTGTGCTCCGTTGACATTTCTTCTCTCTTTTTGTCAGCAAATGCCTGTATGTCACGCTTATGTTCTTTCAATGGAGGAAGTTCAACCAAAAACCCAATAACATCGCCCGTGGTGAAGCCATCTTTAACGCAGACATTCTTTCTTCGACTAATGAACATTAATTGTCCGTCAACATCGCGTACACCGTACCCATACGCATCGTATCCTACTGGCGCTTCTAAACTGGCTTCCCTTCGTGCAAGTCCCACTCTCACATGGCTATTTTCACCAACATTGAGTATTTTAAATTCAAAGTAGTACGACCCCTCTCTAATTCCAACATTACTTCTTGCTGATCTCCACCCTTGAGATTGTGTAACCGACATTGAGTCTTTACTGAATAATACCCCTGATGATCGATCAAATAAACTGACACATGCTTGAAATGGCGGCAAGTCAGTTGTCGAGTAATAGTTTGATGTAAATATGGGGTTTGGTCGGCATAATTTGTACTTGAATCCACGTCTATTGACAGGCAAATCCTCAACCTGGAAATATTCAACCCCATTTACAGTGCACACCTCAGTCGGTACTGGCAAAGCTGGTGCTTGTATATCCTGGAGCTTGAATGGCATTGGTCGTAATCTCGGTTGTATAACAACATTGTGTTGTTTCTGTACGGCTTGAGACTGTTGGTTGTTAAGAGATGTCTCGTCTAGTCTTGTGACACTACCACCATCTTGAACAGCTTGAACTTGTGGCTCAATTGATGGTTCCTCGGAAAAGCCTTGTCTCATGGTGGAAAAGTGATGTTTGGTGTGCAATGTTATTTTCTATTTTTTTTTTTGGCTATATTCCGCTGCATTACATGCGTCGATAGTGAGTACAGTCGTCAATGATACCAAATTAGACTATTAAAATAAACTAAAGGCTATAAAAAGTATCTTATAAGAAGAATGTTGCATCTTAATAGCAATTACAAAGCAGATCAAAACCAACGAAAAATTCACATAGACTTTTTAGTGGCATTTCACCACCAGCTTCTTTCCGCCTTTATCTTCTCTTTACTCCTGTTTGTAGCTCTTCCGGTGTCGTGTAACAATGCCTGACTCTTTACCAATACCTTACCACTCTCATTTTCAATCACACTCTCCAACAAAATATGCTTCTTGTCGTTTTCTTCACTAGGTTTCGTCTTTGTCTTTATAACTAAAAATTGATTAGCAAGCGTGGGACGTTTATAATTGATTGTCAAGTTTTCGACTTTGAAATCGTCCTTCAAATTCGATGTGGTGTCCTTGCTCAATGATGCATTTCTCTTGAAAGTTTCATTCAATAATGTAGCTATTATCCCGCCATGAACTATAAATGGGTACCCACATAACCTGTAGCCTGCATGGATAATCGATACACCTTCGTCGGTTTCAATATTGTGGAAAGTGACTGGTTTAATCAAGATGCCCCCTGGTTTGCTCAAGGTTCCGTTTGTCAATGTTGGTTCATGGTACTCGTCTTGAGTCTTGACGGATAAATCTTGATTATCCAAAACATTTCTATCGAGGTTCTCCCAACTCAGCAATTTAAACCACTGATGGTTGTTCTTCGGATGGGCCAACTTTTGATAAATGGGCAAGTTCTTCAACTTGTATTCCAATTGCAAGGCTTGTAGAGTTGCCAGTGATTGTTTCTCATCAATCGCCGTATAATTCTCATAAAGATTAAATAAAGTCTCATTATACGACAAGTATCCCCCAAGTAAAAAGAATGCAGTTGTTGTTTTCCAATTGATCCATTTGCGATTAGGCGGTGATCTAGGCAAATGATCAAAAGGTGAGTCACCGGCTGTTCTTGTTGCAAGGTAACGCCTTTGAATGAACGACTTGATCGATTGTTTGCAACTTATCGTTGACTTTGAGGTTTTTGCTGAATACATGTGAAGTAAGTGGTTGAGCTTTGAATGACGATAAGATTTGGTTTCATTTTTTGTTTTTCCGTTTCTATTTACAAACGACAAAAAAATTAAATAGATTGTAGACACCTTCAACCTCACACGTGTGAATGCAAATGCTAACTAGAAGCAACCACTCTTCAGACTGTGTGTACTCCAAATGTCGAGATCAGGATTAGGTAAAAAAGTGAAGTTAAACTTGGAAAAGTTAAAAAACAAAAAAAAATAAAACTGGACGAGATAAGAATCGAACTCATGACCTTTCCCATGCTAAGGGAACGCGCTACCAACTACGCCACACGCCCGTTTTGTTGAGAATTCTTATTCTAGATTAAAGATACAATTTCCTTTTGAATCATGTTTTCAATAAAATTTTGCCTTAAAAATTCCTCAAGTGCACTGTAAGCACTTATACTGATATTGCTTTTCAAGCTATTGAACGGAAAAATCTTTCATAGCTGTTTGAAAGCATTTATAGGAAGCTTTAGCACAATTATATTTTTTTGCCCCAAACTGTAAACAAAACTTCAGAAACTGGCATTTCGCTCCATTTGTTCCAGAGTTTGTTTTCCAAATTTAAAAGCCATTCACCTTTTTTGTCATATATAATCTTTGGTGCCTTTTCGTTTTGACAGAGGCAGGAACTTTAAATTTTGAAGATTCTACTTTGGTTGCAAAAACGAGGTAGCGCATAGTTGGTCAACACGTCACAATAGTAGGTTTAAAGTATACCCATTGATTTATTCGACTGTGGATACTCTTATCCACTTTGGATAAAACCTATTAAAAGAGCTTGATTGCTTCAAGGGGCTTTCATAGATAAATTTTAATTTTACTTCCCTCATGTATCACAAGTGTACGCGTTGTGATTTGTCTCAACGGGTTTTAAGAATCATCCAGTAGAAGTACCTAAGTATAGCTATAACTTTTAATGACAAAATCCAACCATATTCATAGATATTTTGCAGTCAATGTTGTCTTACTCTTGCAAGAAAATTGCTTCGCAGCTTTTATAGTATCGTACTTGGTGCGTATCGATAGGTTCACCAGTCTCTTTGCTCATAATATGACTAATTGTTGTAGATAGGGGTAAACGTCGAGAAAGAGATAAGTTTCATTAGTAGATGCTTTTAACAGTAACTACAGCAACTACTTTGATGGTAAAATTTGCCATTAGCAATGTATGGTTTCGTCTGTATACTGAACTTGCGATTAAATTTGCCAAAAGTTTTGTTCAAAAGTTCAAAGCAAAGTTTTGCAAACTCTCACAATGCAAGGGGTGCAAAACAAGGGCAGCAAAGTGCATCAAGTGGATGGATAATTAGTATAGGAATGAGATCAACCAGAGATATGTCATCCCACCCTCTATTCTTATCTGTCTTGTGCGTAATGTAAGCTATTAAAGTCTAAGCCAAAAAAAAGAGAACAAACGAACAAAAAGAATTAAGAACAAAGAAAACAATAATTAATTCGGAGATTGTTGGACATTCAAAAGGTTTTTGTGCGTCCAAGCAATTTAGTCTTGAATACCGTTCAAGGGGTTTATTCTCCTTCTTTTTCACATTGGTTGTCCACACCCTTCATCTTTTTCAATTGACAAACAGTACCAGAAACGTTTGATTGGTTCTAGGCCTATTTTTGTTTTTGTACCCCTGTCTCTGGTGAGTGAGTGTTAATGTTAATGCTAAAGTTAGTGTTGAGTGTGTATTTTGGTGATATTTTTAGATCATCTATTTTAAATTATTGTTATTGTTTTATTTATAAAACAAATGACTCTGTATTCAAAATAATAAGAGAACAAAAGTTAGAGAGGGATACATAATGAAAATTCTAGGCTTGCTCAGCCAGTGAAACACACACCAACAATTTTGTCTCTTGATGTACCGGGTGTTCCTTCACCTCCTCCTATCGACTGAGATTTACATTATGTAAGTTTATTGCATTAAGTAAACAGACTGTGTATCACATGCACTTAATTGTATATGGGGTTCTCTCTCTCTCTCTCTCTCTCCCTCCATATATATATATATATATAAACATATGTGTGATTAAGATTGTACAGTTAGCTTTATAGTGTGTATTATTGTATATGTGTCCTTTGGGAAAAAAGCAAAAGAGAAACAAAGAGAAAATTAAAATTAGAATTAAGAAATTCAACGACAAAGAAAAAAAAAAAATTAAAAATTAAAAATTTAATTCAGAGGGAGAAAGGAGATCGAAAGAAATTTTTTGCCATTCCCTTTTCTCCTACCAGGAACGACTAATCATTGACTCGTTGAAACACTTACGTACGATCCAACCACTTCCATTACATCAGGAACACACATTCCCTTGTTGAAAAAAGAAAAAAAACAACCACCACTACTTTAATTGAACCCATATTGCATTTTAGTCACTCCTTGCATTTTTGGTGGCAGAGTCACACACACACACACAGAATACCAATAGCATACCCCAACAACTTCACACCAACACGCTCCTTACCTTTTTTTTCTTTGAGCTAAATATACCCCAATTCGTTCAGCCATGAGCTCGTCACAAAACAATTCAGACGATTTACCCACTAGGGTATCCAGTAGGAAAGGGAAAAACTTGCATGTTGCCCATAGACGTTCCCCTTCAGAGTTGACCACTTTGATGGTTGAGCAATACAACTTACAACGTCAATTGGACCAGGTTCAAGCACAACAAAGACAAATCTTGGAACAGCAACAGCAACAGCAGCAACAACAATACTTGCAGCCACAATTTGAGTATCCACCCCTGTCGTCTTCCTCGCATTCTGATTTTCTGCATTCATCACAACAATCCAACCACCACCACCACCACAACAACAACCGTGGTTCGCACTCCAGATCTTCATCAATCAATAATAACAATAACAACACTCATAGAAGAACAGGTTCGGCTAGTGGAACTGCCCATGGCCACACAAGAAGACATTCGTTGGCGCTCAATGAAGCAATTGCGGCTGCAGATCAACAAAGAACGAGCAGACTAAACTCAAGTCCTCTGCACGCTGCATCTGATGGGGCAGATGACACCAAAGTGGGGTCATTTAGATTTCCACCGGAAAGTAACGATCCATCTAGCCCAAGCAACGCAGCTCATAACCGGTCAAGGTCCCTGGCCTATGGTCTGCAAACATTCAAGTTTCCGGCAACGCCATCACAAGAAGGATCAAGCGGTAACAACAACTTGTTACCTCCAACTCCAAATTTTAGCATTACCCAATCCCCAGAACGTGGTGGTGGCGGCAGCCACAATAGAAAGCCTTCACACTACAGAACTGCGTCACGTAACTCTGAGGGTATAAATCAAAACTGGAGACAACAAAACATTCATTTAACACCTCAGTCTGGTTCTCATCATAGACAATCTTCAGGGTTAGAACCACCTCCGGGCTTTGTTCCGGGTCACAGACCACGTAATAGTTCCTATGGCGGAGGAAATTCAGTGTCGTCCATTTCACAATTTTTACCTAACAGTGGTGCCGGTGGACAAGGAGGAGGACAAGGTGGGCAAAATACAGGCAATGGCCGCAAATCACTTTTCGCTCCCTACTTGCCGCAATCGTCGCTTCCCGAGTTGATTAATGAGGGTCGTTTGGTAACTGGTATTTTGAGGGTTAACAAGAAGAATAGATCAGATGCGTATGTCTCCACTGATGGATTATTGGATGCAGACATTTTCATTTGTGGATCAAAGGATCGTAACCGTGCTTTGGAAGGGGATTTGGTTGCGGTCGAGTTATTAGTTGTTGATGAAGTATGGGAGTCAAAGAAGGAGAAAGAAGAAAAGAAGAGAAGAAAAGACCACAATACCAGGCCCTTGAATGATGATATACATAATGACGCTACTTCAGCACCCACAACCACTGGAGCAGGTTCCGCCACTGAGAGCAAGGACGAAAAGAGCGAAGAAGGATCATTGGGAAGAAGAGGGTCACTTAAGCAAAGACCAACAATGAAGAAGAATGACGACGTTGAGGTCGAAGGACAGTCTTTACTTTTGGTTGAAGAAGAGGAAATAAATGACGAGGTTAAACCTTTATATGCCGGACATGTTGTGGCCGTGGTTGATAGAATTCCAGGTCAATTGTTTGCTGGTACATTGGGTTTGTTGAGACCGGCCCAGGCTGCACAAGCCGCAAGAGACAAGAAGTCAGGAAACGAGCCATCGGTTCATACACCCAAAGCGCCAAAAATTGTATGGTTCAAGCCTACCGATAAGAAAGTCCCATTGATTGCTATCCCAACAGAGCAGGCTCCTGCTGACTTTGTAAGCAACCACGAAAAATATGCTGACCAGTTATTTGTCGCGTCAATCAAGAGATGGCCCATTACATCATTGCATCCTTTCGGAACTTTGGTATCCAAATTGGGAAAGATTGACAGCCCTGACATCGAAGTCGACTCTATCTTGAGAGACAACAACTTTCTTTGTGATGAATATCCTAATGACAAACTCGACGACGAGGAAATTCTTGGTACTTTTGATTTGCCATCTGTTGAATCAGAATTGGAGAACTCGAGCAGAACAGAGTATTTGAATGACTATATTATTGCATTTTCTCCAAATGGCCAGTTTGTCGACCACGCTTTACATGTGAAAAGGTTGTCTAATACAAAGATTGAATTGGGGTTCCATGTTTCAGACGTATCATACTTTGTTAAGCCTGGGTCAGTGTTGGATCGTAAGTCGAAAAAGAGATCATCCTCGGTTTTCCTTCCCCAGAAAGTGGTTCATTTATACCCACAGCAAGTCAACAAATTGATTTCGTTTAAGGAAAATGTGAAGAATTTGGCATTGTCGGTGGTTTTTGAAATCGACACCACCAATTTCGAAGTTGAGGACTTGTTTATCCATGAGTCAGTAATTGTCCCCAAGCAAATTGTCAACTACGACTTTTTTGATAAAATTTTAGAAAACAAGCCTGTCGACACTATTTCGTCTGCCACTTCCGACTACATCAGAACCTTTAGCTTGATTGCGAAGGAGTTTCGCCGTCAGCGTTTGGCAAATAGAAGCTTAGGAATTACACCAAATTTGACCTTGTTGGACCAATTGGATGATGAAAAAGTTGCTTTGAGTTTGAATATTTTCGATGACAGTTTGGCTCGTGATGTTGTTTCGGAAATCGCGTTGAAGGTGAATTCTGCCATTGCTGCAAAAGTTCAGGTTGGCTTGGGCAACAAGGCATTTTTGCGTCGTCAAGGATTGCCTACGTTGCAAAAGATAGAAACATTCGTACGCAAAGCGACTAACTTGGGTTTCAAGATCGATACTACTGATGCCGCCACTTTGCAGAATTCATTGTTGAAGATTGAGGATCCTGTTAAGAGACAGTGTGTGGAGATTTTATTGTACAAGTGCATGGCTCGTGGAAAGTACTACGTTGCTGGAAAGCAAGATCCTGATAGTTATGGTCATTACTACTACAACTTGCCCTTGTATACACATTTCACTGCGCCTTTGAGACGTTATGCTGATTTGATTGTGCACAGGCAATTAAAGGCGGTGTTGCACAAAGAAGAAGAGGAGAAAGATGTTGATTCTTTAAAAGCATTGGCTGATTATTGCAATTTCAAAAAGGATTGCGCTGCTAGCGCTCAAGAACAAGCCATCCATCTCTTGTTGTCACAAACCATCAATGAATTGAGTGAAAGCGCTGGCCAGTTGTTGTGCATGGGTACTGTAATTCAGGTCTATGAGTCGTCATTTGACGTGTTCATACCCGAATTTGGTATTGAAAAGAGAGTCCACGGAGATCAGTTACCTCTTGCCAAGGCCGAGTTTGACAAGACAAACCGGGTTTTGGAACTATTTTGGGAAAAGGGTGTTGATTCAGCAACTTACATCCCGCCTGATGAAGCAACTTCGTTGTCCTATCGAAACTCGATAAAGAATAAGTACAGAACTTCGTCCGCGCAGGCTGCCAAGATTCAGAATAGGGCCATTTTGGAGAAGAAGGAATCAGGCGAGGATTCAATTGTCGAGAAGTTACAAAAGATGAACTTGGAGCCTCCAAAGTTGACGATGCCACCCTTGAAAAGGGTCCACGAGGTGTCGGATGAAGATGCTACTAAGTCGATGCCAAACCTGCCAACTCAATCACACATGCCTCAGAATCTAAGAACGAACTCGTCTTCGCTTATTGATGAATCAGAGGGTTCAAACATTGCAGGTTTGGCGCCATATTTGCAAAGCCTTGAAACCAAGGTTGAAGGTGATTCCTATACTCAAGTTATTAGAGAGTTGAGTGAGGTCCCAGTTTTGTTGAGAGCAGAAATCGGTATGACGTTGCCATGCTTGACTGTTCGTATTTTAAATCCATTTACGTAGTTATGTATATATAATAAAGAAGAATATTTCGGTTATCTAGTTAATTTCGTATGAGTAATGAACAACTCTCTCCAAAGATGAAAAAAAGAAATGAAAAAAAAAAAAAGAAAAAACGATAAAAGAAAATAGTTAGAGTCCTTTGACTTTGGTACTCCACTCGTACATAACATAACTAGAACTTCATCTTTGCTGAAGCATGTCGGAACATAAAGACAATGAGGGCCACAACCTCAAGAGGGAGCATGACTCCATCATCAACGGTACTCACTCACCCAGACCATTGGTCCAACCCAAGAGATCTAAGCTTATTACATCATCGCATTTCGACCTCAATTCACCACTACAAACTAGACCAGCATCGCCCTTGATCCTCAACCCGCCAATTGACTCCGATGGTCTATCATGGCCCTCGCATGGCGCACGCTCACGTATTGACCAAACTCCAGAAGAGGCAGTTGAGCGGGAAAAGCGTATTGCCGACGCTGTGCGGACAATCTTGACCGAATTAGGCGAGGACACGAGTCGTGAGGGGATCTTGGAGACGCCTGAACGATATGCTCGTGCCATGTTATTCTTCACCAAAGGATACGAAGATAATATCCGTGATGTGATTAAACATGCAGTTTTTGAAGAGAACCATGATGAGATGGTGATTGTGAGAGATATCGAAATCTATTCGCTTTGCGAGCACCATTTGGTTCCGTTTTTTGGTAAAGTGCACATAGGATATATTCCCAACAAGCGGGTCTTGGGGTTGAGTAAATTAGCTAGATTAGCAGAAATGTATGCCAGGAGATTCCAAGTCCAGGAAAGATTGACCAAACAGATTGCCATGGCATTGAGTGAGATTTTGAAACCCCGTGGTGTTGCTGTGGTTATGGAAGCCACACACATGTGTATGGTGAGTCGTGGTGTACAAAAGACTGGTAGTTCAACAACTACTAGTTGTATGCTTGGGTGCTTTAGAGACCACCAAAAGACAAGAGAAGAGTTTTTGACATTGTTGGGGAGAAAGTAAAACTGTAGAAAATGGAGCTTGGTTATTGCTGCTTGTATCAGAGTTTAGTTCAACACAGACGATACGAGTGTGGAAGGAGTAGGGGGTGGTACTATTTTTCTTTTTCTTTCTTTTGTTTAACGAGTTACGATAATTCAACTTATACAAGATCTAAATATTGTTTATATATATATAACCATTGTTTTGCTATTGTTTTATGCAATTCATTTGATTATCTTTGCTGCATGTAAAACAAGTTTATCATCCCCATATTGACCTGCTACTTGAATGCCTATGCCATTGAATGGCACAGAAACTGCCGGCAAGCCAGCAAGTGAAACCGGTACTGTGAAAATGTCATTTATGTATTCATGAAGTAAATTTTCAGCATTTTTCGTCGTGCTTTCTTTTACCGTAGGAGCAACATCTATTGCTGTTGGAGATATCATCAAATCGCACCCGTCTTCATTATACTGATCTTGCAAGAGAGGATGCTTCATTTTGAATGCCGATGATAGTTGTCTTGTCAATTTTTCGCGTAATTGTGTAGCGTGTGCGTAATGATGGCCCGACTCAGAACTTAGTGTGTAGTTGCCCAATAGTATTCGTCTTTGCACTTCCGGACCCAAAGATTCGGTTCTGTTTTTAAAAATCAAGTCCATTGGCTCATCATTGACATTCAATGGTCTTGATGTGTAGCCGTACCTGGTTCCGTCATACCTAGCCAAATTAGACGCGGCTTCAGAAGTAGCGATTGCGTAGTAGACAGGTAATGCCTTTATTATCGCTTTAGTCGAGATGAATTTTACTTTATGTCCTAGATCGATGAGACCTTCCAATACCTCGACCCATTTTGAACGTACTTGGTGGGACACTTCCTCAAACAAGAAATTCAGCGGTATTCCAAATGTTAACTGTGACAACTGTTGCGTAGTTTCCATATTATCCCTTACCGATTCAGGGAGAGATGTTGGGTCCTTGGCGTCTTCGACATTCAACACATCATACACCTTTTCCACTAAATCGATATCCTCACTGAGGATACCCACTGTATCCAACGTTTGAGCATACGGTATAACACCCCACCGTGAAATTCTTCCATATGTTGGTTTAAAGCCAAGTACATTGCAGTAACTTGCTGGCAACCTGATTGACCCCCCCGTATCGGTCCCAATGGAAAAGCTAGCTATTTTCCCAGCAACTGCGGCTGCAGATCCACCCGAAGAGCCACCAGGGACAGCTTCTTTGTTAAATGGGTTAACGACAGCACCATAGTATGAGTTCAAATTGGACGACCCCATTCCAAATTCATCCAAATTGGCTTTACCTATACACGTTGCTCCATTCGCTGATAGTAGCTTCACAACAGTGGCATCGAATGGTGATTGATAGTTGTATAGAGCATGCGAGGCTGCAGTGGTGGGGAAATCCTTGGTGACGATATTATCTTTCAATGCGTAGGTTGTATTCGTAAGAGAGCCACCACCATGCTGTCCTGCAATTGTGCATTTCGTTATTATACTGTTGAAAGAATCACTTCGAGTGGAATAGTGTCGAAGCTGTATAATTTGTCGTACCATATCTGGGCGTGTATATGTGGGTGTATAAAGTGTGTCAAGTGTGGAGCTCAATAGATCCCGAGTATCATTCCATCCAGAACAGTGAAAAAAAAAAAAATCTTTAGAGAATAAAATAAAAACTTGAGCTGAGTCATCATCCACACTGAATATCACCCACTATAATGAGCTTAGAACTTTTCGGATCCAAGGACAAGACATTGTTGGCCTTGGTCAACAATTTGAAACTTTCCATTGCAGCCGCTGTGTACGACTCAAAACTCGTTGTGAAGTTGTCTGAAGACGATGACAATAGCGGCGTTTTGTTGAAGGATAAAAAGACTGGATTTGAATTATTTGAAGCTAATGCAATTGTCAAATATTTGGCAAAGGATTACACCACGAACGAGAATATCAAATTCGAGGAAAAAGAGTTGTATAAAGCTTTATTGACTAATAAAAAGGAAAACCTTGAGCAAGTTAAAATTGCAACTCCAGCCCAAGTTGAAATCAACCCCTCGCAGATTATCCTCTTTTCGTCATTGTATCCAATCTACGTCAACGGATCCAACGCTTGGTTTAATGGGTTTGCTGCAAAGGTGGAAAAAGGGGTGCAACACGCATTATCAATAACCAAGGTTGAAAGAGTTAAAGAAACCAACACGGGTGCTCAAAATTTCACCAAGGACTACTTGGTCAAGGACCAGGCAACAAGAATTGTTCCTAAGCCAGACGAGCGTAATATCTTAATCACTTCAGCATTACCATATGTCAATAATGTACCTCATTTGGGAAACATTATTGGATCGGTGTTGAGTGCCGATATCTATGCAAGATATGTTAAAAATAGGAACCATAATGCTATTTTCATTTGCGGTACCGATGAATATGGTACGGCAACCGAGACCAAAGCTTTGGAAGATGGCGTCACACCAAAGGAATTGTGTGACAAGTACCACAAGATTCATAAAGAGGTTTATGATTGGTTTGATATTGGATTCGACTACTTTGGAAGAACCACAACTGAATTGCAAACTGAAATTGCTCAGGACATTTTTTTGAAATTGCACAAGAATGGGTACTTGGAGGAGAAGACCACCGAGCAGTTGTATTGTGAACAACATCATTCATTCTTGGCAGATAGATTTGTTGAAGGTACATGTCCCAAATGTGGCTACGAAGATGCCAGAGGCGACCAATGTGACAAATGTGGTAACTTGTTAGATCCATTGGAGTTGATTGATCCTAGATGTAAGGTTGATGGGGCAAAACCAGTTGTGAGAAACTCGACCCACATTTACCTCAAATTGAATGATTTGGAAGAACCATTAAAAAAATGGGTTGATGAAGCTAGTGAAATATGGTCCAAAAACTCCAAAACCATCACCAACTCTTGGATTAAACAAGGGTTGGAACCAAGATGTATTACAAGAGATTTGAAATGGGGAACACCTGTCCCATTGCCAGGCTACGAAGACAAGGTCTTGTACGTTTGGTTTGATGCTACTATTGGTTATATTTCCATTACTGCCAATTACTTTAAAGAAAATGATGCAACCGATACTGAAAACTGGATTAAGTGGTGGAAGAATCCGGAGAATGTCGACTTGTATCAATTTATGGGTAAGGACAATGTACCGTTCCATACTGTTGTCTTCCCTGCGTCGGAAATTGGTACTGGTGATAATTGGACCAAGTTGCACCATTTGAGCACCACCGAGTACTTGCAATACGAAGGAGGTAAATTCTCCAAATCGAGAGGTGTTGGTGTGTTCGGAAACAATGCCAAGGAGACCGGTGTTTCATCATCAGTGTGGAGATATTACTTGGCTTCAATCAGGCCCGAAACTGGAGATGCCCAGTTTTCGTGGGACGAATTTGTTGCCAAGAACAATAGTGAGTTGTTGGCCAACTTGGGTAACTTTGTCAATCGTGTTGTTAAATTTGTCAATGCCAAGTACAATGGTGTTTTGCCCAAGTACGGTGTAGATAATATCCCAAACTACAAGGACTTTGTCGAGGAGTTTAACAGTTTATTGAAGGAATACATTCAAGCTATGGATGGAATTCAAATTAGAAAGGGGTTGGAAATTGCCATGGCATTATCGGCGCGTGGAAATGCATTTTTACAATCGAATCGTATTGACAACAAGAGTTTTGAAGAAGAGCCCGATAGAATTGATGCAGTTGTCAATGTTGGAATCAATATTGCCTACTTGTTATCGGCTGTATTCTATCCATTCATGCCTCTGACATCAGTGCAGATCAATAGGATATTGAATGCTCCTGCATTGTCCATCCCCGACCAATTTACACTTGTTTTGCTTGCTGGACATAATATTGGAGCTGCTGAGTATCTTTTCAAGAGAATTGACGAAAAGAAGATTGATGAATGGAGAAAGTTGTATGGTGGCCAACAGAAGTAGAACTAGCACTAGACTAGACAAATACTTTAAGAATGATACAATGTATACGTATAACTCTGAAATGTTTTATTGAGCTATTCAGGCTTTTTTGTAAGTTATTTCGAAATTAATGGCGCTCCAGACTGATGTCTCATCATCTCTCCATTCTTGCAATACCTTGATTACCTCTTGCTTAGCTTCTTCATTCTTTTTCTCATCATCAACCACAAATACTTCGCCTCCAGTTTCGACCCTCTTGATGAGCAAATCGCCCCAAGTTTTCTTGGTCTCCTTTTGTCCCGCAAACAGTAAGGTCGATGTTGTAGTTGTGATGTTGCTTGGTTTATATCCGGCTTCTATTGCCCTTGAAAGCAATTTCCTACCCGCCTTTAAATCAGTGGACCCTCTATTTAATGCACCCTTTGATTGGTACTCCTTAAGCACATCGTATTTGGGTGGATAAATAAGAATAGAGTCTAAGTCTCCGTCCTTCACCGTAACGTATTTCCCTGGTTTGGTGACCCTAGCCAACTCCTTCAATGCTTTTACCGGGTCCTCCAAATGAACGACAACTTGATGGGCATGCACTAAATCAAATGTGTTGTCGTCAAAGGGCAATTTGTAAATTGACCCAATTTGAAACGATACATTGTCGACATCAGCAGCAATTGACTGTTTCAAGTTGTTGGCGGTATCGATAACTTCTGGGGTTGGCTCAATACCAATTACTGATCCACCTTGGCTCAAGTAGTTCTTGGCAATGTCGATAGTAATTGACCCAGGTCCACAGCCAACGTCCAATACTTTAAAATCAGGTTGAAGCACATTGGTGATGTATTCAACTGAGTTTTCCACCGTCCTTATGGCGTGGGTATCAGAAATAGACTTCTTATAGCCTGTGTTGTAGTATGCTTGTTCAGAAGTCATGATGGCCTTTGGTGTTGTCAATAAGATTACGAATTCAGGTGTCAATTTTGTCAAGGAGTGTGTAATGAAAACGTGTTTTGTAAGCTCCGACGGACTAGCATTCGAACGGAGTTAGTCTCAGAGAACAGAGACCAGAATGAATCTTTGTCTTTAAGCCAAAAGAAAGACTCCACAGAGAATAGAATAAACCTGTAACTGTCGGCGAAGAGACAAGTCCCACCATCTCGCAATAATACTTATTCCCCCCACACACACATATATATATACATACATTGCATCTTTTCCAGTTAAAGTACGTTTTGATGTTCCACAACGGTTGTGTGAAAAACGATGCAATCAAGATCAATGACGTAATCACGAGTTCAAAATAATAGTCTACACCAAGAATTATCAAAATTGAAATCAAATTGCCAGGAATCAGAAGTTCAGTCGGAGTTAATGTTATTTCGGGTACTTGAAAACTTCGGTATCAAAATCATCTGATTTCAACCAAAACAAAAAAATAAACCCGGGGAAAAAAGGAGAATCAACTGACTCAGTCACATGACCTCCCTGGTTATTAAAAAACAAAAATCTAAGAACAAAGAGACAAAAGAAAGAAATCCCCACCTTTTGTTTTCTTAAATAAAAAAACGGAAACAATAATCCAAGTCATCTAAATTGTATAAATCCTCCTCCTTTCTTTTATTTTTTTTTTTATGTCATTTGATTTACTCTTACAATCTCACCACTTTTAATAGCTACAACCCATTATCATTATTTAAAAAAGGGCTGGTCCTTGTCAACAACAGCTTCAAACACCACTCATCTTCACCATCACTGCAGAAACATACCCCAATCACCTACATTCTACTTTATAACAATAAACATAAAACTCCTAAAACCCCCGGGACGAAAACAAACCATATATTCAATTTTCAACAAAACACCATTTTGCAACAGCTTCAATTGTATCAAGCTCTTGCAAGAAAAAGACAGCTAAACTCTATCAACTACCAGCTATATATATATATAACCACTACACTCAGGAACATACCCCCGAAAAAGAAATGTCTTCAATGATATCCACATTTAAAGGTTTATTAGCAGGTGCAGTCATCACACCCATTGTTGCCAAATACATCATTGCTCCCAGGTTCTTTGATCCAAATATTATGAAGGAGATCCATTACATTCAAAAGGAGTTGGATTTTGTTGGTTGGAATGTAAGGCATTTAGAAGAAGAACGAGGTGTTAAAGAAGATGATTTATATACTCCAGCAACTTATTACGCTCAAGGATGAGACGATGACGGTCTATGGAGCTTCCTATTTAGGAGAATATGTTGCAATGTATTTATGGGGCTATTATTTATATATGATAAAAGAAAAAGGAAAGGTATTGGCATTTACTATTGTGTAGCTCGTGTTCTCTTTAATTCGCCTCTCTCATAGTGGCATTATATCAACCTATTTAATAACAATTTGTCCAATTAGATGTACGACATCGGGTGTGATCAGTTTTCAATAGGGTTGATGTTGAACCAAAAACAGGGAGAGCACTCTGTGGAAAGATAATCACTAAGCTGTCCTCTAAAAGGATCTCAAACTTTGTATCTTTCCGGGTATCCCGTGGACAGCAGTCTGGTTGTGGGGTGGTTAGGCTGTAGAAACACTTCTAAGGAAAGCTGCGAAAGTTTTTGAATCATTGGTTGGTATTACACAAAATGAAAGCACCAAATCAGCTTCAACATATTGGTAATGGTAGAGAAGTATACTGTAGAGAAGATATCCTCCAAGAAGAAAAAAAGAAGTTTACGCTTTGTGATTACTGTCTATTTCCCTCTTTCTTCATAAGCAGAGGGGCACACCTGTGCTTGTCAAATGTACCTGAGTTTCGAGGAACACACGTTTATTTTTGTGTTTTAAACAAATGCATGCATTCGGGACGTAGGGACAGCAAAAGACGAACGCGGTGTAGGCCTAGACTCGCGATGGATTTTACAATAGTAGATCATTATTACCCAAAACGTTTTTTTTAAAAATACGCACACACACACACACACACACGCCCATAAATACTTCTTAAAGACGTGTATTTTTAGTATGTACAATGTTTGCTCCCTAAAGAAGGCGTCTCAACTGTGCTTTTCCATTCCCTGTATCTTGTTTCATATGAGTTTTGATGTACCTGTTGAAACATCAACAGAATCCCATTAGATCGGAACACAATGCAACCTTTGACTACGGTTGACGATGTAGTTGACCTATTAAATGTGTTTGATTTAGTTGTAGATAGATAAGAATTCTCATAATCACGTCTCTTGTTCTTCATTTAATTGGTTCTCTTTTTGTTGTTGTTGTTGTTGTTGTTGTTGTTGTTGTTAAAAGGGGTCTTTGGTCTTCGAAAATTATTTTCTTTTTTTTTTTGTTTTTTCTTGTGCACTTAATTTACCTAAAACGTCAAATTTCAAAACAAGGGCGATGCAAATACATAATCCCACCTGCACTAAATATAGCAACAAAGTGTGTTTGGAAAGAAGGTTACAAAATACAAAGCAAAAAGAACTCAAGAACAAATAATAATAATAATAATAGAAGAACAGTTGAAAACAAATAAAAGGTTTGTGTGTGAATGAAGAATTTCACAAGAAATTTTTACACGCCGAAATAAAAAAAAATTAAAAAAACAGACTTTCCATACTTTAAATATCAAAGTTTACGATTTCCCCATTTGATTTTTACATTTTTACTAATTCTTTTAACTCAAACACTCTCTATCAGATCCACCAACACTTTCGTTTTCAATCAGTTCTAATCCCCCTTGGTTCCTCAAGTATATGCATAAAATGACTGTCGAATCACAACAGTACATCTTTGACACGTTTAACAAGGCAAATCAGGGCCATATTTTCAAATATTACAACGACTTAAACACAGATGAACAAGTTCAGTTCTTGAACCAACTCGCATCTATTGAAAACCCATCCAAATTAGTGTCTACCGTCACTGATGCCATCAAGTATTCATCTTCAAACTCATCAAGTAAGAATTTTACACAGTTGCCCAATGAACAAACTGCATCAACGCTAGACCTCGATCCAAATACTTCGCAACATTGGTCAGAGTTGGGATTCAAAGCTATTGCTGACGGTGAAGTGGCTGTGCTTTTGATGGCGGGTGGACAAGGAACACGTTTAGGTTCAAGTGACCCAAAGGGATGTTATGACGTTTCTTTGCCTTCACACAAGCCTCTTTTCCAAATCCAAGCAGAAAAGGTTCTCAAGATTCAACACTTGGCGCAAAACAAACTCAAGTTGGCTAAATTGCCGCAAATTATGTGGTACATTATGACTAGTGGACCAACAAGAAAATCAACCGAAAAGTTCTTCATACAACACAACTACTTTGGTTTGGACCTGAATCAGGTTATTTTTTTTAACCAAGGTACGTTGCCATGTTTTGATTTATCGGGGGAAAAGGTTCTTCTTCAATCAAAGCATGCCATTTGCGAATCGCCCGATGGAAATGGTGGATTATACAAGGCATTGTTGAATAATGGGATCTTGGAAGATATGATCAACAAAAATATCAAGCATATTCACATGTATTGCGTTGACAATGCATTGGTTAAAGTTGCCGATCCATTATTCCTTGGATTTGCCATTGACAGAGAATTTGATTTGGCTACGAAAGTCGTTCGCAAAAGAGATGCCAATGAAAGTGTTGGGTTAATTGTTCTCAATGATGACACAAAGAGACCTTGTGTTATTGAGTATAGTGAAATCTCACAAGAATTGGCTGAAAAGAAGGATCCTCAAGATGACTCGAAATTGTTTCTTCGTGCAGCAAACATTGTCAACCACTACTATTCAGTTGACTTTTTGGCAAAAATGATCCCCCAATGGATCTCATCGCAAGAATACTTGCCTTTCCACATTGCTAATAAGAAAATTCCTGCGATCGATTTAAAGACTGACCAATTTTATAAGCCAGAAACGCCAAATGGTATAAAGCTAGAACAATTCATATTCGATGTTTTTACCTCCGTTGAGTTGTCCAAATTCGGCTGTCTTGAAGTTGACAGAGCCGACGAGTTTTCCCCATTGAAGAATGCTGATGGAGCCAAGAATGATACACCAACTAGTTGTAGACAAGATTATTTGAAAAGAGGTACAAACTGGGTAAAGGAAAACGGTGGTCATGTAGACGAAGGAGCATATGTTGAAGTTGATCCAATGTCCAGTTATGATGGTGAAGGGTTAGAGTTTGTTAAAGGAAAAACTTTTGCAAATGGTGATATTGTTTAATGATCTATATACGTAAAAATAAAAGAAGCATTTTCATGCTAATAATCGATTCATTTGCTCAACGGTATAATCTAGAACATAAGTCTGCTCTACCAAATCGTCTAAACGATTATAGTGACGCTCGTTATACGGGATTATACTGTCAATAATCTTCATCAACCCCGGTATTTCAATCAATGTCTCAACGGCAAAATGATGCAATACAACATGGATCAAAGCTTGACTGATTTCAAAAAACTTGAAATTGATATTCCAATCTCTAATCTTTTTAAACAACGTAACAAGTTGATCTTTATTCAATTGACTTATCGTATTTTCCAAATCAAAAGACCCAATAGATGATTCGTCATCCTTATTTGCCTCAATACACGATTTAATCACATGATATAACCTCATGGAATGATTCAACGTCAATGCCAACAAAAATGCATTACTCCAATCCTGATTCTTGACAAAGTTGGATAAATCTTGTTCTTGTTCAACTTTATCTTTCGCGGCCAACTCACGTAGCCTGATTTCTTCAGCAGTATTATCAGTCCAAGTTGTAACTTTCCCATCAGCATCAGCAGTGATGAATTCATCACCTGCGTCATCATGCAACGCCATGGCCCAGATTCTATTGTCATGATTATCCAAAGTGCGTAAAGTTTCACCAGCTTTGTAATCCCAAAGTTTAACTAACCCATCAGCACCACATGATATGAGTTGTGGCAGTTGCGGGTTGAAGAATCTAACTCGCTGGATGGAGTTGGTGTGTCCTTCAAGAGTCTTTTGACATGTGAAATCATTCAATGACCAAATTTTAAGTGTCTTGTCACCACTTCCTGTGACAATTAATTTATCATACTTGTAAAAATTTATATCCCAGAGGCCTCGCTTATGGCCCTTGAGAACACCAATGGTTTCTCCAGATTGAGAGTTCCATATTTTCCCCAATTTATCATAAGATGCAGTGGCAAAGTGTTCATCATTAGGAGAAATGTCAATAGCATTTATGTCCTTCTCATGTGCCCTTCTAGTGTATACTGACGTTTTCACTACGGATCCACTACTTTTTGGAATGGTCCATTTTTTAATGGTCAAGTCGCTTGACCCTGTGATGAGAAAACTAGGTTGCAGCGTTAGTTTATTCAAACAGATTGCCGTCACTGAACCGGCATGACCTTGGAAAGTGGCAAACAATTCGAAATTGTCGACGTCATCATTCCACACCCACAACTTTGCTTCACCATCTTTTGATGCAGTAGCAACCCATCTCCCATCGGAACTTGCATCTAGAGCATTTAATATATCAGTATGACCCTCGCACACCTTCAACTCAAATGGCTTTTGCAAATCCATAATCCTCAATGCTGGAGAGTTCGTAGCCATTGCTAACAAGTTATTGTTTGGCCCCACGTACCTCGTATCAGCAATGATACCTTGATTACCGGCAATCCTCTTGACGATGGAAAGTTCCCATACATTTTCAGCAATGATTCGTTGATCTTCTATGCAAAGATCTACTTCCACCAATGTTTGGTCACTGACAACCAAATACAAATTCTGATCATGGACCTTTATGACATCAATGATTAACAACTCCTCATTGGTCTTTAACGGCGTTGGCGATTGGGCGACCAAATCACCAGTCTTGATATCCCACAAACGCAAAACATTATTCGAACCAGCAGTGTAAAAAAACTGACGATCATTGACATATTTGACAAACCCACTAGCTTCAATTTGTTCATTAATGGGGTAGGTGAATAATGGCTTGAAATTTTTTGTGCTGTATATAATCACAACATGATCTCTTCCTCCAGATATAAAGTACTCGTAACTTTCATCAAATGAAACACCCCTAACAGCCGCATTATGGTCCTTCAATGTATGTATACATTTCCTTTTCGACAAATCCCAGATTTTGACTGTACCCATGGTATCACCACTTGCTAATCTCCAACTGGTCAAATTGTTCAACTCTCCATACAATGAAATTGAGCAAATTGTCGTACCGTGGCCCTTTAGAGAATGGGTTACAAACCCGCCTTCAATATCCCACACAGTAACCACACCATCGGACCCACCAAAGGCAAACAACGATGACGTCGAATCAACGGTTGAAATGTATACCGGTGATGAAAGCTTAAAAGACTTGGTGATTTCTTTAGCTTCAATGTCGAATATACGTAGCTGCTGTGATTGTGAGCAGATGGCAAGGTATTTGCTATCAGGCGTGATGCATAGACTTGTAATGGCTTCGTCCTCATCGCCTTCTATTCTGTAGTACAATTCATTAGTGAACAAGTCGGTTATTACAACGTCTTCATTGAATGGCGTGGCTAAATATTTTCCATCTGCGGCGGAGATACTGGCACTAGTTCCGCCTACATAGATAGGTTCTGTCTCTCTATGTATATACGTTGTCTTCAAGTCCATGTTATTTTGTTATAGATGTTTGGTGATGCTTTCCTGCAGCAAACCATATTTCATTTTCGTTTTCTTTTTTTTTTTTAGCTTTAATTTTCGATGAGCATCAAAAGGAACGCAATGGGAAATAAAACTGAACTGTAGTAAAATCTTTCTTCTAATTATCTATATGCTATCTATTTCTACATCCACTCTATACCTAATGACTTTGCCGTGTTTTCCATGTACATCTCAATATAATCCTCTAATCCCTGATTCTTTTCATTTTTGCTGCCAGACACCCATTGTCTAAATCTAATCAACCGGAAAATTACACCCGAAAAGATCATGCTCAACTTGATCCTAAACACATCCCAGTAATCAGACCAACTAATGGTTTTCTCTGTCGATATGGCAGTTATTGCTTCAGTAGTCAACAAATTGATCCTATTTACCGGTGATCCATACTCACGATTAAGGCTCTGAATCATTCTCATTGTCCTCGTCACAAACGTCAATTCCTTGGGGAACTTCAGTCGGTCGCCAATGAAATCCTTGAACAAATCGGAAATGTCACGCGTGTCTTTTTCGTTTCTTTTCGATTTGTCCATCATTCTCACGGGACGTAATTGTACCAATGTTGCAAAAATATCCGGCGATGCTATCCCCCAGTCAAGAGCAATTTCTTGAATTCCATTTGTATTGAGCAAAAACAAGTCCTTCCAAAGTTGATTGTATTGTAGTCTGAACTTCTCGGGTAGAGTAGTATATAGTCCATGATCGAGAAGCACAAGTTCTTGTTTCCCCTTATCATTGATTCGAGCAATCAAATTTCCTGGATGCGGGTCAGAATGAACAAACCCATATTTGAAGATTTGTCTTCCAAAAAGTTTAATATACTGTGTCATCATTAACGCGAGGTTGTATTTCTTTTCAAGTAATTCCTCTTTCTTTGTCAATGAAACACCATCAATCCATTCAGCCGGAAGTACTTGCTTTGTAGTTAACTCAGGATAGTTGCTGGGTATTTTCAAGTTCATATTTTTCAATTCGGGATCACCGTCAATCAAGCTTTGCAATTTGCGAGCATTTTGCATCTCATGCACGAAATCCGTTTCGGTGCTCAACTGCTCAGATATATACTTGCTAAACATGGTCAAAGGTATATCAAACACTTTTTCATAAACGCGTGATATAAAGAAATAAACCCACAAATCAACCACAACCTGATTACTGATGTAATGGTGCTGCACTTTTAACGCCACTTCTTGTCCTCCCAACTTGTCATTTAATTTTGCTTTATGCACCTGAGCAATGGAAGCACTTCCTATTGGGGTTTGATCAATCCAGTCAAAATATTCCTCTTGATAATTCATACCAAAATTCAGCTTTAAAACAGCGTCAACCTGGTACCATGCATCAGTTGGTGCATCGTCGTACAATTGTGGAAATCTCTTTTGATACGCCTTGGGGAATAAACTACCTTGGTTGGCAATTGCTTGTCCTAGTTTTATATAAAGTCCTTTGTTTGTGGTCAATAGTTGTAGCAATCTCTCACTAGCAACCTCATGCAAGTCATTCAAATCATGATAGTTGCTACTATTGAATCCATACTCATAAGCAATCCAAAGAAGCACATACAATGCCCGTACAGTTCTAGCAGCAAGACTGGAGTTGTATTCCCGATCAATGATGTAAATTGTACCTCCAGTGGCAGTAACAATAATTGCTCCAAGTCCGATTCGTCGAAGAATCCTTGAGCAATGATGGACAGTTGGTGGTGGCGCTAAACGCTTAGTAGTGGTGGTGGTGGTGGTTGCAAAGCTTTGTGATCTGAAAATCCGGATAGGTTTTACCGTAGGCAATATCCTATACCATGGCCGATTAAACATTAATCTTGAATTATTTATAGAGACTTATTGTTATGAATGGGTAGGGTTGCTATTTCATGATAAACTGCAAAATAAAAAATAACAAACCACAATGACAAACTGCTGGAAAAAAAAAGAAAAAACCTCAAAGAAAATTTTTGAGTGAGTTGGGGTAAAACCCGAAAAATAAGACTCTTTAAAAGCGATTCAAGTGCAAAAAGGTGACAAGTATAATAGTGAATAAAAGTCGAAGATAATCTAAAAACATACTCAACTGTTTCTCTTCTTATAAAAGTCAATACTTGCTAAAAATGTTTGATCTCAACTGGTAGCATTAGTCATACATACCCATATTTTTGACAGTTCTCTCTCTTTATGATTCTTTATTAATTACCCGAAAGCAAAAAAAGAAGAAAAAAAAAATTAGAGAAAAATAAAATCATTCCATTAGAGACAAGATTACATACATTTCTATTATCCTTTAACTACACCACACCACACCACACACATTATACATATAAACACAGATACAGATACAGATCAAATGTTTACACGCCACATTTCCAAGCCATTGGCCAGATCAATTCGTACTTACGCAACTGACAGTGTATCTCCACCAAGACATAAGAAAGTGGGTGCTTTCAGAGGAGGATTTATCGGATTCTTGTTGGGTATCACAGTCACAGGAGGTGCATCTTACTACTACTTATTGGAACAGTATAATTCGGCCAATACTGTTGTTGCTGCCGATATCATTGCATTACAGGCTTCCATTAACAATTTGGAAAGACATGTGAAATCGCTTGAACAGAAGAAATAGAGGGAGGGAGGGAGAGAAGGGGGCCTTTCTTTCCACAAAAAAAGATTTAGTATGTACATGTATTTAATTCTAATGAAATAAATATTCAAAAAATGAAGTTTAGAAACAAAAAGAAAAGGAGTTGTTCCTTTGAGGTTGTATAGGTATATGTGTGGTGTATGTTTGAAGAAAAGATCGTTTAGATTTCCGAGCAAAACTCAATTGCATCATTGAGAAACTTTGCAAATTCGTTTCTTGACAACTCTCCTTCGCCCAACATAACTTCAAATCTCCTTCCTCCAAAATTACCACCTTCGATTATACTCAAGCATAATTCTCTCCCATTTAAATCAAACAACAAGTCAGTCTTGTACGTCAAATGAACAAAGTCATACTTGACGAATTTACCATTGACACACAATTCAATCGATGACGATGGCTTGACTTTAACTTGACCTCCAAAACTCAATTGCGAATCTTCCAAGAATTGTGACAAGTGAGGCTGATTATCAAAAGAAATTCCAGGTTTTTGTTGGTTTTGTTGGTTTTGTTGTTGTTGTTGTTGTTGTTTATGGTTGTCTTGTGTTGTTTGTGGTTGTAATAAATCACCAATAACAAATTTAGATACTTGCAAATCCAGTGCCAATTGGGGCATAGCAACGTAAATGTTATTCATGGCTTCTATAGATAAGACTTGTAATGTTTCTAATTTAATCCTGCCCCAATCATTCAAGTCAGCTTGTATTTCAACCGGTGGGCAATCTTGCAAAGTTTTTGAGGAATCCAAATTATCATTAGGACTGTGATAAATCGATGGCACTAATCGAATTTGCATCTTGTTGGTAAAAGTCTGGTTACCATTGTACAAGATGGGTAAAGACGTTGCCAAGTCTTTGAAGAATGGAATGCTGGTTAAGAATTTAAACTGATCTGGCTGTGCTTGAAGAAGTTGTTCACGACTAGGTTCCTCAGCCTGTGGGTCCTTATTTTGCTTGAACAATAATGATCCAAACTGAATCGTGTATGCTGAATATGGTTCAGCGTCCTTTGAAGCACCTTGGAGGCCATTTGCAAATGACAAGTCATTTAATTGGGTGTATAAATTGACAACTTGCTCCTCGGTAAATGGTAATTTCTTCGCCGATTGCTGTTGCAATGCTTCACCAGCTATGGTGGAATTTTTTGATTCAGGAATGGAATTAGACGTGGTTGAACTCTCAATATCAGTTTCAACTTCATACTTCTGATGTAAGTTTCCCTTATCGATAGACGTCTCCAGACTTGATATATCTTCCCCATCATCAACTACACTTCCATCATCTTCGGCAAATGCTCCCAATTCGGTTCTTAGTATTTCAAGTACTTCATCACTGGTCTGCTTTTCGGCATCAACAATCAAATTAGACACGTCAGGGAAATCTTCAATCTTTAAACCGTCTTCGAAATTTCCCAACTCATGGCGCAATGCCTCAAGGTTCAAAAGCTGCTCATGATCATTCGTGGTGGCAGCCGATTCATGCCTGTTTTTGATAATCCTGTCCAAATCAAACTCCTTTTGTATCTTTTCATTAGGTTCTTTTTCATTATCCAGTTGAGATGTAGTGTTGCCCTCACTTTGACAAGTAATTATTGGTTTCACTTCCTCTATAGCTTCCTCCTTTGGTTTTCCAATAGTCTTAAACATACCCAAAATTTCATCCGATAATGCCTCATCAATAAAACTATTCTTGTTGGCTTTCAACGCAAGCTTCTGGTCAACTAAATCTTCCAACAGTTTCAGCTTTAAAAACTTGTCATTCATCTTGTCAAACTTTTCAAACACCAAGTCACTATCCCTGCCCGGTCTCCTATCCTCATAAAACATACTGTAATACCGAGCATGCTTATCACACCAAGGCCACACATCTTCATTGATGAATGGTAACAAATGTGCATTCTCAATTGCCAGTTTATTGAAAAACAAAGTTTGAACGTGTGGATTGCAGTCAAGGGCCCACAAAATTAATCTTTTTGCCGTGTTAATATTGGCTTGGGTATTGGCCAAAATCTTGTATTTGCCTTTGTCCAACTTCTCAAAATACGATAGCGACGCATTTGATATCTCACCAAAATCCAAAACAGACTTTTGCACTCCTTTGATGATTGATAAATCAATTTCCTCCGACTTGATTCGGTTATTTACTTGTACTAGTTCTGCTTCAACGTAATCCAACTCCAGTTTTAATGCTGTCACTGATAATTTAGTTTTGCCAAGCTGGACTTTTATATTTGATGCAATTAAATTACGGATAAATCGTGATCGTTTAGGGTCAATAAGAAACCTTTGTGCTGGAGTCAATTCAATAATCCTGTTACTAAGTAATTCTTCACCCGAGAGATCCGATTTCTGCTTCACAATCTTCCAGTAATGCGTTAACAATGATTCTATAATCTGACTTTTGTTTAACCTGGGTTTTAAAGCAGGCAAATCAGGTGTCTTGCTTCTAAGATTGGTCATATAATTGATAATCTGGTTCTTCTTGAATGCATTATATAAATCTCTTGTCAATTCCTCATACCTCTTACTTCCAATCTTTGATTCAAATGGTTTCAATGTTTCAATATATCGAAACAGGTCACCATCTTCATCACTCGATGAACTTGCAAGATTGTTGTTCTTGCGATAGAGTTCTTGAATCAAAGCTAGGTCTACCTTGGCGGAAGAGGAGGCACTTTGCGACTGCTGTCGCAGTATTGATTTCATCCGTTTGCCATTATTCTTTCTTTTTCGGTTTTTGATCTGATCCGGTTTTAGGAATATCCTCTTTGATGCTCTATTAGTGGATGCTTCTTGATCGGTGTTTGAAGTAGCCTCAATTGTACCTGGTTGTAGCTCATTATTCAAGAAAGGAGTTATAACAAATGATCGTCTGGGAAGAAAAGCCGACGTTTTAGATAGGCAATGTCGTATTATCATGAGTAGTTTTTCTGTGTGTTATATGCTAATATAGTCCATTTATTGAATGTAGATTTTGGTAGCCACATTCAGCTGCAATCAAATAATTTTTTTTTCATCTCATCCTTTGAAAGCTACCAAGTTCAATGAAGGATCCAAAGTTTGCAACTCTTTTGCGTTAAGCATTCAAAGTCTCATTGCATACAAAGTAGATATAAATGTAAATGTAATGTAACAAGCATAACTAAATGTCTCAACAACAGGAAAAACACTAGTGCTATTGAATAGGTTCTTTTGTGAGAGAATTATTTATCGTGACGTCAACTAATCGAGCTAGTACTTCTCGGTTACTCTCCTCCACTAAGTGGCCTGATAATCAAAGAGTGTAGGCCAAAGATAAAGATATATCAACTTTACCCACCCACTTTCTTTAGGAAGATTTGTGACGGGGATAAAAACATAGGCTCGCTGTGAGATTCACAAATGCGTTTAGGAGCTAACAGAGCTACCAATCTTTTTTTAAAAAAATGTGACACTTCCATTTTGAGCCAAATTTTATCTCTCGCTGAAATTTTCCTTTAAAAAAAGTTTTAATTCCGTCAAGAGGATCTCCACCATCACAGTCACACTCTTGATATTAGGAACTTATACTTTACCAAGACTTTACCAACATATTCGCTAGTTGCAACTCTTTCGGTTTATAGCTTAGTTAGACATGTGTATCGTATGACTTTCTTTTTGAATTGCCGATAATCTGTCAAGCGGAAAGTAAAATAATGTGGGGATTGTGAAGAAACCAAGCCACGCAACAGTCTTGTCTTTCTCCGATTGAGATAATATAACCGAAACTAACAATGTGCATATTGAATGACATGACAATGTAAAGTATGTGTATTATTTGCTTTAACTTTGGCCTTGGAAAAGTCACCGATGCCTTGTATTTCCTCTTCCTACCGTTTTGCTCGCTGTGTTTAACCATTTCTGTAAATTTAACAACACAAAACTTAAAAGACATCGGAGTAATAAGAAAAAAACTACAAAATACAATATACAATGATAAACAGTAACATAGCAGTTGATGCCGTACTAAATATGGAATCAGTATATATATAACCCAAGTATAATTCCATTTCATTTTCTTAATCCATATTCCAACTTCTTATACCTTTTCTTTCTTTCTTTCTTATTCCCACATTCAACATATTCCATTTATCCAATGTCCTTCAGATTAATACCCACTAGATATTCTACAAGATCATTTGCCTTATCTTACGCTACAACTTTAAATACTTTTTCTAAAGCACATATCATTTACAGACGTTTTCATGACACACCTCATACGCAAAACACAGCTACTACTCAACAAGCATTGCAAAATGACCCAAACCATATGATACCAACCAGTGCGCCACTGGGCTCACATATAGCCTCCACAACACCAGCTTCTCCTCTCAGCGTCAGCCCACGTCTCTCACATCCTGGCAAAGTATCACCAAATGAGTACCTTGAAGCCTTCAACAACAAGGAGTTGATTTCCTTCTTTATGATTGGCTTATGCACCTTAAACAATCCTATATTGCAATTGTGTATCAAGATGTTTCCCTATGTGCCCATGTCTATAATCAAGGCATTAGTTTATCGCATCTACTGTGGTGGTGAAACGTTGGAGGAAGTGAGACAAACAGGATCACGTTTGCACGAAAGAGGTATTAACAATATGATGATTTCCTTGACCATTGAGGCATGTGATGGTAATGACAATGTTGACCCAGAGTACATCATTGATGAGACGATCAAGTCAATTAATGGTATTTTAGTGCCACACACTACGAAAATGATTGAAACATGTGACAAGAACATCAATGATATTCCATCCGGTTACGTTGCCTTGAAACCTACTGGGTTTGTCAAAAATGCAGCACATGTTTTGAGAAACTACAACAACGGAGAAGAAGCTGCTTTTGCTGAATTAGTTGCTAAAGCTTCCAAAGCATGTCAAGCAGTTTATGATGCAAACAAAAAGTTGTCTCAGATTTATCCCGAGAGAACCGCTCCTTTTGTGGTAGCTGTTGTTGATGCCGAGAAATACGAATTACAACCAGGTGTTTACGAGTTGCAACGTCAATTGTACCAAAAATTCAACAAATTGAACGAACCTTGTTATGTCGTTGGTACTATTCAAATGTACCTTGCTGACTCTGCTTCATTATTGGCTCAAGAAGAGAGATTGGCCCAAGAGAAGCAATATAGGTTAGGATTGAAGTTGGTACGTGGAGCTTACATTCATTCAGAGAAAGACCGTGCAAACATCATCCACAAGACAAAACAAGACACTGATGACAACTACAATGCTGGAATTACTTATTGCATTGACTCCATCTTGAACCAGAAAGATAAGGAATCAACAATCGGTCACTTGGTTGTTGCTAGTCACAATGCTGACTCATTGAAATTGGCCAGTTCCAAAGTTTACACTCAAGAAAATGCCACTAATGTCAATAAGAGCAACGTGGTGCTTGGACAATTGTTGGGTATGGCTGATTCAGTGACTTATGATTTAATCAAGAACTACCAAATTGGAAATGTTATCAAGTATGTTGCATGGGGCCCACCATTGGAAACCAAACAATACTTGTTGAGAAGATTAGAAGAGAATGGTGATGCAGTAAAGAATGATAATGGATGGCCCTTGGTTAAAGCAGCTTTCACTACTATTATGGGAAGATTGTTCAAGGCCTCAAACTGAGTATAATTTGATAGATTTATAATGATAATGATAAATGAAGCATTGAAGATTTTGCAAGAAATTACATCACTCTTCTTCATATTATTGGTAGATACGCTACTTTCTCTGAAGATGAACTGCCAGTAAAAGAGTAGTGTCTTTTTTGCAGATGACCTCAATCACTTTATTCCGTTGTAATTTGTAATAGAAAACCTTCCCAAATTTTACTGCCTGGCTGTTCAGGAACGCGCAAAAAAAAACAATTCCAGGTTTTTTTACATTTCTTGATCTGTACGGTCAAGGGTAATGAGTTAAATGAGTCTGAACAGCCGTGCAGGATACTCACAATCAGTGTATATACCGCACGATGAAGATAGTTTTGATGCCAATACGAGCTTGCTGGGTAATGATTTGCTACCCATGAGTACTAGTCATGCCCAATCACGGCATAGAGTCGATTATTCAGTCAAGGGTCAAGCATTTGAAGATACACAGTTTGATGGTACGGAGACAAACGAAGAATCCCTACAGCATAATGAGGTAAATATACTACGAGATTATCTGTCTGGTTCGCAACTTCGTCGTAACAACTATTCACAAGACACGCAGGTTATAAATTTTGATGACGACGTAATCTCGATGGATATTGAAGGCAACTCTACTCAAAAAAGCAAGGTGGACTATCCAAATACAGATGCTCCAGGGCAGTTACAAACTCAACGGAATGATAATGGTACCATACCGACACAACTAAGTTTTAGTGCGTTGGCGGATACTCAAATTATACGTGGAGAACAAACTGCTTCACTCGAACGACCAATGAGCCAAGAGTCGAATGATTTGAAAGACACACAAGTCATCCAAGATGATTTTAGAAGTATGTTTGAAAACTTACGTGACACCCAACCAATCAAGAACGATTCTAGAAGCAGATACAATGATCTTGCAGAGACTCAAATTATCATTCGACGTCGTCATCAAAATCTACCCGACACACAAGTTATAGACAATGACACGCATCTACCAAACGTCGAAAGTTTTGAATCACTTGATATACTACGTGAGATGTCAGATAAACACAAAGATGGTGTAACTAGAAACCAAGAGGCTGATAAACACAGGAAATCCCTATATTCAATTCTTCCAGATACTCAAGTTATTACTAAACCCCGAAATGGCCCTCTTGATGAGGCCAATGTTACTACAGAAAATACAAGAAGTCCATTTATCGATGACAATTCGCAGAGCTACCAAGTTGAACTAAACAATATGCAACAGGTATCTCATAGACAAGTGATTAATACACAAGATGAGTTGGATACATCGCTATTCCTACTGAAACCAAATACACTTGAAGTTCAGACAGATGAAGAGAAAGATGTCTCAGATGTGAAAGAAGAAAGCAACGATGTGGTAGTTTTGGACGATACAAAGGTTGACATTGACCAAGAATCTATCCGTCAGAAGCGTAGAATTTCGCATAGTCCAGTCAAGATCAAACGAAGCAAGACGGCTAATATCGAAAAATATGGCGATGGATATAGAACGCAGAACTTGGTTACTACCCCTGGCGATCGCACTCGCTTGCGAAATCATTCGGAACCGTTGGTGTTTGCTTCACCTTTTGACAAGACTTTTTCAACTTCGTCGTCATCGCCGAGCAAGAGGGTTGCTGATCAGCTGGTACGCACCGACGAAGACCAAACACAGGCTGATGCGACTGCTGAAGAAAGCGGTGAGATAAAGGGAGAAGTAGAAGTGGAGGAGGAGGAGTCAAAAAGTGATGTACGAAGTATTTTGGATAACGTATCTTCACGACATATTTCCCCGCCCAGCTCTCCTAATGGACTCAACACAATGAGCTTGAGCGAGAGTGAAGCGGACGAAGATGAGGATGATGGAGATGGAGATGCCGATTACACAAACACAGAAAATGACAATTATGGTGAAGTTAGTGTTGCTGAAAAGACCACATCTGATGAGCGGAAAATCGTACCTAAACGAAGAGTGAATAACATTGTTGATTCGCAAACATCTTCCTGCGATAACATTTTGCCTCAAGACGACGAGTACACCATTGCTGGAGTATTACGAAAAGAAAAATCAAGTGTTTTATATGAAGACGAGATTGTAGCTACGAATAGTGTCTGGGCCACATACAATTTGAAAATGTACAGCGGATACGTATCGGCAAAGTACGGCGACTTCCTGATTGTTGAATTTGACCAAGATTCATCACGCATCAAGAATGAGGATTTGAACCCGTTGGATATCAGAATTGGCGACACGTTGAATGTGAGGAGCAAAAGGTTCAAGTGTGTTGTTACCGGCTTATCTTCAGCAGAACTGTTGAGCGGAATCAGATGTATCCGCGGCTACAACCTTGTGCATGTCAAGAGAAATTCGAAACAGCGCAAGGGTGCCGATGGTGCCGAATTTATGGTTGCCGTATCTCAATGTTCGATGGAATTGGGCGATTGGATCATACACCAACAAAAATTTCGAATTGAACGAAGAAATAATGGCGATGGTGAAGGTGCTGCTGCTGCCAATGAAATCTTGTCAACACCAGTCACCATGTCTATGCACCCAACAACCAGTGGAGTCGTAAACCTGACATACCCTTCAACGCCATCAAAACTATCTCGTCATTCAACAATGTCACACCCACTCAGTCCATCACCTAAAAAGGGTGTCGTTCAAAACTCAAAGCTTTTTGCTAATAGATTATTTTGCATAACCAATATCGATGGGCCAAGAAAACACACACTTAAAACCATGATTGAATCAAATGGTGGTACTTATCTCGACTCCAATTTAATGGAAATATTCCAGTACATGAGGAGTACGCAAAGCGGTGGAAGACTTTACCTCAAATCTTCCTATTCAATCACTAGTGAATTGCAGTTTGCCGGTTTGATATCAAACAGCTATTGTCGTAGTTCAAAGTATTTGCAAGCCCTAGCGCTCGGCTGGCCCCTTTTATCCGAATGCTATATTGATGATGTCATCAATGGTGTGGCTGATTTAGAACAGTGGCCCGTATACTGCCTACCGGCAGGGCAATCAACTATATTAAACACCGTGATGAATTGTGATGTATTCAAGTTTCGAAAAAATCACGAGTTGGGTAAATGTTTGGATTTCCAAATGGACTTGAATAATGATTTATTGACAAGTTACAATGTCATAGTCATGTCACTGGGGTCAGTGAAAGAATTGGACAAGAGAAGTATTATTGAAATGGATACTTGCAAATTTATATTTCATGCTTTTGGAGCTAGATCATTAAACTTTGCCGAGTTAAACATTGAAGGAGCTGATCATGATGGTGTTGCTGATGATACATATGGTAACTTTTTAAACATGGTCAAGAAGCTACACGGTGAATCCAATGGCGACATCTTGATTTGCGATTATGGCAGCAACAAAATCGCCGAGCAATTGCTTTCTTTGGGAAATGGAGCAACCAGTTTCCGCGAAAATTCGAAACGAAGCTACTCAAGGGGGCGTAAACCAAAACGACAACATGAAAATGACAGCATCGGTTTGAAAGTTGTTGATTGGGAATGGGTGGTGCAATGCGTGATATCGCGACATATTTGGCAACCTGCAGTGACTATCAAGATCAACGTGTGAGATAAACTTGTTGCATAGTTTGCAAGAATCTACAATTGATTTCATATATATATATTAATCATCATACATTTTTATACACTTTATTTAATATACAGAATTTCTATTTTGTTCTTTACAAAATAACAACAGAACATATGTGTGATTGGCTCTAGCTTTACATCAAAAGCTTCAACTAAACTTTAGTGGGTCTCTTTTTAAGCATGGGGATCATTAACATTATCATTACAATGCTCTATACACACACACACCAAAATAACTCTACAGCATTATCACATATATATTGAAGAAAAAAAAGCAAAATCGAAAAAATGAACTGAGGATGCTCTCATTCTCATCCTTTCACATTAGGTTCATGTTGTTTTCTCTCTTTTTACTGCAACTGATTCAAAATCGAATGCAAATCATTTCCATCATTTCCATCACCGTGTCCAACCTGAGGCACCAGTGAACTGCTCACATCAGAATAGCTCGGTCCACCACGAGCATAGCTGGGCCTGTGCGAATCTCCATAGTTGCCATGACCATTACTGCGAGCACTACTAGCACCTGCACCCGCTGTTGACCCACGCGGGGTATAATTCTTTTGAACAACAAACACAGCAAACAATCCAATTTCTTGTCCCTGTTTAAGATTTTGCAAAACTTGTGCCAACTTCGGGTCTCTAAAATCAATAGGCATCAAATATGAATCCTTAACAAACGAAGGCTTGCCACTCAAGACACCGACTCGGTTCTCCTTGATTAAGAAATGATACAACTTGTCAAAATGCCGCTGATTCTTATCCTTGTCGAAGGCATCATCATGATTATTACTGGTGGGGAAAACTTGCACAATGTACAAATTCCTCGTGGATACAATGGCATTCAAGTAGGAATCGCATCTATCACGGCCCAATTTACCTTGGATTACGTATTTCGACTCGGTAAATATGTTTTTAGCTGTTTGTATTGCATTTTCAGTATTCGATTCACAATCGGTTGTAGAATAGAACTTGGTATCAGCATTGAATTGAGCAAAGTCGGGGAATGTAATTGATCCACGCCAGACTAGCTGCTTGGTGGTAGAGGATGTAGTTGCGGCATCCTTGGTATCAGCTCCATCTCCACTGTGGCTATTTACCTGTGAGGTGGTTTTAGAATCAACGCCTAATATAGGACCCAACCTCTCTTCATCTGGGGTTTCACTAGTTTGTGCATCACTCAACGAACTAGTTGATTTAGTCTCGATATTTGCATCGTCATTACCATTCGACTTTGGTCTACCATGACTATTGTCCCCATGTCTACCCTCTTTTCCCACTTCATCATCATCATTGGCATCTTCGCCAATATCGCTGCCATAATCACTAACGGCATTTTGAATATCACTATGTTCATTGTCACTGGAAAAATCATCACCACCCAATCTAGGGTTGGCATTATTATATGCCGTTTGCTCAATTGATGGCGGAATAATCTTCATTTGCGTCTTAGTAGTAGCGGCGGCAGTGCTAGAATCAGGAGAAAATCGACGATGATCAACTTTTCTCGTTGCTATACTCTCATCAATGTGATCAATTACTTCGTTTTCGTTTTCTTTAATAATATCACCCTTATGAGTCTTGCGAACAATTTGATCCTGTTCAATTTCAACCAACACTATATTCTTGATATTCTCCTTATTTTGTTGTTCAATCCTAGCAATATCTTCATTTATTTCTTGTGGCGTCTTCTTCACCACGTCTTCTAAAGTTATCTTTCCGGCAAATATGTCATTAGTGAAATGTTTCTTCAACACAAACAAGACTCTTCGGCTTTCATCGGTGTATTTTGCTTTGGTCTTTTTGGCAGGAAACTCGCGATCAATGATATCTTCAATTTCCAATGCTAATGAAGTGACTTTATCCTCCTTGGTTTCTTCACTCACGGCATCTTCTCCTTCTTTGGTGGGGTACGTCTTTTTGAAAAAGTTGTAAAATGCTTTGGCAATACTAATTCGGGTTGGGTCACTCAATTTTTGAAGGATTTTCGAAGGCCCATCAACAGGGGCTGGCGATTGATCTCCACTGGAACTTCGTGATGTCGTCTTTGTCGTTGTCGAACTTTTTCTTCTTTTAGCACCTGGTTCACCTGTTGCTGCAGCCGACGAAACTGACAGATTTCTCTTGTTGATCTTGGGCCTTGGTGTACCTGAGCACTCATCACATATATAGTCATCAGGAACTGATCTCTTCTTCAACCCCATACATTTTATATGTTGCCAAGTATTGCATTTATCACATTGAATCATATCACCATATGGGTCTGTATCTTCATCAAAATTCTCCGTCGTCGTTCCACAAGGTCCACAGTTTATCTCCTCATGGTCGCCATCATGGTCGTCATCATTATTATTTTCATCGGCTTGACCATCATCGGCGTAAGTTGGATCGTCTTCAGAGCTCTTGCGAGGGTTGACTTTGTCTTTTCCATTCAATGTGCTTTGTGTGGGAATAACATCTTCATAAGACTCGTCATCACGCCTGCTGTGCGTCCCTTTATTACTCCTAGCTGATACTCTAGGCATATTTGACAACTTGATTAATGGAATGGGTAAAGTAGTTATAGGTGACAATGAGAGTTTGCTTTACCTTGTTTTTGATTTCCAAAGTTTTCTCAATCAATCGATTGGTAAGAGCTAATTTATATAAATAAAATACAAGTCTGCTTTCGTAGTTACGTAGAGACGTGTGTGCTGTTGATACGACTTGTGTCCTTTGCCTATCTGTTTGTCTGTCGATCTATCAACTGATTTGCGTGTTTAAAGAAGTGGTTGCAGGATTTGTAATTTTTTTTTGGTGTTTTTTTTTCTTTTAAGAGTGATGGTGTTATTGTCTCTCTTTGTTTACGAAAGTTCGAGTATACGCACACGACTGGTTGCGCTACCGTGTATGGTTTAACGAAGCAGGCAATATAGCCTTGAGGGGTGATAACACGTCTTATAGAGCACATGAACCATGGGACTTTGACCACAGCCTCTTTCAACACAAATACAAGCACCCTAGAGGTTTGAGAATATTAAGGAAAAAGTGAATTTGACCTACACGTTTTAGTTATAAATATCATTATCTTCTAATTAACTCTATACTCGGCACATTCTTTACAAGACTCAATCCATTCCGATCCAAACATCACCCAAATAATCAAACATAGCCCTCTCCTTTGCACTGTATTCAATAACCAACCCCTTCATAGTGTTATCCTCCTCCTCATTGACTTTACCACCAATCACCGAATAAGCACACCAAAGATACATTTTACAATACTGATAGTCCATCAACCATCCATTATTCGGCTCATCTTGAATATTATTTCGATGACGGAAGTCAGGGTCTTTAGGCGGCACAATTGCCGTTTGGATGCGGAGCGGGTTGTAGTAAAATGCTTTGAATGCTTCGACAGTTTGTGGAAGAAATTTCAAACGTCTTCCCAAAGATGCTTCTTTTTCGAAGTCCACCTGTGGCGCTTGATGACAGAATCGGAATCCTGAATTGATCCAAAGCAACGTATGGTTGTTTTCTTCACTGACATGACCGGGGTGGGGAGAACACAATTCCTTCGAATTGTGGATCGATCCATCTGGTCGTAATCGGTCATTGGGGTTAGTCATTTGTCCAATTGCGGCAGCTCCATGTTTATTGAAATGGTAATCTTCATCACCAGCAAGAGCAAATCCAAGCCAATATAATTCTTTATCGCCGTATGATAAACGTTCCAAGGGGTTAATGAAATTCAGATGAACAACCATGAGAATTGAATTAAAATGCAATTGACGATCAATTAAAACCATACCTGATTCCATAGTGTGAGAAATCCCGCGGAAAAAGTCGAAACGTAATGTATAGTTGGTGAGCAAAGGCACATCAAACATGAGTGAATCAACCGTCGATTGAGAAACTTTAGTAAAGAATTGGCCATCCGCCATTGGTCGGTTTTCAATAGTGGCACGATCGCGGAAGAAAAAAGTACCCGTATTTTTATAACCCTCAAGTTCGAAATAACTCTTTGGATTCTGCATCATTACTGTATCGGCATCAATAATCATCATTTCATTAAACGAATTGAAAAATGTCGCCAATAGCTTATTGGAAAACCCGCCAAACTTGGACTTGAATGGTTCGTTTATGACACTGGCAGTATTAACAAACCAGACTTCCTGTTTGGGCAACCCCTTTGACTTTGGATCAAGATAATCGGAGGGGAATAAGTGAGCAATCTTTTTGTATGATTGAGGTAAATGAGCGAAATCTTCACGAGCAGCAGTAACAATTTTCCTCTTTGTCTCGTCATTTAAATTGTCAAAATAAACAATTTGAATGGGCAATTTGTTGTTTAATGCTCGAAGCGAGTGGATTAAACTGACAGTATAATCGACGTGCTTATCGGCTATGGATAAAACAATACCTTTACCTTGACAAGAGCCTTTAAACATCCTAAGGAAATTGTAGTTGTTTGATTTTGTTGGCTTTGCTACTGGTTGGCTATTATCACCGAGGATTTTCCTGTAGTTGGGCGGCATGTTGGAAATTTCTCCTGTCCAGCGTTCAAATACCGGCATTTCAAATGAAAGCCACGGGTAGATTCGGCGTTGGAACACTTCACTGAATTCAACATCAGAAACACGTCTTTCTTGACTTGATGGAGTAAACTTGGGGACTTGATTTACTTCGTCGTCAATATCACGAATCAAAGATTTTTGCTTCTTGATAAACAGGTTGGTTGATTGTTGTTGTTTAGAGTCGTCATTGGTGATATAGCATTTGTTGTAGAGCCTTAGTATACTAACATTATCAACAACTTTTTGATTTAATTCGTGAGTTTTCCATTGTATGTATGATTGTCGTTGGAATTCTTGAAAATCGGGGTCTTCTTCATACAGTGTTTGTCTTGAGTTCAACTGGTTATTAGGTTGTTGCTCGTTGTTCTCCTTTTGCTCTTGTTGTGATGGTGGATTCTGTTTTTGGTTTTGGTTTTGGTTTTGGTTTTGGTTTTGTTTCCGTTGCTGATGTTCAAGTTGTGCCTTTTGCTGTTTCAAAGCTTGCTCTTTTTGATGTTCAATTCGTTGTAGTCTTTGCAATCTCATATGCAATTCAATCTCCGTGGGTTGTTTTTGTGGATCCAGATCTTGTGGTGAGCCCTGTTGTTTTGTTTTCAACTGCTGTTCATACTCCCTTATCAATTCCTGCTTGTGCAGTAATGTGTATGTCAGGTAAGGTTCACCCCAAACCACATTATAATTTTGATCTGCGTTAAATCTCCAATTGGGGTCATTTAGGAATATGTGTTTAAAAAATAAGTCGCATCGTTGTTGGAAGTTCAAATTGCCCAATACCGATTCCACTGAATGTTGTTGAAAAATTGAGTCATATACAGTCGAATGGAAGTCTATTTCTTTGGAGATCTTGTAATCATCAAGTAGTGCTTGGTATGTCGATGTCTTTTTGAAATCAGGGAACTTGGCATCTTCTTCATCTAGTGAATCAGATTCAGTGGCTGTGTTTGGCAGTGAAGGGTTATTATTGTTTGAAGTTCCAGAAAGTTTCGAATTTGATGATTTCTGATTAGGCCGGGAAGCTTCGATATAGTTATCATCATAAATATCGTAAAAAGAGTCATTGGTTACATCAACAGATCTGTAGTTGTAATGATACCAAGTGAGTATTATTATTACCCATAGTGCCACTGATGCATAGTACACGTAAGCTTTTCTTTTAGACCTTGCCAGTATCTTAATCATGGTGGTGGGGGATGATGAGTTATGGACAAGTTAGTGAAATGATTGAGGCTGGTGGTGTTGTAAAAAGGATTCACTGTGGCAACCACCTTCTCAATGGATAAAGACAGGGATGGGCTTGTAGATAAGTGGGTGTGCTCAGGTAGTGGGATTTGAACACACAGTAAGGGGATGATGGTCTGTTCTGAAGGGGGATGGAAAAGGATTTGTGTTTGTTTGTTGGTTGGTTGGTAGAAAGATGATGGGGCGGTGTGATGTTTTGGGTACCTATCAGTCTATTTAATAACAACTGGGTGAAGATTTAGAGTGAAGAAAATTTTTTGTGTGTTGCAAAACATAAAAATAAATTTAAAATAGAACAGGAAGATAAATTTTAGCCCAGGGCTTAGTAACCACCACAGGCAAATCCCTCAAAAAAGACAGCAATAATAAAAACAATGAGATGAGGGGGGGGAGCAGCAACTTCCAAAAACAGTAGTTGGCTACTTAGACATTTAGGTACCATAAACGCCTTGTTCTTCTTCTTTGGTGTAAATTGCTTACCCCTTAACTGGTGCTTCTGATTAATCTTTTTTTTGCAAAGGAGGCTTCCAATACGAAACAGAACTTAAATTTAGAGACACGTGTGGGGCTTGTATGTAGATAAGTATAACCTTAGTAATAATATCTTGACTACATCATACTAGGACACACCAATATGAATTTAACAAAGTCAGTTGGAAAATGAGTTGTGTGTTGCTATTGGACCTCATTAGAGTAAATTGATAACAAACAACAACAACAACAACAACAACACAATAGGGGACAGTTTATTGTCAATCTCACTATTGTTTAGCAAAGAAAAGAAGACAATTGGGTATCGTGTCGTGTTTAGGTCCAACTATTGTGCTCTCTTGCTTGCCTTTGCCTCTATCTCTCCCCTTAAAATGATTTTTATTTTTTTCTTGAGTAAAAAATATCGTCTGTTAATTGTTAATAACTTTAATTTCCTTTATTGTTTATTTTTCATTTTGACACGTGCGTCTTTACAAAAGAATTTAGCGAGTTAATAAAACAACAGAGAGAGAGGAACAACTCTTCAGCTGAAGGGCTTTGGTTGTTCAGAGGGTTGTTCAAGCTGTAGATACGCTCCCACCCTCACTCTTGCCTTCTTTTCCCTCGCTAGTTAAACTTTACACTTCGAAAGTCATTTGCTAAAAGGTAAAAAACATTGCATCTGCATATAAGAACAATTCTGTGTACAAAAGCTACAACAACAAAAAATGAAACGCGTAATGTGATCTTCACAACAGCTAAACCATATTAAAAGATCTACATTAAACTTCAAAATGGAAAAAATCACACGAGATGGAGTGTGCGCGAACTGCCAGTCTTCTTTTCAAAGAGAAACCAGTGTGAAAAGTAAGACATATGTGAAAGCTTTGTCACCATAGTAAGAACAAAGCAAGCCTTGTTCAACCCCTTTTAAATCAATAAAGCCCACACGCAACCAAATTACAAACAGACAAAGCAGATTGTAGAAGTGTATTTGCAATCGAAACAAAACTTAATCTAATTAAAAAATAAAGATCTTCACCTCCAGTGTTCATACGAAACAAGCACACTACACACATTTGAAGGTTACTTCAAAGACGTGTTAAAACAATCATACCACGACCAATCTAATTTTTGAATATTGGCATTGATTTACGAGGACCGCAACATAATGCCAAGAATTATATTGCAACAACAATAATCTTTCACCAAGCTATATGTTTTTACCTTTTTTGCAGCAAATTAAAGATAAAAAGCGTGTGAGTTTGGTCTCAACTCAATAAGCGAAATAAATGACTCCTTAGTTCATGAAAGCAGTAATATCTTCACTTAGGTTTACAAAAGTCAACAGATAAGAGAAAATAAAATACTACCACGACTCATGATAAAACTCAAGAAATCAAATCAAATTTACGCCTGATTGTAACTAAGAAAACAAAAAACACGAACAATAAAAGAAAAAAAACGCACTCATTGGACTCCAACTGTTTCACCAACAATATCGTCCCTCCCTCCCTCTCACTCTCTTTCCTCTACAACCGTTCAATTAAAGCCATCACATCATAATCATCACCCAACATCTCCTCAACACTAGCCAAAGCTGCTTCACTAAACAACCCCGATTTTGTCGATCTATACCCAGGCGCACCTGCCACTCCTGTAGCGCCAATGCCAGTGGTAATTCCACCAGTACCAGTACCAGTACCAGTACCAGTACCAGTACCAGTACCCATACCAACAGCTGATGATTTTCTTCTCTTGACTGCACCTGTTGGCTGCTGCACCAGGTTTATATTGTGCTTACCTGGATGTTGTTGTTGATGATTATGTAATTTGCTATTACGACGGTGATGCTGATGATGGGTTAATTGTTCTTGCTGCTTTTCCTGTTGTTGTTGTTGTTGTTGAAGATGATGGTGATTGTGAAGTATAGACTTATTCCTAAATGCACCCAATGGCACTCTTGATTTCTGGGCATTGTTGAAATCACGCCATATTCTCACATCATTCTCATCGTCATTATCTAATTCACTCACATTAAGTAAGTCATCCAAACCCAAAACCAGCAGCTCATCCGAATTAGGCTGGCCCTGGCCCTGGCCCTGTACTTGTACTTGTGATGATAATGGGTTATGCCGTATTTGTCCTATGCTTTTCCTCTTTGATATCGACTGATTGGATAAGTTGCTTTGTCCTACTCCCGCCAATGCACGCGACGCCGGTGAAAGTGCATTATGGTCCAACGGCATTCCACGAGGTTCTTGTGATTTATTAACCGATGACAGTTGCTGTTGTGGATGTTGATGATGTGGATGCAGCAGCAGTTGTTGTTGTTGCTGTAATGAACGTGTACTCATTCCATCAATAATCCCAAATGGCTTGCTATCAATAGTAACCCACGACCCCAACATTGGAGGACGATAATCGGCAGTTTTCGACGAAAGTACTTCGGTGGCCTTTTTCGAGCCAATTTGAGAAGACGCATTGGTATTTTTGGGCAACGACTCATCAACATCTGTTGATTCAGAGCTGTCATAGGCATTGCCATAGCCATCTTCGTCATCACCATACACCGTCTTGGCCGCATCATGACCGCCGTCTATTCGCAGTCCAAAGTCTTTGCTATTCTTGACTTTGTACTTTGTTGCATCCTGATCCCCTGGACCTTTCGACTTGAACGTCTTGTCGTGATCAATTTCATTAAACAAATCATCGACATTGGCGTGAGCACCAGCACCTGACGACTTTGATTTTTTGCCTTTGCTACTTCTTCTTCTTTTGCTTCTTTGTCTTGTCGATAAATTATCATGGTGCCGAGCAAGAGTATCATTCTCAGGTTCACTCGATGAATCATTGTCGGAACTAAAGAAATAGTTCCACAAATACGAATCGTCATCCTCATCGCTATTGCTATGTTTGTGCTTTGGTATTTTACTTGGTGAAGTTAATGAATGTTTAGCTGGTGGTGCAGAGCCACCGACATCACTTTCGTCAAAAAATGGCACATCAAAGTCAATAAAGTCAACGTAGTCATCTTCATCATAATCGCTTTCTTGAGAAGCACTGCTTTCATATTCAACAATTGGTTTACTACGGTCTTCACCAATTCCTTTGAACGAATTGACAATTCTTTTGGAAGTCGAGTACTCGCTATCATCAAATGTAAACTCATCGTCGTCCTCATCGTCATCTTCTTCATCCTCTTCGTCGTCGTTGTGCTCCTTTTCACCAACAATTCGACTGCCAAACTTGCCATCACCGTTATCATCAAATCCATTATTTTCAAATTCATTGACAAGAAACTTCTCTTCTTCCTTTAAAAAGGGATCGTTTTCATCATCTTCATCGTCATCATCTTCGTAGTCGTCACCAGTGACACCTTCCAGGTCTGCATCGGTACCTTCTGACGCCAACACCACCGACCCACTTTGACCTACATTGACTGAACTCTTTTCTCGAGAAGTTTTATCATAAATACCTGAATCATTTGCAATCAGTGGCAAAAACTCATCAACATCATTTTCAGCTTGCAAAGTAGCCAATAATTCATTATCATCAATTTCATAATCCTCATCCGAGTTCAAATCACTATCATTCATTTTAGGAATATGTAAAAGATCATGGTCAAACTCAAAGTCAAAATTTTGCTGTTGGTCGGTGTCCAAGGGCAAACTTGGGGAATAATCAACTTCTTCACCCACATCTTCCTCTTCGACTGAGTTTGGTTTGAGAGTAAGATCAGGTTTCAGCTCTCCATGTTGTTCCCACGCACCCTTCTTCTTCTCCCCCTCCTCCTCTTCCTCTTCTTCATCATCGTCATCTTCATCTCTCTCAACCTTATCAAACTCAAATTTAAAGTTTATGTCGGGTAGAATAACATCCGATTTCCTTCTCCCATATTTGATCGAGTTTTTTCTTTGTTTTGTACTGCCCTTATTCTTTGCTTTATCTTGCCCCTCTTTTGAAATAGAGCTTGAATTGGAATCGGCTGAAGCTGAAGCGTCATCGTTAGAGCCATTCGGGGATTGTTCCTTCTTCAACCCCTTTCTTGCCCTTGCAGTTTGCAAAGCATTAGCCTTTTGCTGTTTCTGTAGCTTGACAAAATCAACATCGGAATCGTCATCTGATGAACTAGCCATCTCTCCATCTGAACCATCGTTGGAGTCGTTCGATTCATCATTACTCTCCTCTGAGTCATTAGCACGTAACTGCTTTCCGTTGTTCATGAGAGCATATAATCCAGCAATATGCTCTTTTTCATCGTCATCATTGTCGCTCTCATCTTCTTGATCACTGCCCGCTTTGGAAGTTCTGGTGGTATCCGAAATCAAATCTGAAACATCGACTTCATCATCATTATCGTCGTCGCCAGATGAAACGGCAATGACTTCATTCTCATAATTTTGGAGATCCTGTTTCGACAAACCAAGAGATTTTCTCGGTATTGCCTTTCTGCCATAAGTTTTCCCCTTTTTACCACTGACAGTCTTTTTGCCTCGCGATTTCTTGCCCATCTGTTGAAAACTCTTTGCAAATTCGTCATCGGAAATAGCAGTCAAAGATGAATCTGAATCTGAATCGATGTAGTGCACATTTTTTGATGAGCCTGATTTGTTCTGATTCGGGGTCCTTGTTCTCTCTGACTCATTGTCAGACAAGTAATCTTGTGATGAAGATGAACTTGTTGAATTGGCAATACTAAATCTACGTTTGCTAAACGCTTTCAAGTTCTTACCACCATATTGTTGTTGTGCATGATGTGTTTGTGGCTTCAGGTATGTATTGCTGTTGTTGTTATTCTTGTTTGCTTGCGATTTGGCCCTATTGGAATTGTCATAAGGGCTTTTGTTAGCAAGACTTTTCGGCATCTTGTTTTTGTATTTTTCTTGAATCAGTTGATTTTTAGTTTCTGTAATATCAGCTTTGTTAATTTCTTCTTTAGCAAATAGTTTTATAGTTCTAGCAAACTGTGATAATCTCTTTTGTAGTTACTCTATCAAAAAAATAGATACGTATCAGTTATCGTCTCCGTTCTCTTTAGTATTCTCTTGAATTACTCTATAAGAAACACCTCAGAAACACTATCTTGAATATTGATGTTTCTGTATCCAATAATGCAAAATAGTCCAAATCTAATACTGTTGTCCCTTTCCCTGTTTATTTCTGCGATATAATGAAATGATTGGTAAAGTAAATGTATATGAGTGATGTAGTAGTTTGGATATTTCGATAGTTGCACATAATATTATGCAGAAATTGAAGTTATCTAGTAAGGTTCTTCAGTATTCAAAACCAAAAGAATGATCCAGATTTTGAATAAAAAAAATAGAACGTTTGCAGGAGAAACCGATGTATGTATATAACAAGTGGATTCCTTTCCTAGTCGATAAGCAGCTAAACTGTGTGTTGTTGTTGTTGTTGTATGTAATATAGTACTTGTGGTACTGCTTCTGGTTACTATCTCTTTGACTTGTTTTTTTGGCTTTTTGTTTATGGTGAGGCAATAAAAAGTAGATATTTGTGGAAGTAGTGATACCTGTTTGGGGATGCTTACGTTGTTGTCAATGAACTAGATTGTGTAGGCTCTCTCAGTCTTTTAGTTTCGTTTAGTCTCTGTGGCAGTAGCTTGTGTGATAATACCCTTCTTATTGGTGTTTAATAAGCAGTAATAAACTTTTGTTGTTGATACTTATACTTTGTGTTTAGTGTATGTATACTCTATCAAGATAGATAAAAGATATATATATATATATGGGTGTATGTGTAAATGGTGTCTGATTATAGAAAAGGGTTTTGGTAACAGTTTGGTAACAGTTTGGTAATAGTTTGGTAATGAAAACTTTGGCTCTTCTCACAATTTTTTACTTTTGTATTGTTATATTATTTTCTTTGTTTTCTCTGTCTCAGCAATACGTAAAAAAATACCGCATTTAAACTTCTTCACAATATACACACAGCACACAGCACATACACATACACATACATAAAGTTAGGAGATAGTTTCTACATCTAAATCTCCCATCTGTAGCCATTTTATTCTGATACAGACATAGATACTGTTATCTAAACACTACTAATATTTTTTTATCTGTTCTAATCTTTTATTCTTTAATTACACCCCCCACCCCCCACCCCCCTTTTTTAATTTTTTATTTCAATGAGAGCTCATCTCATATTTTGATATTCGGATTTTATTTTCTACTTTCTATTTTTAATTTTTAATTTTTTCTTCTTCTTACAATACCAATGTTATCTGGATTGCATCCTATCAACTCCCTCTGACTTCACGACAACTATGAATTAATAAGAAGATACACACAGAAAAGCAATGAGACTTCCACACTAAAGGTAGAATAGTACTTCCATGCTTTAGACCACCCTTCTCCTCTCTTATCTTCCATTGCCCTTTTATATTCTTTTGTGTAATTGGAATATCCACAGTTTTTTTTGTTTCATTAGTAGTCACACTACCAACTACTAAATTGACCAACTACCAAAGCCCCTCAATGAACCTAACTCACAATGAGTTACACAAAATGTAAAACACTCCTTCCACTGCCCCCAACTTAACTCCACCCAGGGACAGTAAATAGATTAAAAAGGCACTTTAGTTACTCTTGTGAATTGTAATTGAGCAGTCAGCATAGCTGGAACCCGGTCAATACCTCTTACGCGCTTCCACCTTTATCCGTCGTCAATTCTCGCTTTAGTCCAGTTCAGGATACAGTACATCCACCAAATCACAGTTCCCGTCTCTTTCTCCCGTTGGAACTATATCAGAGGTTAACTGCCATAATGAAGGCACGTCACAAAAGCAGTGTAAAACATTCGTATTAGAGATTGCATCAAGTGAAGCTCGAAAATCTTCTTGTTTTATTATAATCACAAGACATTGTCTACATCTATTCCCCTTCCCCCCTTCCCTTGTATGAGTTATGCTTTTTATACATATTTGTGTCCTTCATCCCCCCCCCCCCCCAAAAAAAAAAAAGCGAATCTATACCTTGTTACACATATTGGAACTCTATAAATTTGAGGCAGTAGTTTGGCACTTTCGACAAAGACTCCAAATGGTCACTCCCTTATAGCTTCTTTCTCTCCTGTAACCACTATCTTAGTTTCTTTTTTCAGCCTCTGAACTAGCAGTCAATCTTGCACTCAATTCAATTTGATCTTTAACTGCTTTAGTCAAATATTCAATCATAATAACATCTTGGTTGAAATTGTCAAACAATTTATTCAACTCTTCAACATCAGTCAAGATTGGTGGCTTAGTCAACAACGTATTACTCAATTTTCTCAACAAATCAAGGTTTTCATCCGATTGATTAGTGGCATTAGCATCAATATAAGCAATCAAATTGGCAACATTTTGCTGCACTTGTTGTAAATTTTGAGCGAAAAATGGGTGATTACCATCTATTATTGATGATATATTTGTGTTTTGGTCAATGGTTGATTCTTGTAACGATTTGTATGCAAGTTTTTCAGTATTGGTTCCATCAACCACTTCATTAGGGATAGGTGTGAAGATATATGAATTGTTGACATTGGCGGTCTTGTTCCAGCCAATTTGCACATTAGTCTTGGCAGCAGATTTACCGACAGCAGCACCAATATACGTTATTATCTTGGGACTGGTTATTTGACCTTGATCATTGACATATTCCACATTCAAATAAATCGCTGGGTAGGGAAAAGCACGATCAGCACCTTTGGAATAAAAATCGTGGATTAAACTTGTAGTGTCATCGATTTCATTCATACTGCCAAACCAACCCAATACTGATTCCTTTGGATGCGATTTCTTATACAAATGAAACAAGGATTTATGAGCTTGATCTTCAATGGCGATGGAGTCACCCGTCTCATCGCATGGAACCATAAATGCATCCCTAATCTCCACCTCTAATCCATTATCTGATCTTATACCTAACAAAGTACCAATTATTCTCTTGTTCAACACTTGTTTAGCAACGATTTCCAAAATGGTGAGTAATGCAGACGCGTGAATCTTGACTTTGGCAGGTCCATTGGCTGATCCAGCTGCTGGTGCTAGCACGTTTGGCCTTACCAAGTGCATGAATGAGTTACTAGTAGCGGTAGCCATCCTTGTGTCTTTGAAGTGGTGTGTGTGAAATTTAGACTAACTTAACTTGGTGATTGATGGTAAAAATTTTCCAAAATGTCTTGAAATTTTTTTTCTTTCATTCTCTGCAGTGGAGCTATATGCAGGATTGAATAAATTGTTTTGCAACTGAATAGGAACCAAATGGTTGACGGTTGAAGCTGATGACTGAAGGATGAAGCAGAGGACTGAGCTATACAAAGTAGAAGATTAGTGTAAATCATTAAGCAGGACCAAGGGTTCCTGTGATCACACCTCAGTTGTACTGCCCAGCACAGGTAAAGAATATGTTACTATCTTGTATGCTCCCGAGTATTAGCATTTCATCAAAATCTAGAGCTTGTATAAGGAGGTTAAGATAGTGTAGCCCATCCCTCCAAGATGTTTTTCAATGGATGCTTGTCAACATTCTTTGGCCCATTCTTATTGCCGTAGTTACTGTTTTAGAAACTGAACCAAGAAAAGAGAGAAGACAAAAAAAAACACCAAAATATCAAATCGCAAAGTTTTGGGTGATGCTTCGGGCAGTTGTCCAACGGATCATCAAACATTGGATTAACCGAAACTTACTTCATATCAGTGATTGCTTAGAATATAATGGCCACAAGTGGTAGTACTCCTTTGAGCATTAAAGAGGATGAACTCCCAAAGTCAAAAGAGTCTATTGGTACTCCCACCTCTGCCAACACTGTATCCACAACAATAGCAACAGCAAGCACAACCACAGCTAATAACAGCAGCAGCAACAACAACAACAACAACCACAGCAATAAGAGTAACAAAAATTCCAGTCAATCACATTCTCAACGCAAAAGCATATGGATTTTTCCAGAATCAGTCGTACTATATCGCACACCAAGTCGAATACAGGCAAGAATCACCTTACCACAAGAACTTCGCATCAAAGAATCAATGCATGAATTTGTTGTACGACTAGGAACAAAGTTGAAAGTTGACGGACCAACTTTACTCGCCACCACGGTCTACCTCCATCGATATTACATGCGACTCCCACTTTCGTCCTCGAAATATTTCGTTGCTTCAGCAGCATTAACCATATCGTGTAAATTAAACGACAACTATCGACAGCCAGATAAAGTCAGCTTGTATGCATGTAACGTGAAAAACCCCAACCCACCAGTCATCAAAAACAAGGTCAAACAACCGCCACCGCCCATTGATGAACAAAACGAGTACTACTGGAAATGGAGAGACCAACTACTATATCGTGAAGAGCTTATTCTTCGAAAACTCAACTTTGAATTAAATTTCACCTCACCTTATTTACTCCAATTTAAAATATTAAACAAGATACATCTCGGTATGGGTCATTTATTGTACAACAAAAAGAAAGATATCTTGAAGATGACAATAACGCTTATTGAATTATTATCAAGTTTACCGGTTGTGTTGTGTTTTGATATGAAGGAAATTTTGGCAACTTGTTTTGTCATTACTATATTGGAGGGTAAAACAAAATTGGATAAAGAGTTGAAAGTGCCAGAAAACTTTTTACCCCTGGTCATTGGTGTCGAGGTCGATGTTGCATTGCATTGTTTCCGATTCATCAAAAAGTTGTTGCAGTGTTCGCAAGAGGATCCCCATGTGGTTAGTAATAAAGCTGCAGCAAAGAGGTTGTTACCGATAAAGTCGCAACACTTTGAAGATGTGGCTAGAGGAAAGTGATTGTAAATATATAAATATACATTAAATAAAAACCCCTTTGAATGCAATGAAGAAGACCGTGCATGTATCCGTGTGCTTTTGAATATGGCTCGTCTGAATTTGTTTTTCCGTTTCGCACGTGATTCTGTTGAGGTGCCATAATACACATCAAATTACATTCAAGTAGCATACTTGATTAAATATCAAATTGGCTTTTATACTACACCACATACTATACACGCAACGCTATCGAGAAGTTACCGTAACTGCATCGTACACCTTGCAGACTCAACCATGGACCCCACCCCGGATATATTTGAAGAACTAGACACGGCATTGATGGAGATCTTTCACCGCAACCACCATCGTGACCTCAACAACCTATCTGAACAAGAACGACAACGAGCCTTTGATGAAATGGCCGATTTGATTAGACAAAATTCACTAAATTCAGCCTCAAATCGTCGACGTACCGTAAGAAGATTCTACGAGATTACATGGTACTGGAATTACATACCTTACATTGTGCTACGATTTGATCGCATTGGACAACAAATTACCCTTGCTAATTTCAAATGGGCTGTTACTCACGCCATATTCTACTTCGTTAAAACAATTCAAGCAGGATTCAGAAGTATGATTTTTTTGTTTGTTTTACAAACATACCTCCATAATGTTTTTAACATGATTTTTGTATTTTCCAACATTATTACTTTCAGCCCCAACTTTCTCAAGGATCTATTCACTTATATATTCCAGGACTCACCCAATGTCTTACACGATCATGCATTGCTAGTCACTCACAAATGGGACATTTTCTATTACTTGAATTTAGAGGAATTTCAAAATGCCCTGATTTTGCAACACACATGGCTCATTTTCAAAAACTATCGTGCTTCGTTATTGAATACAATATGCATCGTGGCAAGAGAGGGACCATCTGATTGTGACTTGATTACAAACTCATTGGTGTTTAGGATGCTGGATGCTATTAGTGAAACATGTCCTCAATTGTCAACAAACATGGTACGATTCATTACAGTAACAACATATTTGCTCTATGCGACATTGGGTAATTTCATCTGCCTCAATGTATTGTTTTTCCTCCTGTATAATATTATGAGACGGATTGCTGGGTATTCCAAGATCGTCAAGAATTTGGGTCTGGTTGTTGGATCTACATTTGTGAAGTATATAGCGTAGTTGTAATTGGAGGGAGATAGAATATGTAAAGTTTAGAGTTGAAATAAACGAGTGCTTATATTAGTCAGGTCAACTTTGGGCGATGCTGTACGCTTGGTCCGGGTGAGAGGGGTAGGTCTTATAATAATATTAGTGGATCAATTTGCAACTTTAGAAGCTATACAAGATGTCACACTTCTGGTCAAAGAATGTCCCTTGACTGCAGCACAACTAGAAAGCTGAAAGATCTCACCTCGTTAATTCAATCAAAGATGCAACTGTGTCTCTCAAATGGGAATACAAGCTTTTCGTCATTAGCCGAAAATACACTCTCATGCAAGTCAAGTTTTCCTGCAGACAACAAAGGGCAAAATTGTTCTTTAGTGGCTCTTTGTAACCCTTCTTGAGGTATTAGGCGCCTTTCACAGCGATATAGGACTTTTTATGTCATTAGGTTACATTTATCGCGTGTTTCTCCTTGACAAATTCTTATTTTTCATCCGCTTCTGTCCGTACCCCACATTTACTCTGACAAGGTGAAAAAATAAAAAAGTAAAATAATAAAACAATACAATTAATAAAGCTATGTATATATATTAGAATGTTAATCCCCTTTTCTCAATTGCGCAAACTACACTCCCTCACATACGTCAAATCCATAAAAACAAAACATGTCGTCTCAACTTCCTACAGAAATGAAAGCAGTAGTCTTTCGCGGACCTTTTGATGTCCAAGTCGAACAGAAGCCAGCTCCCCAGATTAGTCTTCCGACTGATGCCATTGTCAAAGTTGAATATGCGGGCTTGTGTGGATCAGACATGCATACTTATAGAGGCCACATAAAGGGTCAACCTGGTACTGTTGTTGGCCACGAATTCACAGGAACTGTTGTCGCAGTAGGACAAGATGTGACAAAATTCCAGCCTGGTGACGATATATTGAGTTGTTTTTCCATCCAGTGTGGCGAATGTTTCTACTGTAAGCACGGTTTGACCGGCCAATGCGCTAAAACTAACACCTTTGGTAAACCAGGTTTGGATGGAGGACAAGCTGAATATGTGCGCGTTCCATACGCTGATAATGTGCTTGTCAAGAAACCAGAGAGTGTCAAAGGTGACAATATTGATGATTCCGTGTATTTACTTATGGCTGATATATTTGTCACTGGATATTTCGGGGTAAAGAAAATCGTGGACTACTTTAAAAACCAACCTGCCCAAAACTACGAAGCGCAGCGAATTAAAGATGTTTCAGTATTACAGATTGGTGCCGGTCCTGTTGGATTATGTGCTTTGCATGTATTAAAGTACTATGGATTTGAAAAGATTGTTGTCGTTGATAGTATTCCTTCAAGATTAGAAGCAGCCATGAAAATCGGTGCCTACAAAACCATCAATTTCCAAGAAGAAACGGATGGGGTAAAGAGCTTTGTAGCTGATGAATTGAACGGTGTTGGGTTTGATGCAGTATTGGAAGTGGTGGGTGCTGAATCATCAATGAAGTCAGCATTTGATGCTGTACGTGGTAATGGTTTTATCTCAGCATTGGGTATGGGCCATGGACCATTCCCTTTTGATGCATTGCAAGCATATTTGAAGAATCTTAATCTTTCATGTGGAAGATGTCATGCATATGCCTTGCTTCCTGAGGCTTTGGCAATCTTTGAAACATTGAAGGACAAATTGACTGATTTTATTGATCACAAGACACCCATTGATAATGCAAAGGAAGCATTTAAATTGTTCGACGAACACAAGGTTAATAAAGTGGTGTTTGATTTCAAGAATAAAGTATAGAGATTATAAAAATTATATATAGTTCCATCATTGTATATGCCAGACAAAATTTGTTGTACACGTAGGAGAATATGAAACAGCTCTTTCGATTTCACTGATCTATTAACAAACTCTGAATGACGCATTGGAAATTAGTTGACAAATTGAACCCAGTTGCATCCCTAGTGTCATATGGAAATTCAGCCCTTGTGCCATTTCAGTGGGGTGGTCTTGTCAACTTTTGTTAGGGGGGATAGCTGGTAGTTGGGTCCGTCAACAATCACCAGTACGTAGACCTCTTTTCCTAATATAACCAGCAGGTGCATCTTTCGTTGAGCATCGTGATAAGACTTGGTTTAGGAACAGATATCTATTGTGACTCATTCTGATACTTTACCTAGCAGCTGCAGTTTCCTCTCCGGTTGTAAACAGCCACAGTTGTTCGTAATAGAGATATTCCAGATCTCATTAAACGCTAAATAAAGGGGAAAGTGGTTTTCAGCATGAGCCGATGTGGAGGTAATTGTGCTTATCCACTAGTTCATCAAGTTGGTTTGTACTGTCTATACTCTTCCATTGGGAGTGCTTGATGTTGCTGATGGTTTTGGTGCTTATCGCGCATACTTTAGAAAAATACCGGGGTAAAGTCTTTCGATGTGGGATTTCGTAGAAGCGAATCTAGATCGTCTACGTCATAATTGTTGGTAGCGATCACAAACTCGATCCGGTCCTTTTTTTCTCTCTTTAACCTGTAGCCTTTTTTTTTTCCAAAAAAAAAACTTACAAAGGACCCTCTCTGCACCAGAATCGATATCAGATCCATCAATTTGTTAAGTATCCTCCAAATATCATGTCTGATAACAACCACAACCCTGAAATGCCTCGGATGAACCTTCGCGACTCTCGGAACCCAAACTCAACCATGTCTCCTCCGAACTCGGGCTTTTCGCCCTATGGGGCAGTACAGCTACCACCAGTGTACTCCTACCGACAATCCCAGCAACAGCAGCAGCAGCAAGTACCACCAGTACAACTGTCTCTGGATCTGAATTATTCCGGCTCTCCAAACCCTATTGCGCAACCATTACACCCCATGCAGACACAAACCCACCAAACGGCTGACAATCGGCCCCGCATGCGGGTCAGCAAAGCTTGTGATCGATGCAGGACGCATAAAATCAAATGCACAGGGTCGGACCCATGTGCTACCTGTGTACGACAAAAGAAAGAGTGTACGTTTTCCAACTCTGCCAGTGGTAGTGGTGGTGCCAATGTACCAAATAAAACCAATGGATATCAACAACAAGGTGCAGATGCAAATAAACGGCGCAAATTTAGCACTCTTAATTCAGAACCGTTTGGGTTGCCGGTTGTTGACAAGTCAAATGACAAGGAGTACATCTCGCATTTGGAAAATAGGGTGCAGTATCTTGAACATTTATTGTCAAGAAACACATTTGAAGATTTTAGAAATCCACGGTCACAAGAACCAGAAAGTGAAGGGGTCATTGAGACGTTGTACACCACAAGTTCAAAGTGGAGGTTTTCGCGTCGTCACCAGAATTTACTTATTGTTGAATTGTGCAAGTCGATGTATTCAAACTTGTCAGAAGAGCTGAAGGAAAAAGTGACAATCCCCCGTATGCAATACTTTGGATGGAACATGTCGGGAGTCAACTACCTCACGCCGGAAAATTTGCCTCCTTTACCCCAATTAGACATCGAGTTGGATGAACGTTACTTGATTGATTTTTTCTTCAAGGAAGTGAACCCATTGTTTGCCATTATTCATGAAACGGTGTTTCGTGAACAATATGAAGCGTATGATAAGCTTATGAAGGAGGAGGCAGTAACTACCGCCTCTGGCGAGAACAAGCACGACTCAAAAACAAACCAAACGAAATTGTACTCCGCCATCTTGTATCTCATCTTGGCGTTGGCCATTCGATTTAGTGAATTTCAAAAGCCCAAGAGCCCCGACTTGGAAATGTTGAAATTGGAGGAGAAATTGTTTAAATATGGATACAAGATTGTGTCGATATTAAGTTTTGAATGGGAATCATTTGAGTTGATCCAGAGTTGGCTATTGATTGCATTATACCTAAGAGTAGCTCACCGACAAACATCTTCGTCACATGCGTTGGGCCAAGCGATTACAATGACAAAATCGATGGGATTAGGATTCAGTGAGGAAAACTATAATATCTTGGCGTGCACTGGGTATGAACGCTTGAAGGCTAAACGAATTTTTTGGTGTGTCTTTACATTTGATCGGGTATGTGGGTTACAAACTGGGCGATATTGTGGTATTCGAGAAGAAGATTTTGGACGTGGGTATCCTGGATTTGATTTCGAACAGGAGACGGTCAAGGATGACTGGTTGACTTTACCTGCATTGGCATTGTTGCATATTGCCAGAATCTCAAACTTTGTGCATACGGCACCCAATGATAACCCTCATTTGATCAAATATCAACAGATTAATACCGAATTGGTCAGTTTGCATGCATGGTTCAATGAGATTGGATTTAGGAATGATTTGCTATTTAATAAAAATGTGGGCCATAATGGGCCAAATGAAGTTAGTTCGTTGATCAAGGCACAAGTCAAGTTGCATTATTACGATTTAGTGCTTTGTGTTCATGGTAAAGTTCTTTTCAATTATATTGGACGCAGAATTGCGAGTAATGGGTTAAAAGTCGATATGGTTTTGGATGCATGTCATGGTGTCATTGAAGTTTTGGATAAGGTGAACAAAGCCGGGTTGCTATATACTCCATGGTACTCGGTTCTACTCTTGCTATTCAATATTGGTGTCAATGCTCTTTGCTTGATCAATGGCGGTGTTTTCATTCAGCAATCAAGAGATCTCTTGAAGAATACTATTAAATTGTTTACCATTTTGAAAAAATCGCCAATTAGGAATAAGCAAAACAAGTTGGTGTTTCGTGAACGATTTAAAATGGTGAGAGAATGTACGTGGGCATTAAAAATGGCCAATAAAATCTTAACGTTGCGATTAGAAGAAGATATGAATGCCTTGAATAATATTGGTGTTGATCATGGCTCATCTGATGTAAATAAGCAGTATTTTTCTCAGTTGGGATTCAATGATGGTGCACCTGGTGGACACACCAAGGAAGATACAGTTGCTCCTGCTGGTGCTGCTGGTGCTGCTTCTGCTAATTCTACCTCAAACCTCTCGTCGAGCAATTCTCGCCATGCGCAGTATCAAAACCCACGCTCCAGCCAAGGCAAGAGCAACGAGTTCAACAAAGTATTTGAACAACAGTTGTATCGAAATGAAGAGGGTTCCAATATACCACATCATATATTACAACAGCACCAAGAATTACAAGGAGAAGCAAGCGGTACAGCATCGCCAATTTTATCACAGTCGGGTGCTGAAATGCATACACCTATCGAAGGCACTGCCACCACAAACACCAACAACGATGAAGGATCATCCTATGTTAATTCATTCAATACGCCATCTTCGGATAACCATGAAGGTGGCGGTGCCATTGATCCGTACCCGTCAACTGAAATTGACCAGATGTTGAGTAACTTGCAATGGTTTGATCAGTGGGTTGATTTTACCTATGATTTTTAAGAAATAGTGTTTTTTAAGATAGAGTTTAGTGACAAAATAGTTTATTTAAAAGGTGTATAATAATTTGTGTTGAAGATACAGAACTTGTAATCACTGTCATTTACTTATTTGATAATGTAGTTTTTTCGGCAAGTGTAGACCTACAGATTGAATTAGCGTTTTCTCCTGGAGTCCACAAATTTCAAGGTTGTCTTGATTTGTGAGGGATTCTTTTTCAAAGTGTTGGAACCAAAAGAGTAGATCGGGGAGGGTGTGAATGATTGATGATTATAAAAGAGCCAGAGGTTCTACTGGCATATGTCTAAACTGGAAGTTTTTCCGAACATGCAAGATTGCTTAAAATTAAGCAGTCTCGGAAAAACTTTTCAAACGGTTTCTGTGATTTTGATTTCGAGGTTAAAAAAATTCACCCAGCATCACAAGTGTATGGACGTAGGTACGTTTTTTCTTTGATAGTACGATAGGCTGGGCTCATGTCTTGTTTTTGTGGGAACATTCACTCTCAAAAAAGAGGTTGGACTTAGTCTTTACTTTGTTTCGATTTATAATGTATTAGCTGGTTTTTTGATCATCATTCTGAGCCAGCCATGAGTTACACCAAAACGAAAACGAAAAACGTGGCAATGGGCTCCCATGGCCACGACTTAATTTCTTATTAATTACGAGACATGAAGCATTATGGAATAGAACCGTTGAATTGTGAATTATAAGTCGGGAGGTGGGGTGTCCATTAGTTTCTTTTCTTTCCAATGACGTAGGTGTGATGTTATAAAGCTACTATTAAAGTAGCAGAAACTAATATAAAACGGTTATAGAGGAAGGCTTTAATTGCAAAAAATACAACAAGAACTGCATCGGATGCATAATCACCGAAGTACAGAGTGGGACACAGAGACAAAACGACAATAACAAAAAAAAAGAAAAGATTTTGTTTGCATTGTTCCAATATGTTGGTATTGTGTATCTCCAGATATATACGTTTAAAAAATGAACAGAGTTATGTTATGAGTATATTCTGCTGGGGATATGTAGATGTCTTTGTTTTTTACATTTGTGTCTTGTGTTTGTTTTATTTCTCGGAGAAACTGAAGACTCTTTTTAATTTCTTTTTTCTTTTCTTGCACGTGTGTGGTCGTGTATATACCGATTGTTTTATAAAGAAGAAAATAAAATGATAAATATAATAGCAATAACCCCTTGTAAAAGCAACTACTATGTTAAGCATAACAAATAATACACAGTCTTAGGTGGATTATAACCTCTGCTCTGTATTGCTTAATAATAGTGAAGACAATGTATTTGATAGAACAAGAACAAGAACAAGAACNCTGGTAGCGGTCACAAACTCGATCCGGTCCTTTTTTCCTCTCTTTAACCTGTAGCCTTTTTTTTTTCCAAAAAAAAAACTTACAAAGGACCCTCTCTGCACCAGAATCGATATCAGATCCATCAATTTGTTAAGTATCCTCCAAATATCATGTCTGATAACAACCACAACCCTGAAATGCCTCGGATGAACCTTCGCGACTCTCGGAACCCAAACTCAACCATGTCTCCTCCGAACTCGGGCTTTTCGCCCTATGGGGCAGTACAGCTACCACCAGTGTACTCCTACCGACAATCCCAGCAACAGCAGCAGCAGCAAGTACCACCAGTACAACTGTCTCTGGATCTGAATTATTCCGGCTCTCCAAACCCTATTGCGCAACCATTACACCCCATGCAGACACAAACCCACCAAACGGCTGACAATCGGCCCCGCATGCGGGTCAGCAAAGCTTGTGATCGATGCAGGACGCATAAAATCAAATGCACAGGGTCGGACCCATGTGCTACCTGTGTACGACAAAAGAAAGAGTGTACGTTTTCCAACTCTGCCAGTGGTAGTGGTGGTGCCAATGTACCAAATAAAACCAATGGATATCAACAACAAGGTGCAGATGCAAATAAACGGCGCAAATTTAGCACTCTTAATTCAGAACCGTTTGGGTTGCCGGTTGTTGACAAGTCAAATGACAAGGAGTACATCTCGCATTTGGAAAATAGGGTGCAGTATCTTGAACATTTATTGTCAAGAAACACATTTGAAGATTTTAGAAATCCACGGTCACAAGAACCAGAAAGTGAAGGGGTCATTGAGACGTTGTACACCACAAGTTCAAAGTGGAGGTTTTCGCGTCGTCACCAGAATTTACTTATTGTTGAATTGTGCAAGTCGATGTATTCAAACTTGTCAGAAGAGCTGAAGGAAAAAGTGACAATCCCCCGTATGCAATACTTTGGATGGAACATGTCGGGAGTCAACTACCTCACGCCGGAAAATTTGCCTCCTTTACCCCAATTAGACATCGAGTTGGATGAACGTTACTTGATTGATTTTTTCTTCAAGGAAGTGAACCCATTGTTTGCCATTATTCATGAAACGGTGTTTCGTGAACAATATGAAGCGTATGATAAGCTTATGAAGGAGGAGGCAGTAACTACCGCCTCTGGCGAGAACAAGCACGACTCAAAAACAAACCAAACGAAATTGTACTCCGCCATCTTGTATCTCATCTTGGCGTTGGCCATTCGATTTAGTGAATTTCAAAAGCCCAAGAGCCCCGACTTGGAAATGTTGAAATTGGAGGAGAAATTGTTTAAATATGGATACAAGATTGTGTCGATATTAAGTTTTGAATGGGAATCATTTGAGTTGATCCAGAGTTGGCTATTGATTGCATTATACCTAAGAGTAGCTCACCGACAAACATCTTCGTCACATGCGTTGGGCCAAGCGATTACAATGACAAAATCGATGGGATTAGGATTCAGTGAGGAAAACTATAATATCTTGGCGTGCACTGGGTATGAACGCTTGAAGGCTAAACGAATTTTTTGGTGTGTCTTTACATTTGATCGGGTATGTGGGTTACAAACTGGGCGATATTGTGGTATTCGAGAAGAAGATTTTGGACGTGGGTATCCTGGATTTGATTTCGAACAGGAGACGGTCAAGGATGACTGGTTGACTTTACCTGCATTGGCATTGTTGCATATTGCCAGAATCTCAAACTTTGTGCATACGGCACCCAATGATAACCCTCATTTGATCAAATATCAACAGATTAATACCGAATTGGTCAGTTTGCATGCATGGTTCAATGAGATTGGATTTAGGAATGATTTGCTATTTAATAAAAATGTGGGCCATAATGGGCCAAATGAAGTTAGTTCGTTGATCAAGGCACAAGTCAAGTTGCATTATTACGATTTAGTGCTTTGTGTTCATGGTAAAGTTCTTTTCAATTATATTGGACGCAGAATTGCGAGTAATGGGTTAAAAGTCGATATGGTTTTGGATGCATGTCATGGTGTCATTGAAGTTTTGGATAAGGTGAACAAAGCCGGGTTGCTATATACTCCATGGTACTCGGTTCTACTCTTGCTATTCAATATTGGTGTCAATGCTCTTTGCTTGATCAATGGCGGTGTTTTCATTCAGCAATCAAGAGATCTCTTGAAGAATACTATTAAATTGTTTACCATTTTGAAAAAATCGCCAATTAGGAATAAGCAAAACAAGTTGGTGTTTCGTGAACGATTTAAAATGGTGAGAGAATGTACGTGGGCATTAAAAATGGCCAATAAAATCTTAACGTTGCGATTAGAAGAAGATATGAATGCCTTGAATAATATTGGTGTTGATCATGGCTCATCTGATGTAAATAAGCAGTATTTTTCTCAGTTGGGATTCAATGATGGTGCACCTGGTGGACACACCAAGGAAGATACAGTTGCTCCTGCTGGTGCTGCTGGTGCTGCTTCTGCTAATTCTACCTCAAACCTCTCGTCGAGCAATTCTCGCCATGCGCAGTATCAAAACCCACGCTCCAGCCAAGGCAAGAGCAACGAGTTCAACAAAGTATTTGAACAACAGTTGTATCGAAATGAAGAGGGTTCCAATATACCACATCATATATTACAACAGCACCAAGAATTACAAGGAGAAGCAAGCGGTACAGCATCGCCAATTTTATCACAGTCGGGTGCTGAAATGCATACACCTATCGAAGGCACTGCCACCACAAACACCAACAACGATGAAGGATCATCCTATGTTAATTCATTCAATACGCCATCTTCGGATAACCATGAAGGTGGCGGTGCCATTGATCCGTACCCGTCAACTGAAATTGACCAGATGTTGAGTAACTTGCAATGGTTTGATCAGTGGGTTGATTTTACCTATGATTTTTAAGAAATAGTGTTTTTTAAGATAGAGTTTAGTGACAAAATAGTTTATTTAAAAGGTGTATAATAATTTGTGTTGAAGATACAGAACTTGTAATCACTGTCATTTACTTATTTGATAATGTAGTTTTTTCGGCAAGTGTAGACCTACAGATTGAATTAGCGTTTTCTCCTGGAGTCCACAAATTTCAAGGTTGTCTTGATTTGTGAGGGATTCTTTTTCAAAGTGTTGGAACCAAAAGAGTAGATCGGGGAGGGTGTGAATGATTGATGATTATAAAAGAGCCAGAGGTTCTACTGGCATATGTCTAAACTGGAAGTTTTTCCGAACATGCAAGATTGCTTAAAATTAAGCAGTCTCGGAAAAACTTTTCAAACGGTTTCTGTGATTTTGATTTCGAGGTTAAAAAAATTCACCCAGCATCACAAGTGTATGGACGTAGGTACGTTTTTTCTTTGATAGTACGATAGGCTGGGCTCATGTCTTGTTTTTGTGGGAACATTCACTCTCAAAAAAGAGGTTGGACTTAGTCTTTACTTTGTTTCGATTTATAATGTATTAGCTGGTTTTTTGATCATCATTCTGAGCCAGCCATGAGTTACACCAAAACGAAAACGAAAAACGTGGCAATGGGCTCCCATGGCCACGACTTAATTTCTTATTAATTACGAGACATGAAGCATTATGGAATAGAACCGTTGAATTGTGAATTATAAGTCGGGAGGTGGGGTGTCCATTAGTTTCTTTTCTTTCCAATGACGTAGGTGTGATGTTATAAAGCTACTATTAAAGTAGCAGAAACTAATATAAAACGGTTATAGAGGAAGGCTTTAATTGCAAAAAATACAACAAGAACTGCATCGGATGCATAATCACCGAAGTACAGAGTGGGACACAGAGACAAAACGACAATAACAAAAAAAAAGAAAAGATTTTGTTTGCATTGTTCCAATATGTTGGTATTGTGTATCTCCAGATATATACGTTTAAAAAATGAACAGAGTTATGTTATGAGTATATTCTGCTGGGGATATGTAGATGTCTTTGTTTTTTACATTTGTGTCTTGTGTTTGTTTTATTTCTCGGAGAAACTGAAGACTCTTTTTAATTTCTTTTTTCTTTTCTTGCACGTGTGTGGTCGTGTATATACCGATTGTTTTATAAAGAAGAAAATAAAATGATAAATATAATAGCAATAACCCCTTGTAAAAGCAACTACTATGTTAAGCATAACAAATAATACACAGTCTTAGGTGGATTATAACCTCTGCTCTGTATTGCTTAATAATAGTGAAGACAATGTATTTGATAGAACAAGAACAAGAACAAGAACAAGAGTAAGAACTTAAGTCTTTTACATCTTGTTGACTGTTGTGTTTGACAAAAGCTTCTCCGTCTCTATGCCTGTCTTTCTATATCTTTGTCTATTGTTTTATAAAACAGAAGAATCTGTAATTTTTCGTTTATCTTTTGTTGTCAAAGCTCAAAAACTTTTCTATTAGTTAGACAAAGGAGACTGAGACAACAAAAGCAATGGGGAATGAAATGAATTGAGACTAAGAAAACCGTTAGCTTAGCCTCTTATTCTTATAAACCTTGAAAGGGGGAGGGAGAGGGGTAGTGGCGATGATTATCATTCTGCTATATATATATATATATATATATTGCAGTAAAATTACAATGTGATGGTTAAGATATTATCTTTAGATCTCTCTCCCCCACTTTTTGTGCCCCCACACTTGTCTAACAATAAGAAAAGGGAAGTATAAAAAAAACATAAAGAGCAAAAGCTGGAGTCACTATGTGAGTTCTTATTAGCAAATAACACTACTTGTTTTACTTACCTTCCTATTAATAGTGTTGATGAAAAAGAGTTATAAATCTCTTGTGATATTTATGTGTATGTTGTTCTCATATGATATGATCGTAAAATGTGCTTAAAAATACTGTATAGACCTGCATGTTGTAATTGTCCGGAGAAATGAATAAAACAAAAAAAGAAATTAATTCATTTTATTTGTTTCTTTTGTGTAAGTTCGTTTTATTTATTTTTTATTTTTTTATTTTCTTCAATTTCTATTGTTCTTCTATTGTTCATCTTCAATTGAGCAAAATTCTCATTCATCAATCATCAATCATCATCCTTTTAAGAAACAGAATAAGAAGAAAAGACTTGAACCACTCTCATCTTACATCTTCTCACATTTGCTTTGACTCAGTATTAGCAACCTAAATACATACATACATACATACATACATACATACATACATACACACATCTACACACTCCAAAGAGAGAAACTAGGAAATATATTGCTTTAGCCACACAGTACTACATATATATTCTCCTACTCCACCACCGCAACCCACAGCATATATTACACGCCCAGGATGACATCTACAGCTACAACTATACCACCACCATCAAAGGAAAAGAAAAACAAGGAAGACAGACCTTACAAATGTACATTTTGTGAAAAGGCTTTCCATCGATTAGAACATCAAACAAGACATATTCGAACTCATACTGGAGAAAAACCTCATGCTTGTACTTTCCCCGGATGTACTAAACGATTTAGTCGATCAGATGAATTAACTAGACATTTAAGAATTCACAATAACCCATCATCAAGAAAGAGAAAAAGTGGCAAGAATATCGATGGTAATGGACTTCATCAACCACATGCACATCCACATATGATTCAGCCCATTCCTATTAGTATACATCCCAATCAACAAACACACCATCCACTTGCTGTAAATCAGTACCCCTCGTCATCCGGTGCTGCTAGTGCTCCTCCTATGCCTGTACCTGTTTCAGTTGACAGTAATGGTAACACAATTTATCATCAACCATATCCTGTATATTTAGTACCTCATGCTAATGGATACATGCAGCCAGTAATACCTCAACAACAACCACCGCAGACAGAAGCACCACAACTACTGCAACCGCCGCCACCACCACCACAACAGCAACAGCAGCAGCAACTCTTTCAATTTACGCCTGAATCATCGGCCTCTCCAGCACAAGCCTTGCACCAGCAACAACTACAGCAGCAGCAAAGTAGGTCAGAAACACCATCGAGCAACTTTTCAGGTCGTGATATTATTATTCCCTCGCATTATAAGCAACAAGGATCAGCTGTATTTTCAATCCCTACATCACCAACCACCATGCAAAATAGTGGATCACTGTATACACAGCAAGCAGAAGCATCCAACTTTCAACAACAGCAACTGAACCACCATCAACGTCCTACTTTGAGCTCTCGTGCCATTTCATCCGATGCTATAAGATCATATAATATTAGCCATAGCAATAATCCAGTTAATGTGTCACCACCATTCCCACAACGTCATTATCAATTACAACAACAACAACAGCAGCAGCAGCACTTGCAGAGTAACCCCAATATACAAAAATCACAATCTTCGTCCAGTATATTATCTGAAAACCAACGAGTATTTAGTAATCCTGAATCAACAATACAATCATTGGGCACCTCGCCCGATAGTGATACCTCATACTCAGCATGCAATGCTATGCCGCCACCTCCACTATCACATTCACAGCCACATACAAATACAAATACAAATACAAACAATACTACGTCATCGTCTACTTCTGCAAGCACTGCTGTTCCTTCATTTAGTAATCTTCATGAATATTTCCAACCAAAGAACAATAATAGTAATAGCAGCAGCTCTCGAGTATTCAACACTGGTTCATCTTCTTCAACAACGTCGCTTTCATCATTAAATGGAAAAATCAGACCATCTAATTCTTCAACAAACTTGTCGAATTTCTCAAGTTTGACGCGAATGACTCCATTGAAATTCCCCACTAGTGCCACAATGTCCAAATCACAAAGCCGGACGAATTTGACTATTCCTAAACAAGGTTCGTCAACATCATTAAATTTAGAATTTTACAACAACAATGGTACAGGCTCTGGTTTGAACCATGTGGCAAAGAAATCAAGACCCAATTCACCAACACTTCTATCAACCACACCTAGCCAGAGTAATATGGCATCATCATCATCAATGATGCATTTAACTAATGCCCGCAAATTCAATTCAAGTTTTATTATCTCGCCTAATGAAACTCCATTACAGACACCTAGTCAATCACCACAATTGCATGCAGAAGAGTTGGCTAATCATCCTAGTATACTCTCATTGACGCAGAATAGCAAGGGGGAATTGATTGCAAATGGTGGTGAAGTGAAACTGAAGGGGCACAGTCAGAGTCAGGGTCAGAATCAGAATGAGAAGGTGGATGATAGTATTGCTACTAGTGGTACGCAATTGCCTCCAATTCGTTCAGTATTGAGTTTTACTGCCTTGAAAGATACGCCCAAACCTAATGGAAGTGCAAATACAAGCGGGACGAGTAATCAAGATACAATAAGCGAGAAAGGTGAAGAGAACAACAGTAATGGCAATAGCAATGGTAATGGTAGTGCTGCTATGAGTGTCAGTAGCTTGTTGAGTTAAATAGCAATGTTGTGTACAGTCTTTATTTTTATTTCATACTAAAGTGACATAATTTTTCATACCAACGCGACATAAATTTTCAAACCAGTGCGACATAATTTTGTTTTATGTGGTTTTGTTTCGGGTAGGAAAGGAAAACCATAATATAAGATTAAAAGGGGTAATGAATTTCAAGCTGGAGTTACACACAGACAGATATGTGGATGGGCTTGGTAATTGCTTCACTTTGGAGTCTGACCGGAGGACTCTAGAAGGTGATATAAAGGGTTTTTTCTTTGTGAAGGTAAAACTAAAATGTGGAAAGTAATGGGAGGTAATGAACCATATTTAAAAAAAACTGAACAATATTTTATACAAAATAAGTTAATTGTAGAGACTTAAACCTGTTACGAATCCCCAGATAGATAATTTTTTAAATCTATTTATAAAGTTTGGTGTCGTTGTATTGGCTACACCTGTGTCAAAGTTTTTAGCCCTAAAGCTCTTTCTATATTGGCTATGACTGCCATGTGGTTTTTGTGTTCAATTATTCTTACGATAGTCTTACAATCTATATTGCTTACAAAGGTTAAAGAATCACAAAAAAAAGGAGAAAGGCCTATATACACTGGGGATGTGTAGATTCTGTGAGTATTTGATTTAATGGTTAATCTAGTAGCAGCTAAAGACCATGTGAGAAGTTAATACCTTGAGGGTCCAAATATAATAACACGTAGTGATTCTAAGTCCTATATTGTTAAGGAAAAATGACTGGTGACATAAAGGTGTACATTTATGTCTAGATATGGAATCAAAAGCTCCTTCACTAATAATACATATATTCTTACAAATCCACTGCGGTAAACATCGAAAAATGGCACGATTTAGAAATTAGTAGTTTGAGAATTACTAAAAGTAAAACCTTTGAGCCACATATGTCTAAAAGCTTTCAAATATGAGGAAGATAATTAGCATAGAGCATCAAGCGGCATATCTTTTGTGGCACGTAGTATATATACGGTCTACTATAGAAGTATATATTAAACATTGAAAGTCACCGTGTAGCTTGTAAAGTAAGAAAAGCCAGAATTCAAAGATCATAACAACAAGATACATGGGCTGGTACAAAGTGAAAAGGAGAATAAATTAGATATGAGACAATAGAAATCTATAAATATTACATTAAACCTAAAGTAAAATAAAGTTGATGATATCAAATGCAAAAACTACATATTTTAGTTACTGTTGGCATATGTACTATTTAATATCATTACTATATGTAGGGCATGACACCTGAGACAGAATGGACTGTCTTTCCAGCTAGTGCTGCCGATGGATGATGGGGAAAGTTTTCTTTTCCTGGATGTTTCTTTCTTCTTGTAGAGCTAACGATAAGCACCGAGACAATATTACCAACAAGGTTAATAAGGTTAATCATATTCATTAATATATACAAAAATAATTGCTGTAAACAATCAACTTCGCACATCTACAACCAGTTACTTTTATTTTGAAAAGTTTACTGTTGAAGGCTGCATAATCCTGATATTATGAAGTAGTATGAAACAAAGATAAAAAGACTGTACACATTATTCATGCATACATGATCACACCACTTTTATTCACCCTAGATTCATACGCAAGTGCAATAAATACAACACATTGTCATCATCATCTTTTTTGTTTTCATGCATAGGTCCACACAGTTCAAAAAAGTGTATGCATGGGGCGGGATTGCGCATATGCACGTCAAAAAAATAGGAAAGACTCCCAAATATGCTTAGTTCTCCAGATTTTTGTTCAATATGGTTGCCCCAAAGTTTTGGTGAACTTTCCATATATATACTGAGCAGCTTTGCAGAACACTTTGGTCTTTTTTAGTTGTTCTGAATTAGTTCATTCGTGGCGATCATAAAAGCAATTCCTCAATAACGTCTTCTCAAGATGAAAGATGACCATAGGGAAAAACAACTCGCCCAGCTTTGCAAGATTGTGAAGATTTTGACTTGTGTGGCGGTTTTTATTACTATAATCTTCATAGTCTTGTATACAAATACGGATTGGTTTGTCAACCATGGCGAATCTCATCAATCTACCAAGGCTTTACTGAAGATACCAAACTATGGAAAAGACTTAATGTCCACAAAAGCTTACTTAGAAAGAAGGAATTGGTGGGTTTGGTTTACAGCTGCTGCTATTGGTGGAATGATGGTAGCAGCGGCTGGCCTTGCAGGATTTTGGTGGGTTAATTCTTGTGGTACGACTGCTGCTATTGCTACTTCTCAGTGTTGGTATGCAGCTGCTGGTATAGTTGTTGTGGGTGGTATTGGGCTTGCTTTGACTGTTGCAGGAGGAGCCAATTTGGGTAATTCCAAAAGAGATGTCGTCGTAAGCAAGTGTGCATAGACATGGATACTTGAGCAAATATCATATTGATGAACATTGGGAGACAGACACACTAAGTGAGGTGAATGACATATTGAGCTCTGTACCTGGTGTGAGCAGTGTCAGATTGTTTCACATATCTGATGCAGATACAGAACCAGTCGGAGAAAAGAGGGACGCAGATGAAGTTACTATCGCTAACGCAAACCTTATCACTTGGAAATCTGTCTACGGTAGCCATGCAGCCGCCCATACCACTGGCATCAAAAATATAACAGAGTTAGCAACCTATATCGTACAATCCCGGCCAGCCTCAGCCAATGTTGATACCATTGATAACTTCAACAGTAGTACCATTAGCAGCAGAGTCAGACGCAGACAGAACTACTTCGATGTCAACTATGTTACTTGGAACAGGGATAATGTAAACCATGACTTGGATAGAGTTCTTTCTCAGGACCGTGGAATGGAGGAAATGTGGGAATATGATCAAGAAGTTCCCAATTTTTTTCATAATAATGGCGGTTGGAAATATTGTGCAACTGCAACAGTAAATCCCAATCCAGGACATAATGAGGGTTATAATGATATTGGCAGAGGAAATGCCGTTCATGGGGAGTTCTATTTCAATACTTACGGTGGAATTGATGGTTATTGTAATGATAACAAAGATGGAGCTCAGTGTAGTCAGCCAGGATGCGGGCAATAGATTATTGATATTTGATCTCTTTGAAGGTGACAAGCTGTTAAACTAGGTACCAAGACAGTCAGTAAAGTTATGCATACTATAAAATATGTTTGACGCTTAGTGATTCTAATGGAATTAAATAACATTGCTAGTTGTCAAGTTCGTAAAGGCTGTAATCTAATATACCCCATGGACCCCAAATTTAAAGTTTCATCGCCGAAGTATCCATCTGAACAAGTTAGGTAGATTATTCTTGTCACCAGAGGTCTCAATGTATCATTCTTAGGAGCCATCTCTTCCAAAGGATGCGTTGACTTAAAGGTTCGACTTCCAGCCGAAACTGCTCCTAACAAGAAGAGAAAACTCGGTTCCAACACCACAGTTTCGGAAAAGAAGACAAGAGTTGGTACCACGGCCAATCATTTCTTTGCATTTGTCAAGTCCGTGCTTAGAGAAATTGAGACAAACAAGACACTTTAAGAGATCAAGTATTTGATACTTGGCAACGCAGCCATCCATAAACGTTGCGATCTCCAGTTATTAGTAGCACTGAGTGGAATGGGGTAAGTGTTTTTGCTTCCTTATTCACCGGGACTAAATGCAATTGAAGAGTTCTGGTCCGTGTGTAAGGCTAAAGTCAAGCGGTCAAACTTATCTAGAAAAGAACAATTAACTCCAAGGGTAAGAGAAGCAACAGCAAAGATAGCATTAGAAAGCTATCAAGGCTTCTGTAGGCATGCTAATAGCTTTATACCATATTGTTTAGAGAGGAGATCTTTCTAAACTATGGGCCCTTGTGAATAGGAAGGAAACAGCTTTTGGCTTGGGAAAAATGACTGCAAAAACCCCGAGAGAAGACAGTAAAAAAGGCTCAAACAAAAGAAAAATAATAATAATCCTGGTCTGATACTATTCCATAGTTTTAAAGTAATTGCCCTAATTCTACAGGATCAGACTCAATCGGGTTAGAGGTACGGAAATTCTTTTGGGTACTAATGTGGTATGAACAATTATGTCGCGTTGGTATGAACAATTATGTCGCACTAGTATGAAACAAAATTAAAGACTGTATTACTTGAATAGATAGAGTTTGTCAAAAAATGGCCCCATCTTTGCAATATGCTCCTCCCGTATAAACTACTGTATGTGTAATATATTACTTACCACAAAACACAGATATCTTACATTGTTGTTTTTGAGCGTTTAATAAAAACCCAAATGGAGAGGCGAAGTAAGCAAGTAAGTAAATATGTACAGAGAAGAAGGGGGGGCATGAATTATCGAAGTGACATAAACGTTTTTGGTTTCTTTTGGTTTTACTAACATGGGTCTCATTTGGTCTGAAAGTGGGGAAAATACCCAATAGACATAGAGGAAAAGAGATACAAGGAATAGACTTATTGGGTAGTTGGATTGTTATTAATACAATTCAGATAGGCAAATGAAGGTCTTTTGGCAATGAATAATAGTAGTTGTAGTTATGTAATTAGAGTCAGATGTGTTTATATTCACCCCAACATTCTAAAGTCAAATAATCTCTTTGGTTTGCATAATACACCCCTCTTTTTATATTTTTTGTTTTGGTTAATGTAACAAAAGAGTTATTACAGGGTTGTGCTATGTATTCTATTTCTGATTGTATGTGGTATGTATTGTGTTGGTGTTGGTGTTGGTGTTGGTGTTGGTGTTGGTGTTGGTGTTGGTGTTGGTGTTGGTGTTGGTGTTGGTGTTGGTGTTGGTGTTGGTGTTGGTGTTGCTGTTGCTGTTGCTGTTGCTGTATAATTACTCCGAAAGATGTATCACAAATTGCATTTCCCCCACTTTCATTCTTGTATTGTATTGTTACTATTACTACTCTTTTAAGTTTTTCAAAAATAAAAAAAAAACCGGGAAAGAGATATCTCATTGGTTGAGTCACATTCACACCACACCTTTGCTAGGTCCTTCCCCCTACACACAAGGTATATATATCCTTTATTCAATGCAAGGTACTCTTCTGCTTCTGCTAACTTTTTGTTGGGGGAGAGACTCCTAATTGATGTTACATTGCATTAACATAGCAATCGTTTTAATCTTTGTGTAACTATTTATGTCTCCTGGAGATGTCTCTCGGTAAGATCATACATTCAAAACAAAACACATATTGATGATACATTGATACATATATTACTCCAACCCCAATCAATAACACCCAACAATAACTACTTTACAAGACGTATATCCTATATATATCGATATACTCCTCAAACATTATAAATACCAGACCAATTTCCAACTAATATTCTTTATTTCAATTACAAAACTACAACTAACTAGCCAGCCACAACTATGAGTATTAAATTAAATTCAGGACACCAAATGCCAATTGTTGGCTTTGGATGCTGGAAAGTCACCAACAATACCGCAGCCGATCAAATCTACAATGCAATCAAAGTAGGTTACAGATTATTTGATGGTGCTCAAGACTATGGTAACGAAACAGAAGTGGGCCAAGGAATCAATCGTGCCATTGATGAAGGTCTTGTCGCTCGTGATGAATTGTTTATTGTCTCCAAATTATGGAACAATTATCATGACCCTAAAAATGTTGAAACTGCTTTAAACAAGACCTTGAATGATTTGAATTTGGATTATCTTGATTTATTCTTGATTCATTTCCCTATTGCGTTCAAATTTGTTCCTATTGAAGAGAAATACCCCCCTGGGTTTTATTGTGGCGATGGTGATAAGTTCCATTACGAAAATGTTCCCTTGTTGGATACATGGAAAGCTTTGGAATCGTTGGTTGCCAAGGGCAAAGTCAAGTCTATTGGTATTTCCAATTTCAACGGTGCATTAATTTACGATTTATTAAGAGGTGCATCTATCCCACCAGCAGTGTTGCAAATTGAGCATCATCCTTATTTACAACAACCTAGATTGGTTGAATATGTCCAATCGCAGGGCATTGCCATCACGGGTTATTCTTCATTTGGACCTCAATCATTTTTAGAATTGCAGAGTAAAAAAGCCTTGGATACTCCAACTTTATTTGACCACCAAACGGTGAAATCAATTGCTGATAAGCACAAGAAATCACCAGCTCAAGTATTGTTACGATGGGCTACGCAACGTGGTATTGCTGTTATTCCTAAATCAAATAATCCTGATCGGTTGGCACAAAATTTAAATGTTAATGATTTTGATTTGAGTAACGAGGATTTACAGGAGATTAGTAAATTGGATAAAGGGTTGAGATTTAATGATCCTTGGGATTGGGATCATATTCCAATCTTTGCTTAGATGAAGGGGAAGGGACATATAGCTTTATATAGACTGGCCTTTTTAAAAAAAAAAAAAAAAAGTGAATACATTTTAAATCAATACTCTTCTTCTTAAATAGCCACTTGGCCTTTCTTTATCTTTTTCGTTTTTCAAGTTCATCTTCTTACCTACCTACCTACTTACCTACCTATCTATCTACATTTGCTCTCAAATTGCATCCAATACCGCGTCTCTGCCCAACGTCAACAATTTCAATCTCGATACAAAGTCATCTCTTTCTAAATATGCCCCACATAATCTTCGCTTACCTGTAAATTCACTACGTGAATGCAACACACGCCAATTATCAAAGATTAAACATTGGCCTGGTCTCATTTGATACCACAATTCATTCTCGGGATCAGTTATAATCAGAACCCAGTCTTTAATAGCTTGGTAAAACTTCACTACATCGTCGGGATCATCCCATGAATCCATGGTTGAACGATCACTTTGATTCCAACGAACTTGAATAATTTTACTCAGCTTGTCATCATTGTTATCCAATTTGAAAATCGGTTGTGGTGTATCGGGTTGGATACAGACTTTTTCTTCACCGGCAGAATGAGCTGGCACGCGGATCCTGGTAAACACTTCAAAACTTTGGGGGAATTTGTCACGCATAATTTCTGCACATTTAAACGCATCAACCAACGATGTCGTGCCGCCAGTACCGTCATGATACAAGAGATGAAACAATTGTAACCCCGGTGAATTCAGCCAGTATGTGCCATCAGTATGATTACTAATATCGAAATTGGTGTATGCCGTATCGGCCTTGGCTAAATCAGATGTAAAATCCCAAAACCCCCCATAATGCGTAGGACGAATATAATTCAATTGTTGGCAAAGTTGTTCAGTATCTTCAGGTGTAACTGGGACATTATCAATTAAGCAAAAGCCATATTGCCAGAGTTTCAAGCTCCAATCTTTAATCGCTTGTTCTTGGTCAGTTTCATCAGATGAGTTCATAACTGTAGTGTAATCAACACGAGGCAAATTCAGTTCTATATCCTTGACTTGCCATAGATGCTGGGCCAATTTAGTCTTGGCACCGTGCAACTTTTCATCAAGCGGGATCAACCTCGGGTTATACGAATGGATTTTAAGCCAATGAGCGTCAAATTGAGATTCATGCTCAGCATCAGCATCAGCATCAGCACCATTGCCATTACCAGTGCCATTATCCCAGATAATTGTAACTGTATTGCCGTCGTGGTTGATCAGCTTAGCCTTGATTCCTAAATCAATGGTGGCAGAATTGAGTAACCGTTGTTTGGTTAATGGATAGTAACATTGTGAACAATGACAATTATCCCGAAGCCAGATGTTGTGGTAAGTAGATAATGGTACATCGTCCTCCTCAGCCCAAGTTATTTCAATCTTGTCCGATACTGGTTCTACTTTTTTAATAATTGACATATCTCTCTGTTGCTGTCTCTCTATCTGTCTCTTTCTAGTGTATTCAATTGAGTTAGAGTGTCCTTTGGTTAAAAGTTTTATCTGGTGCTTGTTTTCCCTTTCCCCAGAATTGCACAGAAAAAAAAAAAAACAAAAAATAAAATAGAGAACAAATGCCACTGTGGTTGAGATACTTTGAGGAGTAGTAAATAAATAGAGAGTAGTGTATTTGATAACAAGAGCTGAGATTAAAAAACGGACTAACAAAAGTAAAGTAAGAGAGAACAAAACAGAGACACAGCAAAGAGAGAGAGCAAAGAGAGAAAGAAACAAAACGAAATAAAAAAAAATGAATTTATTTCCAAATGAGATAAAAAGATAATAAAACCTCCAATCTCAATCTCAATCTCAATCTCAATAAACATAGAAATATACAAACGCATATATACCATTAGCAACAAAACAACCATATAAACATACATCAACAGAACTTTACAACTACTGCTACTATCCCCATCTTATCTCATCTCTCTCCTCTTTTCAATTCACTCACCACATCACAATATTAAAAACAATCTCCACCATTACATCATCACCTTTTTGATGACTACTTGCTAGATCACATACACAGAGTTACTTTTGTTATAACCACAGGAAAGAAAAAATACCAACATGAGTCACTCAGAAGTATCAGTTGAGTCGTATTCAACGACACCCAATGTATCTTCTAGGTCGTCGTCGTCGTCTTCTTCTTCAAGTTCGCACCATGACAACTGGGTACATATGGATGGAGAAGCGGCATTGAAAAGATTACAAGGGCCGTTGGAGGAGTCATTTATACAGCAGCTAAGGCAAGACAGCATGGAAGCAATACATCGGTCCATAGAAAAGGAACAAGAAGAGGCGATATATGATGCATTGGGAATTGACGGTGACCTGATTAAGGATGTTGATTCAACAATAAAGAGTGAACAAGAAGAAAATGAAAATGAAAAGGAAGACCAAGATCAAGATGAAGGTGGAAAAGATAGGGCTGATACGTGGTGTCGATACTTGGGGGTGACTTCAACAGATACAGCTCCTTCTACGTCGTTATTGTCAAGTCCTGCATGCCCCACTGTTTCCACATTTTCACCGGAATCCTTGTTGGAGAATTTGAACAGCATTGATCTACCACCGCATAAGGATGAAGATCAAGTCAAATTGGATATACAGCGATCGTTTACAATATTGAATCATATACAATCGGTTGTTCATAATACTTCCATACCGGCCATGGCATCGTCTTCTTCGTCTTCAGTGACATCATCGACTGAAATAAGTGAACAATTGGAAAAAGGTTCATCATTTGCAACCATACTAAGTACGTCAGACATTAATTCATTGAAAAAGATTTTGTCAAATTTGATTATAAAAGTGCTAAGGAAATATCCTAGTTTAAATTATTATCAGGGTTATCATGATATTGCCAGTATTATCTTGCTCGTTTGTTACAAAGCCAATCATAATGAACTAATAGAAGAAGATATCAATCAAGACTTGGCGTTTAAACTACTAGAAAAGTTGACAGTGCTCCACTTGAGAGACTTCATGGTTACTGATATCAACTTGTCGGTTGATCATTTGCGGTTGATACCAGCAATAATCGAATCAGTTGATAAGCAATTGTTTCAATTGATTAAACAAACATCAAGCTCTTATCAAACACTAAATGGACATTTTGACTACAAATTTTTCCAACCATTATCATCTATCTTGACATTTTATTCACATGACTTGGCCAGTTTATCACATATCTTGCACATTTGGGATATGGTGTTGAATAATAATACCGTGCTTATAAATATTTACATTTATGCATCGTCAATAATAACTTTGAAACCTAAAATTTGGGATGCATTGAAATTGGATCCAGAGCAAGAGGATTTTACCTTGATTGATTATGATTTAGTTCACACTCATCTTTCGCCGACGAGACTATTTGACGAGTTGACTGATTCCAATTTAACAAGAATATTAAACAAGGCAAAAGAAATTTACGAGGCGTACCCCATGGAAAAACTAGCCAACCATGATCAAACTTGGCACAAATGGTTTAATGAGTATAACCAGCATTCGGTTCTAATGACTACGTCATCGGCTACATCCAACCAAAATGGCGCCAAATACAGCTTATTATTTTCAAGCGAAAATGACTTGGCAGAGTTGATACGTACTCAAGACGATGAAATCAGCAAGCAAGTTCTTGATGAATTACAACAACAACAACAAATACTCAAACAACAAGAGGAGGAGGAACTATTGCACAACTCACTTCTGTCTTCATATGAAGACGAGTCCGATATTGAAAGCTCCAATCTAAACTCCCTTAGCTCATCCTTAACTCTCAACACATCTCAATCGATCCATAAATTCACATCATCACGATTATTTAAATCAATATTCACATCCTCTGAAGAAGACAGTACCAACGACGACGACAGAGAGAAGTCCACTAAAAGAAGGTCCTGGACGTGGGTTAAATGGAGTAATGTCTACAAGGTTTCCATTACGGTGGGAATCATTGGTGTTTTCATTCATTTAATAATCACGAGGAATTACGATTATAAGCAGATTCTACTGGGTCAAGTGATTATCAATGAAGTTAAGGAAAATTTAGCCAATGTTGGTTCATTTATTGGTAGGATGTTTACTGGAACTACAACTACTATCCCTCCGAGGAATGTATTTCAAGTTGGTACTGGAACGTTACAAAATACAATATATGGGTTTGAATAGTAAAAAATCAAACTGTCTGCGCAAACACCACATCACAATGGCCCCGTCCACCCCTGTCCCCCTTTATTTAATTCATAAATTCTGTACTTCTATCTTTAATTTATTTATTTGATCTTATTATATCTTTATTCAAAGTCTATTTCGTAAATTAATACCGTATCAGTGTATTGACCATGTCCCCAACCTCGATACCCACTAGCACTAACCATAAACCTACCAGTTTCATCTACATACAACTGCGACAACATACCTCCATGATGGCCGGGAACAATCAAGAATGGCGTCGCTTGTTTTTTCAAATTAACCTCCAGATTATTCAAATCATCATAAAGGCGTAAATTATACAACCGGATATTATCATTCGATCCACACAATAGGAAATCCTTATTGGGCATAGTACTCAATGCACTAACAGGACCACTGATTTTGGGGAATTGTAACAATTTGGAAACATTAGGGATCATGGTATCTTTATGATGACCAGAAATTGATCGTTTGTGTGGCATCTTGATTGATAACTCTTCAATTGTCGAGTTGCGTCGACCAGCATAAATAAAGTCTCCGTCGTTGGACCATGTCAGTGACATGCACCAAGGTGGCGTCCCCTCGGGTACACCTAAACGGATTACGGGTTGGTTTAAACGAATGTCCCATATGTTTATGGTGCCATCGATGCTTGAACTCATGAATATATCAGAATTTAAATGTGACTTTGATTGAGCTTCCTTCGGAGATGATCTTTTGTCTTCATCTTGATCTTTTGGTGGTTCTTTATCCTTTTCGTCCTCTTCATCACTGTCACCAAATAATGAGTCTACATCATCATCCTCTTCATCCTCTTTATTTCCCTTGTGGGAGTTTCTACCGCTGTTCTCTGTATCTTCACTTACAGTAAAACTAACATCTTCCAATCCGTCAGGGCGATATTCGATATTTGAGATTTGGCCCGATGAAGGTAGAAATTCTGTTATAGTTTTCCCCGTATTCAAATCCCACTCTCTAATAGTCTTATCCCACGACCCACTGAGGAACCTATCTTGTTCCTGGTTCAATCTCAATGCACTGACAGCATCAGTATGGCCCCTTCGTCGATACTGCGAAGTTCCATGGTTGAAATAATGATGAATTGTGCCTTCATTATATCGCATCGTGTAAAGACTTATTCCACCCGACAATAGCCCCGATAAACACCATAATCCATTACGTTCCGCTTCTAGTGCATATACTGGATTAACTTTTGGTTCATATGATACACTCCCTGTTGAAAAATCGGAATCTTTTAGTTTAGGATTTTGTTTCATCAATTGCTTTCGAGTCAATGGTTGTTCATTCTCCCAATAGGAACAAATCACACCACCATTGGATAATGAATCGGTCAAGTTGTGTTTTTGTGCCATCGTCAATGGTGCTTTACCTTCAACTGATTGTATAAAATCGTACTTTCGTATAAATCCATCTTCACCACCAGTGAGAATCCATTTGGGCCCTTGTGTAAATGCTAATGCATGGCATTGTGATGTATATGGGATGGCAACTTGAGGGATTATATCGAAATCAGTGGCCTTGCGTGCTTTGGCGATGATTTGTTCTCTAAATGTGAGACTCGTTTCTGATTCTTCAACGTCTTTGATTAGTTCCTCCCTTGTTGGTTCTGTTGACAACGATTTGGGCGTCTCTGAGCCTATATGTGTATCCTGTGACTGTTTTGGCGTGGAATCCTCTTGAGTGGCATCAGGATGTACATCCTGTTGGTTTTCTTCAGTTTCAAGTGCCTCAACTTTCTCGTTTTGAGCAGTGTCTTCACTCTGTTCGCGAATCTGCTCCTCGGTTGTTTTACCATCATGGTCAACTGCCTTATTCTCTCTGATTTCTTCCTTTGCTTCAACTTTGGCATCGCTTTCGCCTTCGCCCCCGGTATTTGCATCGCCTTCCTTGTCTTCACCACCTACTTCCATTTCTTCTTCTTCATCCTCCTCTTCCTCCTCATCGTCTTCCTCATCTCCCCCTTCATCCCCATCTTCAGATCCCTCGTCTTCGTCTTCATCGTCCATTTCATCCTCCTCGCCATCCATCATGTCTTCGTCTTCGTGGTTATTAACATCCTCTAGCTGATTTTCGTCCGGCTCCATATCGTAATCCTGACTATTTTCATTGTCTTGATATTCATCTTCCATCTCATCATCTTCGGCATTGAATAAATCATCTTGTTCAATTGATGCCATCGTTTATTTAAAGTGAATGACTGGTAGTGGCAATTTCTCTCGAGATTGACTTGGTGTGTGTAAGGACCTAATTTGGTCTTTGTACGCGATTTCGCCTGCCTTTATTTTGCACAGTTTAATTTTTTTTCTTGTTTTTCAAACTCCACAAGGAGAAGAGGAGTAGAGCTACAGATTACTACAGCTTCAACAGTTTTTACAAAGTAATTGCGTTATATATATATATATATCAAACTACTATATTTCCTGTAACACAACACATCTATTCGTAGATCCAACTGAACAAAGCTGGCTTGTATTCAACCAATTCTTCCTTCTTGAACCACAAGTCAATTTCCTTCTTGGCAGATTCAACAGAGTCAGAACCGTGGCAGACGTTTCTACCCATGTCAACAGCGTAGTCACCTCTGATGGTACCTGGAGCACTTTGCAATGGGTTAGTAGCACCCAAGATAGCTCTACCTTGCTTAACAACATCTTTACCTTCCCAAACAGTAGCCAAAACTGGACCACTCAACATGTAGCTCAACAATGATGGGAAGAATGGCTTGGATTGCAAATCTTCGTAGTGAGTTCTCAACAAGGATTCGGTTGGTTGGGTCAATTTGATAGCAACCAACTTGTAACCTCTGTTTTCGAATCTACCGAGGATAGCGGAAATTAAACCTCTTTGGACACCGTCTGGCTTGATAGCAATAAAAGTTCTTTCGTCTGACATGATTGAATTGATTAGGAATTGAGTTGGAAGAAAAGGAAAAGGAAAAGGAAAAGGGAAAATGTGAAAATTTTTTGTTGAAAAATTTTTGATTTCCAATTGGTTGCGCAAAATTCTTTTCAAAATTCCCACTGTTGTTTTGTTGATGTTGAATTGATGAAGTTAACCAGTTTGAATAAAACCCTGTGGCTGAGACACGAATGCTTATTAAAGGTGGATTAATTTAGATATGCATCCATTGGCTCTGTGTATAATTTTCAACTAACTAGGTGACTGAGTAGTGAACACATTAAAAATTGGCTTTCGTCAAGAAACGTGGGCCTGTAATTTGAATTGCAACGCATAAAGAGTCGTTCTTAAGAAATGATAGCTAAACAAAACAAATAGCTCTGCAAAACGTCGATCCTCAATTCCTACTTGTTTGGGTTACAATGGTCTCTAAGTCTTTGTGCCCTGCTTTGGAAAGCCACAGAAGTCATAAGCATTGTGTCGCATTTGTATTTGCGACATTAGATTAAATTCACGCATCCTGATTGCAAAAAGTTGCAATTGGCATTGTACAAAATTTTCCATCTGTTGATCGCCGTAGGATGTTTCTAGGTGGCTTAAATTTGAAAGTTAGGAGTGACTGTTCTACCATAAGGTTACTTATTATACTCCTCCTGGATTGCCGAATTCTTTTATGAAATCGCTTGTCCATTCTTCTTAAAGTTTCTATACACTACACCATGGATGGAGATTAGTCGCAATCATATCTATGCTCCCTCAGAGCAATTCTGTAAACAGCTCCGTTCATTCACATGAATACAAAAAAGTTGTACTTGACCGCATGAAAATAACCTTTTCAGAAGTGTAGCTTTTGTGAATCCGTGCGCCTATTAGCGTCTGTGTTGCCTTGCAGTCGGTTTCAAAGTCATTGTAGCGGCATGTACCTGAAAGCAAATGACAACTATGTGTACGTTTCCCTAATTGGTAAATTTGAAACACATTTTGCAACATATTTTTTTACACAAGAAAATAAATTTACCAAGGATGTAAATAGTAAAAGTATTATCTCCCAACAAAGCTAAGCTTTTTCCTACAATCGCAAGGCTATTCAACCAAAGCGTTTCATTTGCTACTTCTATTTGTTGTGCCTTGTTCTGTAACACTCTTTTCTTTTTCCATGTAGGTTCGATAATCAATCATAAACCACTCCTTTCCCCATTGCTAGCTCGACTCGGTAGAAAACTAGGTATCAGGACCAATTAAACTGATCAAACCCCTATTCGACGCACATTTAGCAACATCTTTCTACGTATCTAGATATGGGTTGCGGTGCAAGTACGCCTATCGAGGATGAACAGGATCCATTTTTGCAAGACAAGCAAATAAATGATGCCATAGAACAATCGTTGCAATTGAATAAAGCAAACGCAAAAAATGGTGTTAAATTGCTATTATTGGGAGCTGGAGAAAGTGGAAAATCAACCGTTTTGAAGCAGCTCAAGTTGTTGCACAAGGGTGGCTTCACCCAACAAGAGCGAATGCAATACTCCAACATCATTTGGTGTGACGTGATTCAAAGTATGAAGATCCTAATCATTCAGGCACGGAAATTGAAAATCCCTCTAGATTGTGACCAGTCAAATAACCCATTGATTCCATTCAAGCGCTGTGTATTGAGGAGTGATGCCTTGACTCAGATAGATACAAGCATCGCCGGTGGAACTAATTTCTTGAATGACTACATCTTGAAGTATGACGAAAAGACCAAAATGAAGCGGAAATTGAATAGTACTGGAGTAGTGGAGTTTTTAGATAGTCCTGACACCGATGACGACACTACGACAAATGTTGATGAAATCGATCCCGAAATTAGACATGGAGTGTTGTCAGAAATACCACAAGCCGGTGGTAGTAATTTCAATGAACAATCTCGCTACCCTCGGCACGATGTTGCTGAAGCGATTCGTCAACTATGGACCAACGACTCAGGTATCAAGAAATGTTTTGAACGATCAAACGAATTCCAATTTGAAAGTAGTGCTGAGTACTATTTCGATAATGTTTTCAATTTCGCTGACCCCAGTTATTTGAGTTCTGACTTGGATATTTTGAAAGGAAGAATTAAAACCACGGGGATTACTGAAACCAATTTCACCATTAATTCATTCCAGTTTAAAGTATTGGACGCTGGTGGTCAACGAAGTGAACGTAAAAAATGGATCCATTGTTTTGACGATATAACTGCTATTTTATTTGTTCTTGCGATTAATGAATATGACCAAATGTTGTTTGAAGATGAACGGGTCAATCGTATGCATGAATCAATCATTTTGTTTGATCAGCTTTGCAATTCCAAATGGTTCGCCAATACGCCATTCATTCTATTTTTGAACAAGATTGACCTTTTTGAAGAAAAAATCAAGAGGAACCCGTTGAAGAACTATTTCCCTGATTATACTGGTAAGAATGATGATGTTAATGAAGCCATCAAATTCTTTGAAACAAACTTCTTAAAGATGAATCGCACCAATAAACCAATCTATATTCATCGAACTTGTGCCACTGATACAAAATCTATGAAGTTTGTGTTGAGTGCAGTTGCTGATATCGTCATTCAGCTGAATTTGAAAAAGAGTGGTATCATGTGAGTTCCAGCTAATTTTTGTTGCAAGATCTTCCTCCACCCGCAGTTACCAACTGTTGTTTACCATGATAATTGTGTACCTTCAAATGGCAGTATATTCCATTACGATGTACAGCCATCAGCTCTATAATATTAATGGTCGTTTTGTGAACCACTCTTTCATGCACCTACTCTTACACTGAAATTGCATGATAAATCAATACTCGTATATTAAATACATCTACACATGTCAGATTCCCCTCTCTTTCTCTCTCCTCCTGGTGTCTTTTCAAACATCTACCATCTCATCATGGCCATTTCGTTTCTGTTTCTGTTGTAGTCCAACAAATCTTCAATCAAACCAGTACCCGAGATAACGATATCTCTATCCCAGACCTTGTTTTGACCCCATCTCTTAACATCAGCAACAGTGATAGCATCAATCTTTTGGAAAGCTTCAGTGATTGAAGTTTCGTGTCCGGTAGCCAAGATGTTTCTAGCTATGTGGGTAGTGACACGTTTTGAGTGAGTCAATTCTCTCAAAAGGTGAGACTTGACTTGTGCTTTGGCTCTGGCTACCTCAGCCTCACTAATAGAAATGGACAATCTGTTCCATTGTTTCAATGTGAAATGGCAGAAATCATCAATGGTGAATCTGTCTGGGATTTCAGCATAGAATCCCCACAATCCGTGATCGGACAACGACTTGGAGAAGTGGGTATAACTTTCAACAATGTTGTATTCTTGAACGATTGATGACAATTTAGAAGATTTGTAATGAGCTTTTGGCGAGTGAGCATTAAAGTTACCAAAGATCTTAGCAGCAACTTTGGCAGTGTACAAGTCTGGTGAGTTCAATCCTTCACCGTGAACAGCAATGGAAATGTATGCTTTTGGCATGGTGTCATCTCTCATTCTAACTTCTGATCCCAAGAATGAAGCTGGCTTCTTTTCTGGTCTAACACCTTCAGCTACCTTCAAGTTGGATTCAATGGCATTGACCAATTTATCGTGGTCAAAGTTACCTGCAGCTGAGACAATAATGTTGTTGTTGACCAAGTGCTTCGACAAGTGACGTAATGAATCTTGTTGTTCCAAGTTGGAGATAGACTCTTCGGTACCCAATTTTGGTAAACCCAATGAGTAACCTTGGTATGCTGAAGCAGCCAAGTGACTCATCACCCTTGATCTTGGGTTTGCTTCAAGAGCGTTGGATTGATTGATCAAAAATTGTTTACCAAGTTGATAATCAGATTTAGAAATAATCTCCTCGGCATTGGTTGCAATGGTTGAAAGCAATTTTCCGGCAGCTTCAATGTTGTCATTGGTGGTTTCGGCAACAACACCGTTAAATTCTCTTCCATTGTGAGCACTTACAACGACTCCATCGGTGGAAGCATTGTGTTGTTGTGAAAGAACAGTGGCTGACAATGCAGATACACCGTTGTTGTATGGGTGTTCTGATCTTGAACCAGCGGAAAAGTACAATCCTACAGATGAATGTTGTGCACTTGGAATAGTTTCAGTGGCAACAGTGATACCATTGGACAAGGTGGTGTACTTGGTACCACTTGATAAGAATCGACGTGCGGTAACGTTTTTCAATACTGATGAGCCACGAATCATTGCAGTTAAAGTGTAGTCTTTTATATTAGTTTCCCTTTTTATGTTACTATTCAACAACTGACAAGGCGATGATAACACGAGTTTGTTGCACAGTGGGTGTTGTTGGTTTAGTTGAATGGGTGGTTCTATAAAGACTGTATCAATGTCCTTTTCCAAAGCCAAAGAAAGATTTTTTTTTCAAGTGTTTAACTATTGGCAGGAAAAATTGTATATGGTAGCGCGGTAGTTAAATTTCAGCCAATAAAAAGTATGAGAAATAATATAATAGACATGTATACAGGGACAGAGACAGATACTAACAAAAAGATGCAAAAAAATATGGTAGCATTCCATTCACTTTTACAACAACTACAAAGCACATGTGTAGAGAAAGTTTCACTTTCGATTGTCTTCTAATTACTCCCTATATCTCTATTTTGACTGATTCAACCTCCAATGTGGCCAAATCTAGCACTACAATTTCACCAGTAGACTTGAACTCCGGTATGCTAATTAAACGAACTTGTGCACCAGAGTCTGGGCAGATGTAAGTACCAGTTTCAAACTTATCTTGGTTTCCCACAAAGTATATGTGAGGTATCTCCGTTTCGAGAATGAACGGGTCGGCATCTTCAAATGGATAGCAATATAACGTATCAGGAGCTGTGGGGACAAAGTTCTGCCACTTCATACTCGATCTAATAATTTTTAATGAATCAGAATCCGCTTGTTTTGTCACATACTTCTTTACATCATTGACATTTTGGCCACTAGTGCCCAACATCCTTACACCATTCACTTCAAGCCATGCTGGATTTGTTAACCGACAAAGCCTCTTGGTTTCAAGGACCGATTGGTTTGATTTAAATAGGGATTTGTGCAAGGGCTGTTGGGGAAGACATATTTCCGCAGGATCGTGGTCCCCTGGCATGACTGCAATGGGCATTGAAATAACTAACTCATTAATAAGGTGGTCCAATTGCTTCAATGACTCATTGTTGTATTTGGAAATATTCTTTGATCCATAGTTATTGGTTGTGATGTAGTTTTTCAAATCTTGTTCTTCGTCAAGTAATTGCAAAGGTTCAATAGAGTCACCAGCTATAATCAATTGAGCAATACTACTGTTGAACAGCTTTTCATTATCACTTCCTAATTCGCCAATGAGATACTGCTTGAGGAGCTCAAGCTTTAAATCATAATGGCCCCCTAATCCTATGTTTAGACCAGACACTAACGCAATTTTACCTGATCTTGTATCAACATCAGGAAGTGGCTTTTGCGGGGCACATTCTGGATATACCACGTCCATTATTTCAAAAATACCCGCCTGAATTTCGATTCCCAACACAGCTACAATACATCCCGTGACAAGTAAATTCTTTTGTAAAAAATCCTCATTATGCAACACTGCTCTCCCTGACTCATCTTCCAACATAACTATGGGCTGCCCGCCATCTTCTAAATAAGATACAGGTTCCAAAGGCAAAACGTCATCTGTTCCCTTTTCCACGTCATTCAAAATGTTTAACTTGTATTTTGCATCAACAAAAACAGTTCCAATTACCCAGCAAAGTTTACCACCTTCGATGTCCAATATTTTATTCTGTTTGGTTATAGTCTGATTGTCAATCTTCTTCGTTCCATCCCCCCACTTATTCATTGCATTTGCATACACACGTTGTTGTAGTTTATTGTATCGGTATTGGTACATTGAAAAGTATTGCTTATTGTACTTTCTCGATGTAGGGTCTAGAAAAAATTCATTTCGCTTGTCAAACTCCGATGGGATTGCATCATATTTTCTGTAAGATACGTTGCTCTCGATGCCTTTATTGATATATTGGGTGTATGACATTGCTGTTTGTTAATGCATCAGTAGAAAGTGACAAGGTCCTTCTGATATTTTTTTCCTTTAAACGCGTCTCTCAAGGCGCGCACAAAAATCGCTCGCGACTCTATTGAAATCGATATATCATCACTCATTCACGAGACTCAATAATTAAGCTAAGACTTGAAGATAAACTACAATATGAGTTTCCTGTCAAAGCATTGAACTCCAAGGTCGTTCTTTTTTCAGATAGTTATTTGATCACACCAGCTACTACTGACTCAAACAATATTGGCATTTACCGGTTCACCGATGGACCTGTAAGATTTTTTTCTTTTAATTTGTGTAAGAGGACGATTGAATCTACATTTCAGGACATTGCGTTACAACATTGTACAATTTTCACATCTATACATTACCCTCAATTCTTATCTCTCTTTTGCTTCTTGTGTTTCTTTTCGATCGATTTGCCGCTAGCGCCAATGGTGATGTTGACCTTTGGAGGGACATCAAAACCAAATGACTTACCAACCTTCACCAAGTCTAACTTGTCAATTTGATACACTGTTTTCAAACTGTGCGAAGCATAAGCTTGCAAGTATGCCCTATACCCATCTTTAGCAGACTGGTGCAACAAATAGTTTGTCTTGATGAGTTTTGTCAATTGTGATTGAACATTGGCAATCTTGTTTGCAGGAAACTCGTATTCATTAAGTGGTACATTGGCTGCCTTAAGATACCTCAAAAAACCCAATTCTGATGGAGTCAAAAACATTAGCGATTTACCTTTGCCCTGTGTTCCCCTTGCGGTTCTACCAACTCTATGGATATAGTCTCTTGGATCATCTGGTGGATCAAATTGGATAATCCAATCAACAGCAGGAATATCCAACCCTCTAGCAGCAACATCAGTACAGACTAAAATACCTTGCTTAGCGTTACAGAATTCAAAGAACGTATTTGTACGCTTTTGCTGCTTTTGCTTACCGTGAAGATCCAACACTGGTAGGTCGATATAATTGAGTAACTCACTGTAAAACTTGACACTGTTACACGATGACAAAAACACAATAATCTTTTTCTTCACATTTCTTTTCAAGAACGAAAATAGCAAAAGAAATCTCTTGTCGGAATCACACACCACATACCCTTGTTCCAATCCGTCAGCAGTGGAGACATCCTTTTCTGGTACAACATTTATATACAATGGACCCGGTCTCAAAGAAATACGTGCAAGATCCTCCACTTTGGTGGTTTGTGTTGCTGAAAACAACATCGTTTGTCTATCTTCGTTTGGCAATATCTTTATAATTTGTTTCATTTCCTCCTCAAACCCAATTTCCAATATTCTATCGGCTTCATCTATGATCAAAGCCTTCAAGTTGTTAAACACAAACCCTTGCGTATTCTTCAAGTGATCCAAAAGTCTTCCCGGCGTAGCAACTAATAAATTTACTCCTTTGGCCAATTTTGTTGCCTCTTGTCTTCGGTCAGCACCTCCAATCACAATTCCACAAGTTTGTGAATGATGTTCCATCAACTGTCTGGCGACTCCAAAGATCTGTAGTGCCAATTCTCGAGTTGGGGTAATTATAATGACAGCGGTACCATTTCTAGGTTTAATTTTCAATGAGTACAAGAGTTCAATGGCGGGGATCAAAAATGCCAAAGTTTTACCTGAACCAGTCTTTGCAGCTCCCAATACATCTCTTCCTGCCAACAAAGGTGGTATTGTCTTGGCTTGGACCTTGGTCATTTTCTTGAATCCCATTTCTCTTATAGCTTTCATTGTTGGTTCTGAAAACTCTGCTTTCTCGAAGGAATAGTTGTCCTCTGATTCATCGTCGTCCTCGTTACCGTTAGTCTCATTTGGATTGACAACTTTTGGTTTTGTTAACTCTTGTAACCTCTTCTCGTCCCTTGCTTGTTTCTTGCTGGCCTTCTTTTCCTCTGGATCTTTGATGTCTTCCCCAAGAAGCCCTGCTACCTCATCGAACTCATCATCTAACTGATCCACAATCTTGTCGGTATCTTCTTCGACTTCACTTTCGGACTCAGATTCATCTCTCGTTCTCTTCTTTGTATTCTTTGGCAGCTCCATATGTGACTTTTTTGAAGCCTTCTTATCAGTTGAATGTTTTGCCATACTTTGTCTCAACCTTTTGACCTAGTAAACTCGAAAATAATCTAATGTCCTCATCTCTGCTCAGAAATAAGATGAGAAGAAAAAAAAAAAATTGTGGGAGAGGTGGGTCGTGTACAGTGGATAATAATTGCCAGGCGTATTTTGCAACCAATTACTAAACAACTGAACATATATATATATATCATTACAAAGGTCACAATTTACTACAACCCAACCCAAATAAAGTTGTTACCAGATATTTTGGATAAATAAAAACACCAAGCTCAAGAAGAAACAACTATTATTTAAATTGTGCATGAAAACAAAGAAACTACCAATGACAACTTAAAAAAGAGCAGCATCAAATCTCACCAATATCAAAGTAATTATAAGAGAAACTGTAGAAGTTACATTAGGATTACATCAATTGATGTAAAATTTAGAAAGGTCAATTAGATCAACAGATAAATATCACGAAGTGGAATCTCTTGCTGATGCTACAAACCAAGAACATGACCATTATGTTGCTAGTTGGATAGTTGGGATTACTTTCCTGGGGAACTCTCCTTGCTGATTTGTTTGTTAAAAGTATTGGATCGTGCTGTTCTGCTAATATCAATACACCTGCGAAATTGAATAGTTTGTATTGTATTTGCCTTTTTCTGTTGTTGTTGTTGTTGTTGTTAGTCACAACAGTAAACTTTACACAAAAGTTACAATTTTTTATTTTTCCAATCGAGGTTCATAAATGTATCAACTGCCTTTTGCCAAAACTTTCTTTACAACACAACCCAATACAAGTGTATTAACAATGTCTGGGTATACTGTATCTTCTACTAAATCATACATGCAGGCCATGCAACCCATGGTCGATACACTTGAAGAGCTAATGCGAGCCCAGCAACCACAAAAGGTGCCAGTGATGGACAATGAGTATGCCAAATACACACCAGTTGAAACACTTCTATCACGGTTTGATGGTATTTCGACCAAGTCTTTTAAACGTATGATAGAGGGCTCGCTGTCGCATGACACCCAGATCTTAAAACAAATTCAGGATGAGTGTGGAAGTATCAGCCTCGATCGTGGCCAAGAAGAACAAGAAACGTTTACTCTAGTTCAGTCTATGGTTGCAGATTCAAAGAGTGATGAACAGCTTCAGTCTTCCCTTTTTGATATTCTAGGGTTTGATGAATTCAATTTAATTTCGAAAATTGTCCAGAACAAGCAAGTGTTTAATGAAGCTTGTAATAATGGATTGCTCTCTGCACAGGATAGAGTTCAGTTGTTGATAGACAATCAAAAGCGTAATGCCAACCAACAGTTGCTACCAAAGTCTGAATTTCAAAAATACCCCCATGTATATAAAAAGCAGGACACTGTAAATATAGCTGCCATCACTGGGGGAAAATTTGCCCTACCTAAAGGTACAACTCGGAATTCGTATCCATTAAATGAAGAATTGATAATACCATATCCTGAAGAGCTGCCGAACAAGTGGATTTCGAAAAACCAGCATGTCAAAGTTAAAGATATGGACTTTTTATGTCAGGGTACTTTTAAAAACTATCAGTCGCTAAACAAGGTGCAGAGTTTGGTCTTCCCTGTTGCTTACAATAGCAACGAAAACATGCTTGTTTGTGCCCCCACGGGTGCCGGTAAAACAGATGTGGCTTTGTTGACAATTTTACATGCAATTGGACAATTCGTTACCGAGACTGTAGGCAACGACAATGATGTTACCATCGATATTGATTATGATGAGTTCAAAATTGTCTATGTTGCTCCATTAAAAGCGTTGGCCGCTGAAATTGTTGAAAAGTATTCTAAAAAACTTCAGTGGCTAGGTATAAAAGTGCGAGAGTTAACTGGTGACATGCAGTTGACTAGGCAGGAGATAATTGCCACGCAGATTATTGTCACTACACCAGAAAAATGGGATGTGGTCACAAGAAAGCTGACGGGTGATAGTGAACTTGTCTCGAAAGTGAAGCTACTCATCATTGATGAAGTTCATCTTTTACATGAAGACCGTGGGTCGGTTATAGAGACGTTAGTCGCTCGTACTTTGAGGCAGGTTGAGAGCACTCAACTGATGATCAGGGTTGTTGGACTATCGGCCACTTTGCCCAATTATATGGATGTGGCTGACTTTCTTGGGGTAAACAGAAGTGTGGGGATGTTTTACTTTGACCAGTCATTCAGGCCAATCCCGTTGCAGCAACAGGTGTTGGGTGTACGTGGTAAATCGGGATCAAAAACTGCAAGAGAAAACTTGGATAAAGTCTCGTATGAAAAACTTTCAGACTATGTCAGTCAGGGTTTACAGGTTATGGTGTTTGTACATTCGCGTAAGGAAACAGTAAATACTGCCAGGACATTCATACTGATGGCACAAGATCACAATGAATTGGGCTTGTTTGACTGTACAGAAACCGAGCATTATGAAAAATACAAAAGAGAAGCATCTCAGAAGAATAGAAGTAAAGAATTGCGAGAATTATTTCCTCATGGATTTGGAACTCACAATGCCGGTATGCTTCGAAGTGATCGTAATTTGACAGAAAAAATGTTTGAGAGTGGAGCAATAAAAGTGTTGTGCTGTACTTCAACATTGGCCTGGGGTGTCAATTTGCCAGCAGCTGTTGTCATCATCAAGGGAACCCAGGTTTACAACCCAAAAGAAGGTGGGTTCACAGACTTGGGCATATCGGATGTCATTCAAATCTTTGGACGTGCTGGTAGACCACAGTACGAAAACTTCGGAACGGGTATTTTGTGTACCACTAGTGACAAACTTGATCATTACGTAGCCTTGTTGACCCAGCAACATCCTATTGAATCAAAATTGAAGGAAAAATTGATTGATAATTTGAATGCCGAGATATCTTTGGGTACAGTGACCAATGTTGATGAAGGTGTACAATGGCTAGGATACACCTATATGATAACGAGAATGAAAAAGAACCCATTCGCGTATGGAATGGCTTGGCAAGAAATACAGGAAGACCCTCTTTTGATAAACAGGAGAAGAGAGTTGATTGTATCATGTGCCAAACGGCTTCACGGATTGCAAATGATTGTGTATGATGATGAAACTGGGTCGTTTATGCCAAAAGATTTGGGAAGGATAGCGTCAGATTTTTACTTGCTCAGTAATTCGGTGGAAATATTCAATCAAATGGTAAACCCATTGGCAACAGAAGCTGACATATTGTCGATGATAAGTATGAGTAGTGAGTTTGATAGTATCAAGTTTAGAGAGGAAGAGGCAAAAGAATTGAAACAGTTGATGGAGGATGACTCCCCGTGCCAGATTGGTGCAAACGTTGATACACCCCAAGGTAAGACAAACATTTTACTCCAAGCTTTCATCTCGCAAGCCAATATAAGGGAGTCGGCATTGATATCCGATTCTAACTACGTTGCTCAAAATTCTGCCAGGATTTGTCGGGCCTTGTTTTTGATTGCAATGAACAGAAGGTGGAGCAAATTGATGAATTTGATGTTATCCTTGTGTAAATCCATTGACAGGCGTATATGGTCGTTTGAACATCCCATGATGCAATTTGACTTACCTGAGCCAGTTTTGAGAAATATTCGTTCCAAAAATCCCTCCATGGAAATGCTTAGAGATATGGAAGCTGCCGAATTGGGAGACATGGTCCACAATAAGCTGATGGGCAACGTGTTGTACAAGCTTGTTGGTAAATTCCCTTACATAGAGATTGATTCGGAAATCTTTCCGATCACGACCAACGTGATGAGGATTCATATAGCACTCCAACCAGATTTCATGTGGGATGATAGACTTCATGGACAAGCACAGTATTTTTGGCTAGGTGTTGAAGAGTCTGACAGCACCAATGTATTGCATGTGGAAAAATTCATCTTGCATAAACGACAGTTGAACAGTCCTCATGATATGGATTTTATGATTCCATTATCGGATCCGCTTCCTCCACAAGTTATTGTAAGAGTCGTTTCCGACTCATGGATTGGCTCTGAAACAATACATCCAGTCTCGTTTCAGCATTTGATTAGGCCTCAAAATGAGACAATGAAAACGGAGCTTTTGCGATTACAGCCATTGCCTGTCACGGCATTGAAGAACCTGGAGATCGAGAAAATATACTCATCTAAGTTCAAGTATTTTAATCCAATGCAAACAATGGTATTCCATACCTTGTATAATACAAATGAAAGTGCGTTTGTCGGATCTCCTACTGGATCGGGAAAGACTTTGGTGGCAGAGTTGGCTATTTGGCATGCATTCAATGAATTCCCTTCGTCAAAAGTGGTTTACATTGCTCCTATGAAAGCATTGGTTCGTGAGAGAGTAGACGATTGGAGAAAGAGAATTTGCAGAAATAGCAGTCACAAGTTGGTTGAGTTGACAGGTGACTCGTTGCCTAGTGTTGAAGAGGTTAAAGAAGCAGACATTATCATCACCACTCCCGAAAAATTCGATGGTATATCTCGTAACTGGCAAACAAGAAAATTTGTTCAAAAGGTGTCGCTAGTGATTATGGATGAGATTCATTTATTGGCAAGTGATCGTGGTCCCATTTTGGAAATGATTGTTAGTCGTGTCAATTATATCTCCTCCCAAACTAAGCAACCAATTAGACTTCTCGGTATGTCAACTGCAGTTTCAAATGCATTTGACATGGCTGGGTGGTTGGGGGTTCGGAATGGCCTTTTTAACTTCCCCCAGTCTGTGCGTCCTGTGCCTTTGCAAATGTATATCGATGGGTTCCCCGATAATTTGGCCTTTTGTCCCTTGATGAAAACAATGAACAAGCCGGCATTCTTAGCTATCAAGCAACACTCGCCTGAAAAACCTGTATTAATCTTTGTTGCATCTCGTCGTCAAACACGGTTGACTGCATTGGACTTGATACATTTGTGTGGAATGGAATCTAATCCAAGACGGTTTTTAAACATGTCCGACTATGAGCTAGAAGATGTGTTGGAAAAAGTCAAGGATGAAACGTTGAAACTCTCGTTGCAATTTGGAATGGGATTGCATCATGCTGGTTTAGTTGAATCTGATCGTCAAATTTCCCACAAGTTATTTGAATCAGGAAAGATTCAAATTTTGATTGCTACGTCTACTTTAGCATGGGGTGTTAATTTACCGGCTCATCTTGTTATTGTCAAGGGAACGCAGTTTTTTGATGCAAAAATAGAAGGCTATAGGGATATGGACTTGACAGACATTCTTCAAATGATGGGGCGTGCGGGAAGACCTGCTTTTGATACCAGTGGAACTGCCATTGTGTACACTAAGGAGTCTAAAAAGATATTCTACAAGCATTTTTTAAATTTGGGATTTCCGGTGGAATCTTCATTGCACAAAGTTTTGGATAATCATATTGGTGCTGAAATTTCGGCAGGTACAATAAAGACGAGACAAGAAGCAATGGACTTTTTAACGTGGACGTTTCTTTACAGAAGAGCTCATAACAACCCTACGTATTATGGAATTGAGGACGTTTCACAATATGGTATTTCGCAGTATTTGGCTGGTTTAATTGATAAAAGTATTGACAGTTTGGTGGAGTCCAAATGTGTATATACCGGAGGAACTGAAGATTTGCATCCAACTCCGTTTTTGCACATCTCGTCGTACTACTATCTTTCACATTTAACATTGCGTAATTTTGTCAACAAGATTAAGCCAGAGTTTAGCTTTAGAGATGCCTTAAAGTTGTTATCTGAGGCAACTGAATATGATGAGTTGGCAACACGTCATGGAGAAGAATTGATTAATATGGAATTGTCACTTGCCATGAGATACCCCGCCGAGGATCTTGAACGTGAATTCATTTGGGATCCTCATGTTAAGGCATACTTGTTGTTGCAAGCATTCATGAGTAGGGATGAGTTGCCGATTGCCGATTATAGTCAGGATACTGTCTCCATCTTGGACCAGGCATTGCGTATTTTACAAGCGTATATTGATGCAGCCGCTGAAATGGGGTTTTTAAAAGCTGTGTTGACATTTGTTGAATTGATGCAATGTATTAAGCAAAGGTGTTGGTATGATGATGATCCAGTGAGTACATTGCCTGGTTTGAAGGTGATCCCAAGAACCTCCAGTAATGACACTATTACTTTGCAGGGCTTAGGTTTAATGAACAGAGGCCAATTGTTCAAAATAGCTGACAAGCTTGGCGTTTCCAGGGACAACACAGATGCAAGAACACCAGCCAATACCGATGAAGAGGCCAGAAAGCAGTTTGTAAACGTGGCATCGCATTTGCCTACGGGAGAGCTCCGTTTTAACCAAGTTGAACCAGAAGTTGCTCGTGTAACGTTGACTCATAACAACTATCCGCTTAGTGAAGAATTCAAGGTTTACTGTCCCCACTTCCCCAAACCACAAAGGGAATCTTGGTTTGTCATTATTCATGATGGTAAAGAGTTGCTCTTGCTTAAGAGGGCTTCCCCCAGACTCAAAATGAAAAGGGGACTTGTTTCTTGTGAAGTGGATGTACCTGGAGACTTACATGGCAAGAGCATAACTATTACCTGCGTCAATGATGCAATGGATATCAAATACGATATAGAGACCACCCTTTTATAAATTGGCTATTTATACATATATATAAGCTGACAGCTCCCGTCTTCATCATTCAAAGAAGTCATCTTCTTGTGAATCGGAATCTTTCTGCTCTGGTGCATCGATTTCTTCAGAAGGTGCAACCCTAGCTGTAGCAGCATGACTCTTGATATTCTTACCACTCATTATATCATCCACTGTAAACGGTACCTTGCCTTCCTCCATCATTTTTTCAACCTCTTTTCTAAACTCCAATCTTCTTGCTTCTGTTTTGCGTAATCCTATCTTGACATTAGGATCGGATAAATCTTCATCATTAGCACTAGGGTACAATGATATGTATTTTTCTGATTTTGGGAAAAGCATAACATACATCAAATCTATTTCCCCATGTTTCAACTGTTTTCTTGCCTTTTTAATATCTTTTCGTACTTCAGTCTTTTGCACTTCTTCATATACTTTACGCAATTGCTTCAATTTCCGTACCGCTTTCTTCTTTTCAAAAAATCGAACCATGTGGTATTTAGTAGCATTATTCTTTGCCTTTAGAACGTTTTGAGAGTTTTGTAGCTCCACGTTGAGACCTTTAAGTGCTCTCTCATATTCGATTTTCTTGTCTGCTGGTAACTTGTCATTCTTGTTTAGAAGTCTTTCAATGTCTCTAATTTTCTTTTTAAGTTTGGCTGAAGAGCCTGTGTTTATTGCTTTTGAAACTTCTATCGGATTACTCCTTCTAGGTCTATGGGACTTCTTTGTCTTTGGCATGTTTGGTATGTTTTGTTGGTGAGTATTTTTTTTGTAAGAACCCCCTCTCTATTTCTCTCTTTCTCTCTTTCTCTCTCTCTCTCTCTTTTGGTTCCGATGAGATGATTGATGAAAGATTTTGGCAAAAGAATAATTTTTTACAGAGGAAACACAAAACTAACGACAAAACACCAATTTTTCTTTCTTCAACACCCACAAAAGAAAACAAACTAAATCCAACGTCAACTGCAAGTAGGATCTTATCAACAATGGGAATACTAGAAAAGATAGCTCAGATACAAGAAGAGCTTTCACGTACTCAAAAAAATAAGGCCACAGAGTATCACATTGGTCTTTTAAAGGGTAAGTTAGCACGGTATCGTAGAGAGTTATTGGAACCACAACCAGGACAAGGTTCATCGGGAGGTGGCCAAGGGTTTGAAGTTGCCAAAGCAGGAGATGCTCGTGTATCGTTAATTGGGTTTCCGTCAGTGGGTAAATCTTCCTTTTTATCTAAGGTCACCAACACTAAATCTGAGGCAGCCAATTACGAATTCACAACCTTGACATCTGTCGGGGGTATATTGGAGTACAATGGAGCTGAGGTGCAAATTGTTGATTTACCCGGTATCATAAAAGCTGCATCGCAAGGTAAAGGTAGAGGACGTCAAGTGATTGCGGTGTCTAGGACTTCAGACTTGATTTTGATGGTCTTAGATGCCACCAAAAGTGAAGATCAACGACAAATATTGGAAAATGAATTAGAGTCAATGGGCATCAGATTGAACAAGACTAAGCCAAATGTTACCATCACCTTGAAAAAGACTGGTGGGGTCAAGATGAACTCGATTATTCCACCAAAGCATCTTGATGAAAAGATTGTGACTGCTTTACTAAAAGATTACAAGATCTTGAATGCACATGTTTTGATTAGGGATGAAAATGTAACAATTGATGATTTTATTGATGTTATCAATGAGCAACATGTCACTTATATCAAGTGTCTTTATGTATATAACAAGATTGATGCTGTCAGTTTAGAGGAATGCGATAGATTGGCTAGGGAACCAAATACGGTGGTAATGTCATGCGAATTAGATTTGGGTATTGATGATTTAAAAGAAGAGATATGGCGTCAATTGGATTTATTGAGATTGTTTACCAAACGAAGAGGTATTTTACCCAATCTTGATGAACCCATGGTGGTGAGGAATAAGAGTACAATTTTAGAAGTATGTGATTCAGTTCATCGAGATATGAAGAACCAGTTTAAATATGCTTTGGTTTGGGGCTCTAGTGCTAAACATTCGCCTCAGAAATGTGGCTTGAATCATCCTGTTCATGATGAAGATGTAGTTCAAATAGTGACCAAGTAAATAAAGGTGGATTTTGTGTAAGTAAAAATAGAAAGAAACGAATTTTGTATAGAGAAGGCGCGTCAAATTAATAGTCAGAGACAGAGAGAGACAGTGTGTGTGTATGGACTTCATACCTTCACGTGGCATATTACAGAGATGAATAAGTTTAGGGATCTACCTGATATCGATTACACCAGTCAAGAGGTTTTTGAATCATCAGATGTCGAGAGTGATAACAACCCAGCTCCTAATGAAGATTTGGTGAATGAGGCGTTACCAGATGTGAATTTACAAGACTTACAGACTCGGTTTGCTGATACGAAGTTAGCAAACAATGACTATGATTTTTCAGGTAACCTACTAAATAAACTGTGGCTTCAAGTTGATGGAAGGAAGGAAACTAAGCAAGAGCGATTGGCGAGGATCAAGCGGGAGTTAGAAGAATTACAGCAAGAAGAGGAGACAAGCTGTCCTGTGACTGATGCTCTACTACAACAGTTCAATGGGTTAAAATCGACATCTGATAAACCGAGTTTTCCCACAGAGGAAGAACTAAGAATAAATGAAATACTAGTACCACCACCTGAACCGGTTAATGCTACACCTCGACAAGGTGCTACATTGGCTGGGCTTGAGAACAAGTTGAGTCAACTTGAGAAGCAATTGGGAATCAACAATACACTACTGCATCCAGTTCAACACTCGATCAACGATATAACCAGAAAAATCAACATCATCAGCCATGCCGATTACAATATCGACGCAATTAAATCCAAAATTGAAACAACGGGGAAAGAAATGGAGAAGTTGGAATTAAACAAGAGACTATTTGGATGGGAAGATGTACCAACTCCTAAACAAGATAAAATTGATGAATTGTACAAGCTATTACCTGATTTGGAGAAGTATTGTGGGAAAGCACCCATGATATTGGAAAGACTTAAAAGTCTAAATATGATACATAATGAAGTGGAAGAATCGTTGAATTTTACCATTAATTTGAACCAATTCATTAGTGACTTGGATCGCGATATGAAACAATGGAATAAATCACTAGATACATTGAATCGTGGGTTGGATGTACTGAAGGAAACTTTTGACACAAATAGGCAAAGTTTCCAAACTCGGTTAGCTGAACTTGAAAATAGGTTAGGTTGATTTGAAAAAGAGCATTGCAAACTCTAGTATGCCTCTGAAGTAAATATATTTATCACCTTTTTCTTTTCAAGGCGCTAGTCAACTTCTTGCCACCATCTTAAGAGATTTGCATCTAAGTAATTGCGATTGGCCTCGACTGCCTAGTCAGGTACAGGGTTCTGACAGCTCTCAATCAACTTTCAAACAAATTCGACTCAGGTGCCCTACTGTTTCCACTGATTCTGTTGCTTAGAATGTCAATTCTTTCCACTCATAGGTAATATAACTTAATCTCACTCTGGTGACACACAGGGGAGATTGGGCATATCATGGCGAATGGAGTCTTTTTTTATTTTTTGAACTTTTTGCAATCAAAACCATAATAGTCACCACCCCATAGTGACATGTATATCCGGATTTGATAATAACTGACCGCTCTTTTAATGTAGTTTTGAATTTAGAGAGATTGCAACTCAGATCCCACCGATGTTTAAGATTCTGGATTTTACAAACTCGTGTTGAGACTGAAGATGAGTTGGCAGCTCTAGGACGGCTATTTTTCAGTTTTCCACAAGCATCTATTAATAGGTATGTTGCTAATACGCCTGAAATGCTATGCAAACAGACTATAATGCATATGCTATCTCCTCGTCTAGATTTCGGTTGAATAGGTTTACATGGCTCAAAATTTCGAAAGATGACAGAAAATGGGAAACCAATATATTTCACCAATTCTAATGGTGATAGAGAGGAAAATTGCTGTTTACCTCAACAAATTCTACCCCCCCCCCCCTGNTTAACATCATATGAGGAGTTTAATAAATTTGCAACAGGTAATGACTATCATCAACATGGCCATGTAAATTGCACNTGATGAGACGAGTATCCTTGGTAATTATTTGAGGTGTGCTTCCCTATACAATTCAAAGAAGTGCTAACATCATATGAGGAGGAGAATATATTGTATGAGGAGTTTAATAAATTTGCAACAGGTAATGACTATCATCAACATGGCCATGTAAATTGCACAAGTGGGTTATGCTTGTTTTTGAGGAAAAAAATGCTAATTCGGGTTGCGAAAGCAGTTGGAATGTGTTTGTGGATAAATCTTGATTGGATGTACTTTGGCTCTTTTCAATGGGAATTGGTAGCATTTAACTACTAATCGCTTCTCTTTGCCGTTTTCGGTGTGTTTGTGTAACTAATAAAATTCCGAAATCTTTTTACTCCTCCGCATCATCATCCATCAATCATAAATACATCAAGATCTTCCCTCTTCTTCCTTCTTCTTTCTTCTTTCTTCTTTCTTCTTTCTTCTTTTTGACAACACAATTTCCCTTTCTATATTTCCTAGATCAAAGCTTACAATGTTAAGATCATCTTCACGCTTGGTTCTCAAACAAGGTTTGCAAACTATCAAATCAACCACTCCACGATTACTCCGAACCCAACTTCCCAAATCACTTGCCTCTTCAAGACAACTTTCCCAATTAGCTCATGTCAAGACTCCACCTAATTTACAAAATGAACCTGTGAAACCATTTGGATTCAACGACGTTAAAGATTGGGATTTATTACGCGCTTCAATTACTAAATTTACTGACGAAGCAAGCTTAAAGGTGCCTTTAGTTGTTGGTGGGCAAAAAATCTATCGTGAAGAAACTAAACCTCAATTGAACCCATCTGAGCACTCACAAAATTTAGCTGATGTCTCGCAAGCTACCGTGCAAGATGTACAAGCTGCTATTAAAGCTGCCAAAGCTGCTAAGGAATCATGGGCCAATACACCATGGAGTGATCGAGCAGCCATCTTCCTCAAAGCTGCCGATTTGATCTCTACTAAATACAGATACGATATGTTGGCGGCAACAATGTTGGGACAGGGTAAAAATGTTTATCAAGCCGAAATTGATTGTGTTGCTGAATTGATTGATTTTTTCAAGTTCAATGTCAAATACGCAGAGGAATTGTACGGTCAACAGCCTTTACAAACGGCACCTGGTGTTTGGAACCGTGCTGAGTATAGACCCTTGGAGGGTTTTGTTTATGCTGTGACTCCATTCAATTTCACCGCCATTGCTGCTAACTTGGTTGGTGCACCAGCATTGATGGGTAATACAGTTGTATGGAAACCTTCGGCAACAGCAGCATTATCAAACTACTTACTATTGACCATATTGGAGGAAGCAGGGTTGCCCAAGGGAGTTATTAACTTTGTTCCAGGAGATCCAGTTGAAGTTACTGATGTTGTATTGAATGATCGTGATTTTGCTGCATTGCATTTCACTGGTTCAACCGATGTTTTTAAGAAATTGTATCGACAAATTAGTGAAAATGTGTCAAACGATAAGTACAAGGACTTCCCTAGAATTGTTGGTGAAACTGGTGGTAAAAATTTCCATTTGATTCACCCAAGTGCTTCCTTGAATCATTCGGTATTGTCTACTTTAAGAGGAGCATTTGAATATCAAGGACAAAAATGTTCAGCTACTTCGAGACTATATGTACCCGAGTCAATATGGCCCGAATTTAAGGATATTTTATCGGCGCAAATTGAACAGATAACCATCGGCAATACTTCTGATTCAAACTCATTAAATGCATTTATGGGACCAGTTATCCATGAGCAATCATTTAAGAAGTTAGCTAAAGCTATCGATGATGCCAAATCGGACCCGGAATTGGAAATCATCACTGGTGGATCCTATGATTCAAGCAAGGGTTTCTACGTTCAACCAACATTGATCAAGACCACCAATCCAAACCACGAATACTTGACAAAGGAGTTTTTCGGTCCAATTTTAACCGTTTATGTCTATCCTGATCAAGAGTATGAGTCAATTATCAAAGCTATTGATTCAGCTACCAAATATGGATTAACCGGATCTATTTTCGCTAGAGATAGACAGGCAATTAGATTAGCTGAGGAAAAATTGAGATATGCAGCAGGAAACTTTTATATTAATGACAAGTCCACTGGTGCTGTTGTTGGACAACAATGGTTCGGTGGTGCTAGAGCTTCGGGAACAAACGATAAAGCTGGAAGTGGTAATATTTTGTCGAGATTTGTTTCGGTTAGAAACGTCAAGGAGAATTTCTACGAGTTGGCTGATTTTAAATACCCATCAAATTACAAATAAGTGCCTAATATGTAAATGAAAAAAAGCCTTGCTTGTTTTAAAGGTATACATGTATACGAATATATATATATATATATATATATATATAATCAAAAACCGCTAGTCATGAAGTAAAGTGTATATCAAACTGAAAAAGACCAACTGAACCGAAAGGAACATAATAGAATTGAACTTAACGCAAACAATATATTCTCATCTCTTTCGATCTCCATAATATGACGACGAATACTGTGCTTGTGGTGCTGCACTACCAAATGTTCCCTGCATATGCCCCCGTGGTGGCGGTCCGGCAGGCACATTGACAACTCTTCCCAACCCAGAACAAACAGGACACAACTCCATATCCAACAAGAAGCGAACCATACCTGACCCTCTACATCGACCACAAAGCACACCACCCAACCTTGGATCGCCCGGTGGAACTCGCAATGGAACCGTTGAAGCAGTGCTAAAGAATCCACCACTGCCACCGCCCCTTCCACCTGGGTGCGGGTTAGGTACTGGTGCACTGCCGTAAGGGATAAATGTCGTTGATCCAAAGTATTGTGGATGGAAATTGTAGTTGACCGAATTGGTTGAGTTTCGAGGACTGAATTTTTCCCAGCAATCTTGACATGTTTTGCCGTTTTTCAATTTGTATCCTGTACTGTTGCATTTTCGACAGTAATAGCCCTTGGGATATGTGAATGGTAATCCTGATGACGCAGATGGAGGTGCTGGAGCCGGTGGCCGTGAGTGTGAATGTGAATGTGAATGTGATGGATGTGTCTGCTGTTGAGGACGAGTGGCAGCAGGTCGGGAGTTAGGACGTGATGTTTGTGTGGAACTTGAACTGATAGGTGGAGCACTGGTCTTGACTGCTTCCTCATACGATGGTGGTGGTAAATCTTCTTCTACTCCACTGCCTGCACCACCCCCTGCACCAGCTGCTACAGCTGTTGCGTTATTTCCATTTGAAATTGATGACGAGCCCATTACTTATTGATGATAACTATATCGAACTCTATTTTTACTTTCTTATGTGTGTAAAAAAAAAAAAATTAGTGTGACTGGTTAGTATTTCATGGTTGCGCCCTGATTTTAAATTATTTTTGTGATTTGAGATTCCGTACTATAAAAAAATGCGGAATCGGTAATTTCGGTATTAAACTGGAGGTAGTTAAATATTACTACTCCCGTGCTAAATACCCATATACTATGTTCAGGCTAAACAACGAAGCCAACCCCACATGAACCACTGTTTCGTTTCAAAACAAGAGTTTTAATCGTCAAAATTCACAATCAATTAATTATTCTATACATTTCTCCTGAGTGTTCTCAAATCAAACCCATACTCCCCCTTTTCGGAATCAACCTGGCTGCTCAACTCATTTATGCTCTTTAATAACTGAGTCAAAGTGGTTGGGTTTATCGGGAGATGATCACTAGCAACTAATCGAAACTGAACATCGTTTCCAGATCCAGTAGAAGCTGATACTCCATTTCTAGGTCCAACAGCATCAGCTTCAGCTTCAGCTTCATCGTATAAGTGTTCAATAAATGTCTTTTGCAACTTGAAAGCACGTCTCAACTGCTCAAATTGAGTTGAATTGACACTGGGGGCAATGAATCCCGATAATCCAATAATTTTAATAATTAAATCATCAGTCACATCAACTGCATCATCTCTTTGTTCACTTTGTGGTTTATCTTGCATTGCGAAATCATCATGATCACTATGACTGTGATGTACCTTGATAGTTCGATCTTTAAGTAGTTGTTTGATCGACCATGTTTTATCTTGCATCAATTGTCGTAATTGTGATTTATCAGTTATGGCACCACTTAATATTGCGTTGCCACTATTGTTTATGTTACTTCCGATGCTGTTGCCGCCACTGCTATAGCGCTTGACGTGGTAAAGTAGTAGTGTCCTTGTTGGCCGTATCATGGTTATCTCAACTTGTAAAAACCCCAATCGAACTTGTGGTGACTAGTGTAATTTTTCAGATGCTTTTTGAAATGCTCCCTGTCCTGCATGTACAGTTCCACGTAAAGGGATCAAAATCAAAGGTACACAGCTTCACAGATGCAAATTCCTTTTCAATTTCATTTTCTAAAGGAACAAAATATATAAAATGCTATGTATATATAATATGTAAATAAACTTGAAACCTTGAAACCCCTATAATAAAAAAAGCAATAAACTTTGAAGAAATAAAGAAAAACCACAAAAAAAATCCATAAAATAATCGTTACTTCGTAAAGCACTGCTTCGGTCAATGAATCTGCATCTGATGGGAGTAATATCGTCAGCAGACTTCTTGGAACTCTATCCCTTTTTGAATCCAATTTTCCTCCAAAATGATTTCTTTCCTTTAGTCTCATTACCACTAGATCCACCTGAATCATTACTCTTCATACTTGAAAGGAATCCACTAGAACTTCCACCACTACCATTAGCTCCACCAGAAGCAGCAGATCCACTGGCTCTTCGCTTACGTCTCATTTCTTTTCTCTTCTTTGCTTCTTCATCATCTTCAATTGAAATTAATGACTTGACGCGGTACACATTATCGCCTGCTGCTGATCCGCTTCCACTGCCACCTCCAGCCCCAGATCCAGATCCATCCGATGCAATTGAGCTATGGCGACTTGTGGTTGAGGATCCATTGGTTGAGGTTGCATGCAATGACGATGAAGGGTGTCCATACAGTTGAGATTTGTAAATTTGATGGATTTTGCCATCAATTTTCAAAGAATCATCCTTGGTATTGACAGCCCGGAGGTAATTTATTGAATCCGTAAATGACTTGTCAGATATAGCTGAGATCCAGGTGTGATACTTGTCAATTGAGTTGTAAAGGATTGATGGATCACTAATGATGCCCTCATTATTGTCCAGTTGTTCATCAGGTGGGGTTGATGTGGTTTGAGGAGCAAATGATTCAACAGATTCAATCGACGAGCTTGAATTGGATCCAACAGCAACTAAATCATCACTAAATGTAATTCTCGGAACTGGGGACTTGGATTGTTCTTGCTGCTGCTCTTGTGATTGCAGTTGCAGTTGCAGTTGTCTACCTTGTCTCTTTTGATCCGTCATTGTTCCTTTAGACAGGCTGCTGACCAATACAACTGGAATACCTGCATGTTTGACAATAAATGAGGAATACTTGACCAAATAGCTTCGCTCACTATTCTTTTTAATCTTGTACTTGAAATTTAAATTTGATGATTTTATTCCAACAATGAAAATATTCGGATGGTACTGTTTCACCAATTTAGTCAACATAAATTTGGATCCATATTCATTACCATGTTGTTCCAGAGTTTCCAATCCATTCTCAATCACAAATTCAACTGTCATCTTGATGCATAAATCCAATTGAGCAAGACTCAATTTAAAATAGTCGAGCAAATTCTGACACTTTGCTTTCAAATAATCATCAAAACTTTGTTTCCTTCTTTTGGAATTATACTCCTTGACAAATTTTTGCGAGATAAAACTAGCAACAATTAAATAATCTCCGTCATGTAAAATCAGTTGCTCGTTCGATACGGTGTCACCAATCCGTAACAACCAATCAAGTGAATTCCAAGAATGTTTTCTTCCTGAAATAGTTGTTAATAAAGTTCTTCGAAGTTCAATTTGGTCGTAGTCATCATGCTGTACCGTGAGAGCAATTGATCGGTAATTGTTTTCATTTGAAGATGGATATTGTTGTTGTTGCGCTTGTAGTTTACCCAATGCCGACACCCCTGAAGTTGATGATCTTCGATCAGTGTAGTAAATTTTTTGATTATCAAATTTGAATGCATCAAAATTGGAAGTCTTGGGCTTCATATTAAATTGAGGATCTAGAGCCAAGAGTTCTTCATCCGTCATGCCAGCATATGATTTCCTCCGTTGTGGTGGTTGATCTGAATCTTTCGCGTCCCTAGCTTCTGCTGCTCGTGCTCGGTGCCCTTCATCCTCTTGCTCTTCTTCGTCCTCTTGTGCATCTGGTTGCGCCTGAGCTTCCTCTTCTTCTTCTTGATGATAATTTATGGTAGCATCTTCGATATTACCTCCAAACTTATAATTGTAATCCAATTGCTGTTGTGATACTTTATTCTTCAAGATGGACTTTTCCGGCGGGTTTGGTAATTTCAATCTTCGTTTCCGTTGCTGTTGTTGTGAATAAAAGTGAGCAGAGCCAGGTGATTGACTAATGACATCAAAATTAGGCACTTTTGGTAAACTAGAAAAGGGAAAAGATGATTGACGGGTAGGTGAAGTGCCATAACGGTAATTTTCATTGTTATAGGTGGAACTAAGTTGCGCTGGAGCAGCTACAGGAGATGTTGCATCAGAGCCAAGTGAGTTTGCGGTTGCTGATGGGCCTGAGTACGAACTGTACTGCTTGTTGTTACTGTTATTATTATTATTTGTTACTTGGTTGTAAATGGGGCGATTGTACAAGAAATCTCCGTCGTCAACAGGATTCAAGTTATTGAATGAAACTCTTCTTGAATATTTGTGTATCGACGGTACTGTTTTATCAATTGCACCACTAGACTGACGAAAGTTGGTGGGTGATATTGGAGGAGCAGGAGTGCGTGGAGTTGATTCAAAGTGATTGTTGTTGTTGTTGTTGTTGTTATCATTGGCTTGAGCGGAAGTGATGGTATCTAATGGATCAATTGATGTAGGAGGAACAGAGTCAGTCATAGTACGTGGTTGTTGCTGTTGCTGTTGTTGCTGTAACTGCTGTTGCTGTAACTGCTGTTGCTGGTGGGAATGGGAGTTTGGATGTTGATCACTTAGTGGGTTAATATTATTAGCAAACTGATATGGAGTATTGCGGTGATATGCTAAATCACTATTCATTTTTAATATTTATCGTAGTTTGTTGTTGCTGGCGCGGGGGTGTTACTAAATTTGTGTCGTGTTTTGGTGGTCTAATCTATTTCTTTTTAAAAATTGTAAAATCTAATTCTATCTGGTGATGCAAAAAACGTGACAACTGTTGTTATACAAATATATCTAATGATTGGTGGTAGATAGATAGATATATGGACTTGTTATAGCAATGATAATAAAAGAAGGACAGTCAAAAAAAAAAAAAAAAAGAACAAAATGAGTCAGAAAAAGGGATTAAATGAAACGGCTGTACAGTTGTTAAAGGGATGATTAAAACTGTCTGTGTATGTGTTGGGTGTGTGTTGGATGTGTGTTAGTGTGTGTGTGTGTGTGTATGTGCCTAGTGTGTAGTGAAATTACAAAGGTCGTGTAATATTACTAAAACGTATGAATATTCTGGGGTGCTTGTATGTTATGTGCCGTGTATGCAGAAGTGACTAAAAATGTTTAATTTTTGTTCTGCAAAAGGGAGATAATGGTCAGTTAAAGTTGGGTTAAGTTATGCCTTATGGGTTGGTTAGTGAGATGTCTTTAAACAGTTGAGAAAGAAATAGAGAGAACTAATGAAATAATATATATATATATATATACTATATATATATACTATATGTCGTATATCACTTGATCTTTCCTTTCTCAGTTCTTTTTCTTGTTCTTTTTCTTCTTCGCCTTAGTGAGTCTTTGTCTTGGAATTCTATTGCTTTTGTGTTCTATATATCTTCTTTAATTTTCCTTTATCTATAGAGACTGTACTACACTGTACTACACTGTATTAGACTGTATTAGACTGTATTAGATGTTATTGTGTATGTCGTAAGAAATAGAAATAAGAAATAAGAAAGACAAAGAAAGTCCAAAAACTAAAAATAGGACGCAAAGGAAAAATATGACAATATGACTCTTTATTGGAAGGCTAAGCCTTCTTGTTTAATTCTAAGCAAAAGAAAAACTACTGATAAAATTATCTAAGCCACACAACATGCACGTGCACTTAGCCATAGAATACCATACATGTACTATATATAAATATATATATATGTATTTGTGTGTGGTCTCAAATTATCTTGGCAAGTAAAAGTCTTGGCATTTTATTTTGGTACAAGAATCTTTGATTCATAGCAACTATACTACTGTTTCTATATACGCATGTACACTCTTTCCCTATCATTCCGTATGATCCGATATCTTTCAATACATGTATATCTCTTTATGCCTACTCTCTCTCTCTCTCTCTTTGCCCCTTTTGGATGATGATATTGATAATGACGATCTGTTATGGTCGTTGTAGTTGTTGTTGTTGCCTGTCTTTATCTTTTCTATCTCTTTGTGTATTGTTTGTGTAATGTCGTATATGCATGATTTACGACAATGTTTACACAAAACATTATTACTTTAGATTTTACTTTTCACAATTGACGACATTTACTACGACTTAATCGGTTTTCACCACACCAAACAACACCAAACAACACCAAACAACACCAAATGTTACACATATTAGATATAGATTGTATGTATTGGTGATTAGATAGATTAAAAAGGGTACACACTATTATCTCTCATTTATCAGCATGTGACAAAATTGAATGTTTGGAAAGTGAGGGGAAGAGAAGAGAAGAGATGAGATGAGGAGATAAGAAAAAGCATCTAGTATACTCCGTTCATATATAGATCCTAAAGCCGTATCTATCTTTCTACTGTATTTACATATATAGTGTTTGTATAGAGATTGGATTTACAATTGACAATTAGACTACTCTTTTTCCAGTGTCGTTTAATTTGGATTTATTGTCATGAATTTGCAACAGTAACCACCCAATATTTATGACAAAAAATACTAATGCCCACTCAACACTTACAACTCAAACTATCCTCTCTTACTGCATCTTGTCAACTTATAGATAGCTTTCTTATTAGCAGTTATACATTTAAATGGCTAATGATGATATTTGTGAACGGATTAAATTATATAATAGAAGTTAACTTTTTGATATTTTTTGTATTAAATTTGTTGCAAAAAAAAAACATTGATAATCCACTCAATCGTACTTTTTTAGTGTATATTCTAATAACTACTATAGGGTAAGCTATAGGCAAACATAAGTGGACATTAATGAGATATGTATACACTTGCAACTGTTAAAAATCAATGGGCCTGTAGTTAGTGGCTGTTATTTATTATCTTGTGACTTTAGCATAGAGCAGAATCACGTGCACTTCCTTTTCTTCTTTTTTGCGCCACCCGTACAATCTTTGGTCTAGACCCATTTCTCTCAACTATATTTTCATAAAACTCCTCATAATATTCATTCTAGCTTCGGTATATATTGAGTCTTGGTAGGAACTCTATAATTTACTTTTACTGTCTTCCATACTAACTAAGCACTGTTAGAGCTATTCAAGAAAGGATGACAATTTTAAATTACGTCATTGGTCAATATAGTTTTTCATCTTAAAATTTCCCTTTGTGACATATTCTATGCCTCGAGAAAGAAAGTAGACGAAGCCCAAGACGAAGCCCAAGAGGAAAACTATGACATAAGTAGCAGCAATACAACTTACACACTAGAGCTTTTGGGTATTTACGGTGTCTTTATCTACCTCACTACTAACCAATAGACAAAACATTACCAAAATACAGAGATTAGTCTTCAATAGCTCGAGAATAAAGAATCTGTCCCTTGTGAAAATTTCATCTCGTTTCTTGTTTCAAACACAAAAAAACCATCACACACACCTTTCACACCAAAAACAAAACAAAAACACACCAAAACAGCAAGCAAAAAATATATTTAAATATATAAATTATAAACAAACCCCAAACAAACACATCCTTCATTAAACACTAGTTACTTTTGAACAGCACTCATACTACTACTTCTTACAACCACACGCGTACACACACACACACACTCACAGAATGCCATCAGTCACTGATACCAAAACACAGCCGTCTACTACAGCAAATGGCAGCACCACCAATACCAACAACAACTCTACTGACGACGACTGGTTTAGTCCATTGCCCTTGGATGAATATCTTAAAATTAATGAACTAGCCAGACAAAACGTTCCCAAGACTAGGCCAATCGATGAAAATGATAAATTGGGAGACTACGACATCAGATGTGGTCCTACTTTACGTTTTGCTGGTACTTTGGAAAATAATACTGCCAACTATAGAGGCTCAATTATGTTGGTAATTAAAGACTGTCCTAACGATAAACCACCATCAATTACTTACAAGATTGGGCCTGCTGCTGACACTGCACCCAATGGTCAATTTTCAACTGGGGAATTCCCTGTGACGAAGTATTATGAAGAAGATGGTTATTCCTTCTTTAGGTACACCATTGAATTACAATTGGCTGAATACGAACAAAAGATACAATACTATATTGACAAGTTTTTCAAAAAGTCGTTTCAATTCTTTATCCCTAGTGCTGAGCAAAGTATGAATGTAATTTCATATTCGTGTAATGGATTTAGTTTAGGTTCTGATGCATCGGAATATAAATCTTCCCTTTGGTTTGACGTATTAGCCAAACATTCACAACAACATTATCACGTCATGCTTGGTGGTGGTGATCAAATTTATTCTGATGCCATTAAATTACACTCCAAGAAATTAAAAGAATGGACCGAAATCAGCAATCCATTGAAAAAGAGAAATGCTCCCATCGATGATGAAGTTTTGGCAGAATTTTGTCTGTTTTATTTGAACCATTATATGAACTGGTTTGGTAAGGGGTTTTGGAAGGGGAGTGTATCTCAAGTGGTGGAAGCTTTATTTCCATTGAGTATGTCACAAATCCCCATGGTTAACATCTATGATGATCATGACATTATTGATGGCTTTGGTTCGTATCATGATTCAACTATGCAAGCACCAATATTTTCAACGGTGGGTAACGTTGCCTACAAGTATTATATGTTATTCCAACATCACATGAACCCCGAAGAAAAATTGCATTTGAATGATCCTTCATGGGTGTTAGGTAAAGAAGGTCCATTTATCAAGCAAAAGAATCATTCAGTATTTATGAGGTTAGGTAAAGAAGTTAGTCTCTTGGGATTGGATTGTCGTACTGAACGGAAATTAAAACAAATCTGTGACCCACAAACCTACAAGATTATCTTTAACAAAATGAATGAAACGTTGCCAGCTGGTGGCGATGTCAAGCACTTGTATGTCATGCTTGGTGTGCCTATCTTTTACCCAAGACTAGTTTGGTTGGAATGGCTATTAACTTCAACAGTAATGACCCCGTTGCGTAAATTGGCCACCAAGGGAGTAATCAATAAAGGACTAGTCAATGAATTTGACGGTGACGTTGAAGTCTTGGACGATTTAAATGATCATTGGTGTTCCAAGTATCATAAACGCGAACGGAATAAATTAATCAAGGATTTAATGGAATTTGGTGCCAAAAAGGGAATCAGAATTACTATATTATCCGGTGATGTACATTTATGTTGTATTGGTAGAATGAAGTCCAAGTATCATCATCACCCCAATGCCCATGTTTTGCAAGGAGTTAAAGAAGTTGAGAAATTGAATAAAGATTTAACGGCCCATCCTGAAAATGATCCACGATTAATGTTTAATGTTATATCTTCAGCCATAGTCAATGCACCTCCACCCGATGCCATGGCTACATTGTTGAATAAGAGGAGTGGCACCCACCATTTCAATCAAGATACTGATGAGGATGTTGTACCTATTTTCGTCAAGGATGTTGATGGGTCACAAAGAAACAACCATCAATTTTTAAAC